CCTTTGTAAATCAGTTATCAATTTAAGAATTTTTGGTTGTGTTGCGCTACCCTTATTTAATCAAAATTTTTAAAATGATATTCTTTTCAAGTCGGGCTTGAATTTTGTGTAAAAATCTTAGTTCAAAAAAAATTTCATAATTGTGCTCTACTCAATTATAGGCTTGCTTTATATAATGGAATCAAGCGATTTTCCCCAAAGTTTGCTATAACTTATGGATAGGAGCTTGAGAAATAGTTTGATATTTATACAAAAAATAAAAATGAGATGTTTTGGAATTTTAATTTAAAAAGAAAAAAATTATTTTATTTAAAATGCATCTATGTTATAAAATTATCACAATTTATTTAAAAATAATTTTAATTATTATTTAAGAAAGTTCAAATATTCAATTAGTTTTTATTAAGTTTACTATTTAAAATTGTATTATTAATAAATTATTTTATAAGTGAGCTATTACTAATAAATAATTCTAAATTAATTAATAATTATCACATAGAATTAACAATTTACTATTTAAAACTTTATTTTTGTATTTAAATTATGTACAAATGGTCAATTTAATTTAAGTAAAAATTGATTAATTGTATAAAGCTACAATTAGGAATTTATTTTTTAAATTAAATAAAAGAAAATTCATCTGAAGTAGTTAAAACAAATAATTAATCTAAACAATTTACTAATTAAAACTATAATTAATTAAATATTAAAAACCATATTGTAAATTTATTTTTAAAGAAAATTCATCATAGATTAAAGTGTAGAAATGCATCACTTAATAAATTATTCTCTAAAAATAGATAAGATTCCCTTAATAAGATAAATGAGTGTACCTTAATATATTTAAATAAGAAGAAAACTAAAATAATCGAACTAAAATCCTCGTCCATAAAACTAATCATAAATTCAGCAAGAAATTATGAAAAGCAACCCAATCACTTATAATCATCATATGAAGGTAATGAATCCAAATATTTTATGTATATTTTTTAAATATTCAAAAATTTCACTCATGGGTATATTGACCCTTTTTCTTTGAAAGATAAATTGATTGGTTATAAAGAACAAATAGAAAATAAAAGGAGTTCAAAAAATTTATACGATTACTAAAATTATTTAGTTGATCAAACATAAACAAAACTAATCATTTAAAACAAAAAAAATAAGAAGAAGTTTATATATGGAAATTAATATAAAATCACTCTAACACTAAATTAGATAAAACATACTTATAGAATAAGGGCCATATATAAGAAAAAAGATCATAAGCCAAATAACAAGAAAAACTTGATAGCGTACACCATAAATCTGAACTTTAAACAATCCAACAGTAATCGCCTTCTTTAGATCAAATTAAGTGTTAGATAAACCAAGTTGACAAAGAATAATTATTTAATTTACTTGAATCACTAGAAATCTTGAATTATAAAAAAAAATGAAGGATGTAAGGTAATTAAGATCAAAAAAGAAAATTAATATAATCCTCTTGCTTAGATGACCTTTGTGAGTTTAAAGCACCTAAAGTGCTTATATGTGGTTTAGGAATAATAACGGTTAAAGATATTTTAAGATCCTTAGAGAGATACTTGAGCAGATTAGAACTCATTACTTGTTCGTTGATATTTGATTAGCAACCAGAAACAAGAAGAATAGGAGATCGAAAAGGCTTCAAAAAAATAAAAAAAAAATAAGATACATCGGTGTAAAAATCTCAGAAAAAGGAAGGGAATTAAAAGACAAAGTTAAAGAAGAGATCAATAGCGACGGATAAGATTACGGCTATGACTAATGATTCCTTAGTTGGTGGGCAGGTAGATAGATCCTAAGCTGCCCAAAAAACAGAAGGGAATAGATAACGTGGAGAATTGGATGGAAGGAGGTTCAAACAGAACACACCTTTATCATATACCTATCGTACTTAGATTGACCAACTGAAGTAACTTAGTAAGGGATTGAAGAAACCTGAAAAAAAAATATTTAAAAATAAATTACATAAAAATATATATATAAATCAGAAGAAAATCCATTTGTTATTTTATTATTATAATTTTTAATTATAATAATAACCCTTGTTAAACTCACAAGTATTTCATATGTTTTTTAAGCATATTTTATTTATCTTGGTTGGACCATCTGTAGTAATTTAATATTTCAGGAACACTTCACTGCGAGCGTTGATGGTCTCAAATATGATGGACAATGGGAAGACAATGCTAAAAATGGGTTCGGTACTGAAATATAGTTGGATGGATCTATATATGAGGGATATTATAAAAATGGATAAGGAAAATTTAAATGGGGTGATGGATCAGTATACATTGGAGAATTTGTGAATGAAAATTTTGAAGGAGAAGGTGAATTTCATTGGGAAGATTGGTCAATGGAAAAATAATTAAATGGATGGTTAAGGGGTAAATAATTATACATTCTTAGATTTTCAAATGGCCATAGATATAAAGAAAATATCTAGGGTCTTATTAGAATGGCGTTAAAGAAGGATTTGGAATATTTGAATGCCTGATAGAAGAGTATGCATCATATTTTAAACATCTATAAAGGCCAGTGGTCAAATAACAGACAATATGGATTTGGTACTTATTTAGGATCTAATGGAATAGAAAAAGAAGGAGAATGAGCTGAAGGTAAACTAGTACGCTGGTTAAAAAATAAAAATCGATTTTAAGACTCTTGATTTTATTAAACTTTCTCAATTTTCTTAAATACTTAGATTATTTATTTTTAATCTAATTGAATGATCTTACATTATAAAAGTATAGGTAAGATATTTTTTATTATGTTTTAAGAACTTGAATATGAAAAGTAATCAATTTATTTTCTCAAGAGCTTTTGATAATTTTATAGAATAGAATGGTTAATCTTTTTTTTTTGTATATTTGGAAAAAAATGATTAAATTTGAAATCAATGTTACTATTTTTAAGCCTGTAATTTACAAAATATTGAGAGGAGAAAAATTAAAAAACAGAAGATATTTTCAGACGAATTTTGTAATTCAAAGATAAGATTTTAAATGGTATAATTAAATATTAAATTTTAATTAAGCAAAACTTTACAATAATTGATTTATCTAAGGTCTTGATAAAATGTTTTTAGTTTTCACGATAGAGAAAAAAATTTTTGTTAAAAATCAAGTTTATTTTTTCAACTTTAACGCCTTTTTTATTTATTTAAATAAGGACTTTCAGATACTACTCTTTTTCATCCTAAAAAATCGTTATTGATCTAATGGATTTTATATCACTTACTCTCTTTACTTTCTTGTGTGAAAAATAATATTTTAGGATAAAAAAGCTAAAAAAATTAAAGACAAGTATGACTCTTACAATTCTATCTAAATTGTATTCATTAAATTATTTTTTATATATTTTATATTTTATATTTTATCTTATTCGTTTAGGCCTATTAAAAGTACATCTCTGTACAGTGAAGGAGGATTCTGCTTTTTATCTTATTACTGTGTTAACGTTCTGTTAAAGCGTGAAGAATACTTTTATAGCCTTGCTAGCTTTTCAATTCTTTTTCTGATGATGTTAAAAGAATTAAAATATCTAAGATATAATTATATAAAAATTTGTTCCTTACTTAACGCAATCAGTTCTAAATTGATATTAACAAAAGCCTAAATTAACTTTTTCTAAACTTAGAGAATTTGAGATGTATATTATTTATTTTTAAACTATGAAAATTTTTTTGTTGATTCTTGGATAATTACTGTATATTTCTTAAATTATGAGATATTTAATTTTCCCATTTTAAATGTTACTGCCATTCTTACCCATAAATCTTATATGCTTAAAAGATTCAAATTTATTTGTACTCCTCCATAAGACCATAACAATAATTTTATTAATTTGTTATAATAATATCCTGAAAGAAAAGTAAGTTAGTGTTTCTCAAATATATTTTAACTAAGAAAGGGTTATTTTAGCAGCTAAAATCTTATTAATAATCTAAGTAAGTTCCAAATATTTTAACAAAAATTTTTCTTTCTTATTTATAGAGTCATTTTTGGGTTTATACTTTATCAAAAATTATAAAACTATTTAAAAATAAAATTTGCCTTCAAAGAAATTGGTATATTTAGTACTATAATTGCTGAAAAAAATTTGAATTATGCTAAAATAAGAAATAATGATTTGCATACTCTAATCATTTTGACAAAACTTTTTAAAGGCTGAAAATTTTGGATCAATTATAAGAAACAATTTAGGTTATTATATTTAATAAATGCATAATTATTTAAAAAGTTTGATAAAACTTTCGTTTATAAAAAAAAGGATTTTATAGAAATTGCAACTAATAAAGAATTATTTTAACTTAAATAAAAGCGAGATTTTTTCTACTTATAAACTATTTATATAACATATTAATTATACAAGGTATCCTTATCAATTTAGAAGCAGTTAAATTGAAATAACATGAAATAAATTGTTATATATTGGATTTTTACATTCAACACAGCTAATATAAATTAAATTTATTGCATATGACATTGATTAATTTAAAAGTAGTTTCATGAATACTATCAAATTGATTACTATATTATTTAATTTTAATATTCTGTATTCCTTTTTGCTTGATATATTTGGAGAGAATAGTAATTTGGATAATTATTAAAATTTGCAATGAATTTTTTATATTAGCAATCTTGTATAAATATTTAAAAATTATTAGACACCAAGTAAACAAATTAAAATATTTTGGATTTAGAATAAAATTTTGAGTTTAGATTGTTGAAGGTGATATAATAAAGTATTCATATATTAAGTATATTTTTAAAATTTGAATTCTTGAATAAATCAAAGAATAATAATAATTGGATATTTATTCAAAACATAATCAACATAATTGGTTTAAGAAATATTTAATTTTCTAACAATTTTTTTCTAAGACTTTTTAATGTTAATTAGGAGAATTCTTAAATAGAATTACTGGAGGCTCTAAATTGTGTGAAGTAATTTAAAATCACTACTCAGTATAATGGAATACTTAGAGTTACAGTTCTAATGATGATGTAAAAAATCTCCTATGTTTAAATTAAGATAAAGTTATTGGAGGGCATATTATTTTTGTTAAACAATAATGTATTATTACTATCTGATTAGAAATTGCAACAGAGGAAGGTAACCAGGAGATGAATCCTGGATAATCAGAGTGTGAGTAGTGTGATTTATATAATACTCAAGGAGATGATCTTATTCTGTAAGTTCTATATATTCATGTGGAAGTTGTGAAAAAATTTATAGAAATTTGGACGCAGATTGTTCAGATGATTGAAAAATTATTATCGAAATTCGATTGAATGCGCTTCCCTTTTGTTTTCAAATAAATTTCTACTTCTATATCAATTGAGAAACTCATAAACTATTTATAAATCATTTCAACAATTTAATAGTGCTGGCAATCCAATTGAATCAATGGCATATTCTCTTAATTGCTTATTAATATCGGTTTCAAATTTCTAATCATATACTTTAGAATTATCTGGAGTTTAATGATGGCATCTTATATCTCACAGTGTTTTTAACTTTGGGCAAAATAGCAGGGATGGTTAACTTTATTAAATTCAAGTTTTCATATATTGCGACTTCTGTTGTTATCTACTTTCAACTAAATTAAATTTGAAATTTAATCTATTTAATATCCTACATAGTAATTTCAGATGATTATAAAACAAAAATGTCAGAATAAATATAAAATTCGTTAGATTTTTGATATTATATCTTAACTACAGACAATAAAAATTACAGTAAATATCTGAAATCTAGTTTGAGATATGAATACAAAGTAATTATAAACAAGTATAATGTTAGGTTTAATAAATGAAGTTTCAATTTATGTTTAAAAGAAGGAATCAATCATTGAAAATTTTTGTAAATTGGTAATTCACTTCTCTGTAGATTTAATCAACATTTATACCTTAATCTATCTTGATTAAAACCTTATCTAGAAGTAATTTGGGTCAATATTGGGTACTATTTTTTATCTTATGACGAATATTCGATTATTACTATAAAGTTATCACTTCCATAAGAAATCATTTTTATTTTAATAATCATTCATAATTAAGTAATATAAAGAATTAATATGATTTTTGATTATTTGTGACATATCCATCATATTAGTTCATCCAAAATTTAATTGTAATATCAAAACAAGAAGATATGATAAAATCTACATCATTGTTCAATTATAAACAGCGAATATAACTTGTATGTTTATTTAATTTCTATTTATAAATCCATTAATTTTTTATTGAAAGACCATATTTTTAACTCATAACTTCCAAAGATATATTAATTTGATTTCTACATAAAATTCAAAGTATGCTTTACTTTTTAAAAAATACATAAGAACTTCATTTAAATATTTATTTAGAAGCTGAGTTTATTTTAATTATTCTTATTTGTATTCAAATACTTTAATAAATTTGTTACAACCTACTAACATAGTTGAGGTATCTATATTATAAGCTATTGAACAAAACCATTCTGCATTTTTGTGATAATATAATTGCTTAGAAATCAAAAAAGTTCAGATATTCTTGAATCTCTATAAGAGATAAGAAAATCAAAAGTCAAAGTAAAATAAGAATTGCTATTATCAATATTAGACAGCATCTGTTTAATAAAATAATTATATTAACGAAACTTACTAGTAAATTAGAGAAGCACTAAATAATAATATATCACCAGGAAAGATCATTGTCCATTTTTTTCAATTTTTAGTTCACCTTGCATATCAATCATCAATTCATTCCTTTAGAGTGGATCTAATGCACTCCACTTATTAGTGTAGATGAAGGTAGATTTGTAAAGCTTTGAAAGCAAGATGTAACTTAGTGAATCTGAATTTGAAAATTTAGATAGAATATCAAAATTTAAAAATTGAACAAAATGGATTCTCATAGTAATTATGTTTCTCACTAAAGGAAACTACTTAAACATAATGGAGAATATTTTTGAAATAAAAAAAATATTAATTTTTTTGAATTTAACATATTAGTTTCTCATATTGATTAAGAAATATAAACAAGTATTGATTTCATCTTAATTTACTAATTAGAAAAAAAAATAATATAATTAATAATTTAACATATAAATACCAATAAAAAAATTAAACCATGCTTCAATCATATATATATTATCATCCTTTGATAATTTTTGGTCCCCATTATCGAATAGTATTATCTCTACTACCAGATGCTAAATTAGTTCCATCTGGTGAAAAGCATACTGATTAGACCCAATCACTATGACCACTCAATTTGGCTTTTTATTATCCTGTCTTAGCATCCCATAATCGAATAGAGTTATCTCTACTGCCAGATGCTAAATTAGTTCCATCTGGAGAAAAACATACTGATTAGACATAATCACTATGACCATTCAATTTGGCTATTTATTATCCTCTCTTCTCATCCCATAAGCGAATTGAGTTATCATTACCACAAGATGCTAAAGCAGTTCCATCAGGTGAGAAGCATACTGAGTTGATCGAATATTCATGACCATCTAATTTGGTTTTTTATTATCCTGTGTTAGAATCCCACAATCGAATTAAGCTATCATTACCACAAGATGCTAAAGCAGTTCCATCAGGTGAGAAGCATACTGAGTTAACAGAATATTCATGACCATAAAATTTGGCTTTTTATTATCCTGTCTTAACATCCCATAATCTTATTGACTAATCATTACTACCAGATGCTAAAGTTGTTCCATCTGGTGAGAAGCATACTGACCATACCCTATCACTATGACCATCTAGTTTGGCTTTTTATTATCCTGTCTTAACATCCCATAATCTAATTGATTTATCATTACTACAAGATGCTAAAGTAGTTCCATCTGATGAGAAACATACTGACCATACGCTATCACGATGACCATCCATTTTTACTTTTGATTTTCCCTTTTTTATATCCCATAAACGGATAGTAGAATTTTTGAAAAATAGAGAGTCATAGTCTTTCTCATTACAAGATGCTAATAATTTACCATTAGGAGAAAAGCATACTGAATAGACATGTCCACTATGGCCTTCCAATTTTTTTAATTCTTGCATATTCAAGTTTAATTTCATTTCATCTTCTTCTTATTGAATACTGCATACTGAACTTTTTTAATCTTCTTTTTCTACTTAATTAGATTGTTTACTTAAATACTTTTTAAATCTTACTTTATTAATTACAAAATTTCCTTCATTTCTTTGTTTAACTTTTCACTAAAGGCAGATATTTCTTATTCACACCTGATCTTGGTCTTTTCTAACTTTATTAATGAAGTATTCTTCTCATTATTCCAATAATTTAAATTGTTTCCTTAAACAACTTATACTAACATTTCTAAGTCAGTATTTGACAATTCTATTAGTTTGTTATTGTTATATTTGATTGAACAATATTAGGTGTCTTAAATTTGGATCAGATCCAATATTTATTTAATTGATTCTGATAATTCTTCCAAAATTGTCTTCAACATAATTTCAGTTTAAGCGAGCATGGATTTTAAAGCAGTTCTCTATTTTGTTAAATCAGAAGATTGGTTGAGCTTGGATTCTTATAATTTCTGGATAGCAATTTCTTAAAATTTCAAAATAGGAACTGTGTTTTTGATATCCACTCCATGATTATAAACACATTCAAAACAGAGTTTTCTTTAACTTTAGCATTTGTGTGGATCTATACATATAGCGGCAATTGGATTTTAAATATGATAAGTGCAATTCATAATTTTTTTTTAATTAATGAATGTCTATTACTTTTAGATATTATTTTCTAAATAAAAATAAATTAATAAAAAAAATTTTGTAAGAAATGGTTGTTGAGTATTTTGGATTCAATTTACCTAGATGTGCAAAGTAGTTATTTTATTCTTGTTTTGCCTCTCAAATAGATTTACCACTATTGAATTTTTTGATAGTTTCTTTGCGCTTCATTCTTGAGTGAATACCTAATTGCAATAACTCTGTTCTACCACAAATGTTATATACATTTAATATAAACAATATTAATGACAAAACTAATTATTAAACTTAATAATGTTTCGTTAAATAAAGACTAAAATTTATTTATTTTTTATTTATTAGCCAATTTATTTAAAACTTTTTAATTTAAGAAATAAGATAAAGAAATAGAGTCATATGTATTGTTAAATATCCTTTAAAACAAAATCCTGATTTATTTGAAAATTAGTACAGTTAATACACGTTAATAAATCTTAAAAGATGAAAATATTACATATAAATTTTGGATTTCTTATAGATCATGATAGTCCTATTATAGATTTCATTTATGAATAGAAATTGAGTCCCCTCATATCCTATAAAATAAATAGCATTATTAGTCTAGATTTTTCTGCATAAATTTAAATATTGATCTATAAAGAATAATACAAATAATTAAATGGAAAATTCAATTTTGTAGTTTATTATCCTTTAACGTTCTAGTTCTCCTATTTTAGTTGCCAATTTTTTTTTTGCAGATATTATTTTGCTCAATTCCATACATTATTTTTTCGAATAATTTTTCAGAAAGAAATAATATTTATCATAGTATTTTAAATTCTTTCAAGAAAAAAAAATCCTGTAGTATAAATAATCAAATAATCAAATAATCAATATTTTTTAGGAAGATTATTATGACAGTGGAATTACACTTTCAAAAATTAAAAGCTAATGAAATAACGTTTCCTAAGATAATTATAAATTAAGCCATAAACGATAAGTGTAGAAATAGGCAATTTCCATATGATTTGAATCGCTAACTTTCCAAAAAAGTAAATGTCCACTGTTTATTTTCACAGTTTTCTTATTTAATACCCCAAAATATTTGGGTTTATCTCCATTTTGAACAAAAGTTAATATTCTTTACTTTTATTTTTACCTGCCGCTCTGTAAAATTTTAGCATAAGCCTCATCAATATACACACCACCTATCGAATCTTAATTATTCTAAAGTGAAAACCATTTAATGATTTTATATATCAAGATTTAGAGGATAAAATCATGTTTAGATTGCATATTATTTTAAAATACATTAAATAATAATAATTTATAAAGCTAATTTTCATGATAACATAAAAGCTTATTCAATTTCACTTTAAATATATGATAATAAACTCATTTATCCCATTAAGCACCCCATAAACGAATAGATTTATCACGACTGCAAGATGCCAACATAGTACCATCAGGAGAGAAGCAGATTGAATCTACTGTATTACTATGACCATCTAATTTGGCTTTTTATTATCCTGTCTTAACATCCCATAAACGGATAGATAAATCTTCACTACCAGATGCTAATATAGCACCATCAGGAGAGAAGCATACTGAAAGGACCCAATTGCTATGACCATCTAATTTGGCTTTTTATTATCCTGTCTTAACATCCCATAAACGGATAGAGTTATCTCCACTACCAGATACTAATGTAGCACCATCAGGAGAGAAGCATACTGACATAACTGTCTTCATATGACCATCTAATTTGGCTTTTTATTATCCTGTCTTAATATCCCATAAACGTATGGACTTGTCTCCACTACAAGATGCTAATGTAGCACCATCAGGAGAGAAACAGACTTAAAGGATTCCCTTAGAATGACCATTCAATTGGGCTTTTTATTTTCTTGTCTTAACATCCCATAAATAAATAGAGTTATCTCCACTACCAGATGCTAATGTAGCACCATCAGGAGAGAAGCAGACTGATAAAACTGTCTTAATATGATTATCTAATTTTGCTAATTATTATCCTGTTTTGGCATCCCATAATAGGATAGTCTTATCTCTACTACAAGATGCTAATGTAGTACCATCAGGAGAGTAACAAACTGACTATACCCATTTACTATGACCAACTAATTTAGCTATTTTTTATCCAGTCTTTAAATCCCATAAACGGATTGAGTTATCTGAGACAAAAAGGGTTTCTACTCCACTACAAGATGCTAATGTATTACCATCGGGGGAGATACAGACTGAATTCACCCAATCATGATGACCATCCAATTTTTACAATTCATGAATTTTCAAGTTATTCCAATCAAAATTAGCTCCAAAAATATTTTTACCACCTTTATCTTTTTTCGATTGAGTTCTAAAATAAATTTTAAACTTCTTACTAAAATAAAGACTAAATCTTTTTTATTACTTCATTCAACTTTTAGACAAATGCCTTAATTTCTTGATCCCACCAATTCTTTGCCATTTCTAATTCCATTATGACAGAATTCTTCTGAACATTCCAGTCATTTAAAGTTTTTCCTTCTAGAATAGAGACTAGTTTTTCTATTTCAGCAGAGGAGGTTTCTAATATATTAGTATTTTCATTGATAAGACTTATGTATAATTAGTTTTCCTTTTCAATCCAATCAAATATTTATTTGACTGATTCTGATAATTCTTCCTAAGTTTTTTTCAGCATAGCTTCAGTTTGAGAAATAGTGAATTTAAAAGCCATTCTTTAATTAGATACCTCAGATGTCTCTTCAAGCTTAGTCTCTTTTAAAATATTGGTAACCTATTCTCTAAAAATTTTAATTGGAACTGTATATTGAAAGTCTACTCCATGTTCATATTAGCATTCAGCACATAATTTCCTTTAACATTAACAACTATGAGGAGCTTTGCATATAAAAGTAATTGGATTTTGAATGCGATAAGTGCAATACATTTTTTTTTTTAATTTTAAGTCTTATATTAAAAATCAAAAAAATATCTTAAAATATTCCTGTTAAGATGTGCACAATACTTTGTTTAGATAAATATTTTTTGTATTTTAGTAGAAACAGCAATCGTGAAATCAAGTAACTTTTGCTTGGTTCTGTAAAATATAGAATAGGTAATACCTCAGATCATCAAAAATTAACTTTATTTATAATTGTTTAACACAAACAAGTTTAAAAAAAGTGATTCTGAGGACATTCATAATTCACAAATTCATACGAGTAAGACGCTTTAAAATTTAAAGAATACGCTTTTGATCTCCCAAAACCAAAAAAAAATGTCCTGAATATTGGAAAAAAATTTTCTAAAAAATACAGATATTTGGGGTATTAAGAGTATTTAAATTTGTTTATTTCACTAAAAAATTTGTTATTAGCTTGATCACTTTATTAATTAATTAAAAAAATAAATTTAAATAATCTCTTACAACTTTCTAGTCTTTAAAAAAGATATCATTTGAATTGCAAATTTAATAGATTCGGCTCGAAAATTAAAATCAAGCATCACAAAGCACTATCATTAGATTTTAATTAAAAACTATAAATTTGATGAATTTCTTAAAAAATTCATTTAATGATTATTTATTCTACTTATTTATTGACTTAATTTACACAATTTTTGGCTTAATATTTCTATTTTTAATTTGCAAATTAAATTCACTCTTGGGTAAAGAATTAACCTGTGTTTATGTTGAGTTAAAAGATTTGATTGATTTGTTACTTAAATTCATTTTATAAACTAACTCTAAATATTAATCTTTATTATAAATTATGCCATTCTTATCTTATTTATCATAATTGAACCAATTTGCAATAAAAATATTTCTAATAAGTTTTAATTTTAATATTATATGACAATGAATACCCTTTTCTAATTCCATTAGAATTATGGAAAATTACTCTTTTTTATAAAAAGTCTAAAAAAACATCATTTAATAATTATATAATATTCTAAATTTAAATATGATTAAACTATACAATTTCAACTACAAATCTTCTATTTTCAAATATTTTAACATTATTATAATTAAATGATTATGCAAATGAAGTTATTAAGGATATTGATCAAATTTTCACAAAAACTCCTTATATTACCTATTATAAAATATTAGCTTCATCTCTTTTCAGTAGAAATAGTGATTTTAAAATCATAACATTTAATAATAGAAAAGTTATAATTTTCAAATTTATCTATCTAATTATTCAAACATAATCGACTCAAATGTTAATAAAATTTATCTTCAATAATCATGATAGTATTTGACTTCTAATCAATTTTATGATAATTTAGCAAATTTGTTGACATTCCTTTATCTATCAATAAAAATAACAGAAGGATTGAAAAAAGATATAAGTTTGATTATTTATTAGTTATCAAATATTTTAAAATTAATTTTTAACCCAAATTAGTAGTTTCTAATATAAAAAAAAAACTCAATTATTTTTATTTAAAGCAGTTCAAATCAAATTTTATTGCAATTCTTTAAACTTGTTTTTTATTATTATGTAGATTATTCTACTAGAAATGATAGTCGATATAATAAATAGAAATGAAAGAAAATATAAAATAACGAATAAAATAGTAATTTATTTTCATTTAGTGAAAAATGTTTGCTTATTGAATTTTAATTAATCAAATTTTGATTTTTAAAGAAATTCAATATTTATATTAAATTTAATATAAAATTTGAATCAATTTAATTTATTATTAGTTATATTTAGTCAATTTATCGATTTACCAAATTCTAAAAATGAAGTGTTTAAATGGAAATAAGAAAATTAAAGAATCTTAGAAATCCTTTATGCCTAAAATCTCAATTATATTAAAAATCAATACTAAATTATAAGTCTCAATCAATGATTTAATATAATCAGAGATACCTGTCAAATTTTTGAAATAAATATTAAATGCATTTTCAAATGAATCTAATTATCAGGAGAAATACAATAATTTTAAAAAGGGCAGATAGAAATCGGATTGGATTGTTGTTGAAATTTAAGAAAAAAAGTGAAAGAAAATATTGTCTACAGATTAATTGCAATTTTTTTATTATTTAAGGAAACTTTATGTTTAATTAAAGAAATAATAATAAGGATTCAGCAAGAGGATTAAGAATCAAACCTAAAAAAGGTTAAATTGATTCTTTCAACTTGTAATTTCTTTAAAAATCTTTCTTGCTTTAAAAATATATCTTAAATATAATTTATGCTTAATATTTTAAAATTTTAATTAAAAGAAATTTAGATTTTGTTGAGTCTAAGCTCTAATCTTTTTTACCTAAGATTCTTAAGTTTAATAACATATTAATTCGAAGATGATTTAAATTTATCTCAAGAATAATTTTTAAATAACATAAATTTATTTATGAACAAATATCTACAGATTCTTGAAAAAATTGATATGTTTGGAGTGTAAATATCTCTTCTAACAAATACAAATAAAACAACTTTTCGAAGCAAAGTTGGAGGAGTGATTTCTTTTATTTTGAGTAGCATAAGCTTGTCTTATCTATTATTTGTTTTATTATTATGGATAAACAATGAAATACCTCCCAATATTAGTTCAATATAAGAAACCAAAGGTTATGGGGAGTTTAAATGGTCTCAACCTTTAATAGAGCTCACACTTGAGGACTTTATATCAAATATAGATCCCTTTAGAAAAGAAAACAATATTATTACTCCATTATTATTTAAGACGAACAATTTTAAAGTTTAAGAAGAACCTATTATTTTATTTAGTGACGAATATTATTTTTCCACATTATCTGTCAACAATGGATCTTTAATTTTAAATAATTTATATTAATAAGATGAAGACCATTAACCAAACAAAGAATATTTATTAGTGCTTGCTATATGCTAAAATATCTCTTTAAAAAATGGTAGCTATTGTGCTGATTAGAAAATTATTGATGAATATTTGTCTAAACATCATGGATTTTTAACCTTAACAATTCGATTGAATTAATTTAATTATGTCTAACAAAAATTAGAAGATTTTGTTAAATAATATTACCAAGCTTTTGATCCTAGAAAATCTTCCTATTCTTAAGTAATGTTAAAATAATAAGAAACAATTATTGATGATGGAATTTTGTTTAAAAATGAAAAGTAATTTAACTTTCTTAACAACTATGAATTAATCAATTAAGAAGTCGGATCAGAGTTTATGCCCGATACAATTGCTTTTATTTCTGATAAAAATTATCATTTAAACATTTCAAGTTCCTTTCTTTTTCGAATAGATAATATATCCATAAAAGAAGAGATTACCATGCCAAAACTTGGGTAGGTCTTAGCTTAAATTGGTTCTTTAGTTTAATTAATTTTTTTATTAAAGTATGTTGCTATATTTTATAATAATAAATTACTAGAAAATTAGTAGTTTTATGACATTGTTTCAATGTACTACCCAGAATTTAAAAATTTTTAAATCAATATATTCAATAAATTTAAATTTAAAGAAAATCTTAATTAATTTCAGCTTCCCATAAAAAACTTGGAATTAATATACGTTACTTTATTAAAGCGAGCTAAAGAAAAATGTAGGTTGAATAATATTCTTTATGAGATTTCAAGAATTCAATTTATACTTGAATAATAATTCGGAAATCGTATTTTACAGAATAGCCATTAATTAGGATAGAAATTTACAAAAAATATTAATGAAATCGCGTATGGAAAAATACCTGAATCTAATCGATTAGTTGTCTGGCCTGCTGAGCAAATTTCCACAGAGCAAGAATAAGATCTTATATTAAAAGAACCTTTAGAGTTACTTATTAAACAGGAATGACTAAATGAATTAATAAATTAATATAAATATTCATAATAAATTTCTTTATTATAACACTTAATTCTGTCATTGAATCCGATCAATCTGAATCAATGGTAAATAATCTTGTTAAAAATTAAAGTTTAATTAGACAATATATATGGAATTATGAATTAAAAATTAATAATAAATAATGCTTTTTATTGATTTAAGAAAAAATTTTTAAAAAGAAAATATGGTATCAACTTATTTAAATATATTACTAGTTAAATTAAAAAAAACATAATTAAAAAGTTTTGTCAGTAATAGTGAATTAAATAGATTCATTTAATTTTGTTTTAAAATTTAATATATTTCTTTTGATCTTATAATTTATAAAGCAGGACCCTATTTATTTTAATAATATGGCTCACAGTTAATTAACTCCAAGAAATGGTTTCATATGAATGGGATCTGCTACAATGAAATATTTTAATTTACTAATTATTTTTATTAACTCATTCATTAAAAAACTAGTATTAAAATTTTTCAAGAGATATTAAAGAAATAATAAAAAAGTTTATAATTATTATAATCTCATTTCTTTATCAGAATGATAAATTTAGTGCTATAATCAATATATCAAGTATTATATATTCTCAATACTTACCTTTTTTTTAATTAATATATCACTTATCTAAACAAATAAAAAATTTTCATACACTGTTAATGATCTTTTTTATTTCTACATTAGAGAATTTAAGTTTTGAATTCTACTTATGAGTTTTCCTTTATAGTAAAAATAAAGATATCTATACAGTATGCTGAACTTTTTGAGGTTACAACATTTGGCACTATTGATCAACCAGAATATAACTAAAAATTTAATATTAATAAAGCCAATACTAAAAGAAATGAAAATACTTTTATTTAAAATTTTTCAATTGATGTCAAATAAATTTAAAATATCAATAAGATTATAATGAAATGAATATATAAAATTCACACAAAAATAGGTTAGACTCTTGACTATGAAGGCTTTTATGATTCGATAAGTTTATTGATTGTTTTCTTCACTTTTTTGTATAAGATTTTCATTTGAGTTATGAGATCAACTGCTAAGTTAGAAGATAACACAGTTGTAAAAATGCCTATGTTAAACCATCCAACTTAATTTAAGTTTTCTTTCGATATGGAAAAATAATCGTGTGTATAGTATGAGCAAAAACTTAGAGAATTAGCAAGCATTCCTAACTCTGTAATCATTTATTTGATTTAGTCTTCATTATTCGAAAAAGGTGAAGATACAGCCAGATAAGTGGCAAATGCTGCTGCTTATGTGGCAACACCAATAGTTTAATAAAGACCTTAACTTTAGAGACAAATAATGATAAACATGTAAAGCGACTTCTTTACCAGTAAGATTGTATTATATTGTATTTACCATGTTGATTTTTAAAGATCTTTATTATCTTATTGTAATATTGTGTGAATATAATGCTTCATTGTGATAGATTATTTAGTTTAGATTTATCTGATTTTCTGTACAAGTAGAGTAGTAAATGCAAAGCTAAATGCTAAAGTAGCAATTGCTCCACTTGAATTGGTTATATCGCTCTAAGTATTGAAATCAAGGTGCGTTAGCTATAATAATGAGGCAAATTGCATTTCATAAAAATTAATCGTTATTAATCTAATAGCTCCAGAGTAAACAAAGTCATTAGAAAGCTTAGTACACTTCTAGCGAACTTTTAAAATTCCTCCACCAATAACAGAACCTAAATCATTTAATTTATGTGGAGGTATTAAATGAAGCAATTTGGATATAGACAATGTGGTTATAAATATAGCCAGACCGGCTGATAAAGAAAGAGCCGTTGTTTAGATATTTGAAGTAAATTAGTATTGTAAGTTATCTGATTTAAATTTATTTGGCATTTCTTCAACTGTTGATTTAGATTACGTAGTAATAGTTTAGGGTAATCCAGTCTAACCAAGTTTATTTTACACTAATTAAAATGGAGTTGATTTCTTTAGATTGTCCATATTCTATTGTAAATTATCAGGAAAATTCAAATTGATATATCTTGTGTAATAAAGATATTAAATAGTATCTAAAGTCATGAATAGATTTGAATAACCTGATGAAAATATGCTAATTAGTGAAACACTGGTTGCTGCATACATGGAAATTTCATTAGCGTTTGAAAATAGTTCGACTACTTTTTAAGAAAATGCACTTTGTATATAAGGAACAGGTATTCTCAATTCGGCTGAATTTTAGTCTAAAATGACTTGATCTTCTGTAATAATAATCTTTTTATCAACAAAGACTTAAATATTGACTTAATCAAATGAGACATTGTTTAAAAGATTCAACTTAATGATATAGTTAATATATTAAGGAAATTCTTAAACAGTAACAATAGCTTCGATTTTGTATTCATAATCTGAATCAGTCAATTCATTTATTCTGATCAAGAAAAATGCTTAATCATTGTTAAGAGGATGAATTTCATTATTTTCTATCAAAACAATATTAGATTATAACATCATTTAAGTTGAAAATGTAACTTCAATTTCAGATAGGCTATCTTTTTATGACAATAATTTTAACTAAATGTGTGGTTGTTTTTTATAGATACAATTACTAATTTTTAAGGCTTCATTTTTGCAATACCAATCAAGTTCGATTCGACAATTCTTATCACAACCATCTTAATTGATAAGATTACCATCATCACACTACTCTGTATTTTATTCCCATAACCCATCTCCACATGCTGATGCACATTATTTATTTGATTTGAAATATCCCAAGTAATGATCACATTCTAAACATTTACCATTATCACAATTAAGACAAGCAAAATGGCATTAAAATTCACAAGTATTATTACATCCATCATTTTCAATGAGATTACCATCATCACACTATTCATATCCATTAACAAGTCCATCACCACAAATAGGCACACATGATTAGGTTTATTAATCATAAGTCCAACCAGTTGTATTGCATTCATAGCAAACATCTTTTCTACAATCAGTACAATACTAAACACACTAATAACTGCATTCATAACATCCATCAAATGGCAATAAATTACCATCATCACAATCTTCAAATTTAGGGATGACATACTTATCTCCACAAATAGTTCCACATCTTTGTTTATCATTTAATTACCAACCAAATGTACATTATTCACATTATCCATCCTAACAAACAATGCAAGCTTCTTCACATTAAGTTTTACAGTAAAAGCATCCATCATAAGGTATATCATTTCCATCGTCACATTCTTCAATACCAACTATAAGTGCATCACCACATACTTCCCAACAAAAATAGTTTTCTAATTTCCATCCTGGAGTATTACATTCATAGCATTAGCCATTGATACATTTTGTGCATGGTTCTTAACATATAAATTCACATTCATAACAACCATCAAAATTGATTTCATTACCATCGTCACATTATTCTAAACCTGCTATTAATTAATCTCCACAAAAAGGTTAACAATATCCTTAAGGTGTTAAATGCCATCCTGTTTCTTAATCACATAGTATACATGAGCCATATTAACAATTCATACATTATTATTGACAAGAATAATGACACTCAAAACATCCATCTTCATCAATTAAATTACTATCATCACATTGTTCATTTCCAACAATCAACCCATCTCCACAAATTGATAAACAAATCTAACCTTATAAATAGAATCCATTTGAACAAAATATACACTTACCAAATTCACAAAAAATACAATTCTAATCACATTCATATTTACATTAATTGCAACTATCGAATTTTAATGAATTCTAATCATCACAATCTTCATCTATTGTAACAATTCCATCTCCACATATTGGTAAACAATTTCCATTATTAAATTCATATCCTTATTAACAAATTTCACATTTTCCTTTTACGCATAATTCACATTATCTTGAACAATCAAAAGAACATTCATAGCATCCATCAAATGCTTCACTATTACCATCATCACATTGTTCTACCTCTGTTATAATAGCATCACCACAATTATTCTCACATTTATTTTCTACCAAATTATATCCACTCTAACATTAATGACAAATACCAAATGAACAAGTAGCACAATTATAAGGACATGCAAATTAACATTAACTATTACAATAAGATTCATCCTTTTATAACAATAATGCTTTATCACATTATTCTAATCCAACTATTACATTATCTCCACACATACTTTCACAAGTATGTTCTACTTAATTCAAATACCATCCATTTTAACATTAATAGCAATCACCATTAATACAAATCAAACACTCTCTTTAACATTCTTTTTAATAACAATAATCCTGATTCTATCGATTAATTACATATTTACAATCCAATATACATTTAGGAAATGATAGTACATATCCTTAATTACAACTTGAACAAACTCCTTTTATACAATTTTAACAATTTTCAGTACAAGAATATTTGCAATTATAACATCCATCATAAGGTATATCATTACCATCATCACATTCTTCATATTAAGTTACTTTCATATCTCCACAAATTGGTTTACATTACCTAGTATTATCCAGATAAAAATCTTCTTAGCACAATTAACATTATCCGTACAAACACTCTTAACATTCTACTGAACAATCATATTAACATTAAAAACAACCATCAAATGCATCAAGATTATCATCATCACAGACCTCAAAATCTTTATTAGTTTAGTCTCCACAAATACTTTCACATTCACTTTAAACATTTAAAAAAAAACCAATTTCACATTAATTGCAAATTCCTCTATCACAATTTAAACAATTTAAAACACACTAAAATCGACAATTAAAACATTAATTAATTGATATGTCTCCATTATCTAATTCTAAACTTATATCGCATTATTCTTATCCAGTGATAATCCCATCTCCACATTTAGTTTCACACTTTTTGTTTTATAGATACCATCCATTAATCTCATCACATGATATACATTCACCATTGATACAATGTAAACATTCATTTTAACATTAAAATTAACATTAATAACAACCATCAAAAGGAATAATATCATCATTTTCACAATCCTCTGTATTTGTTTAAATTGAATCACCACAAATACTAATACATTTATTTATTAATAATTCATATCCTTTTTTACAATATTAACAAATTCCAAATTTACAATAATCACAATTATCATCACAAACAAAATTACAACTGTCACAAGATACTGAGTTTGTATCACAATTCTCTCTATCGCTGATAATTAGATCACCACACTTTGATTAACATTGATCATTCAAATTCAAATACCATCCAAAATTATTTTTGCATTCCAAACATTTGCCATAAAAACAATTATTGCAACCTTCTGAACATTTGTATTTACAATTCACACATTCAAATTCATCAATAGTAATAATTCCTGTATCACACTCTTCATTTCCAGCAATTATTCCATCGCCACAGATTGATATGCACTTTTAATCAATTAAAGTATATCCTGAATAGCATTTCTAACATGATCCAAAAATGCAAACAGAACATTACTCTGAACATGTAAAAATACATTAATTGCATCCATCATTTAATTAAGAATTTAAGTCCTCGCATTCCTCATAATCAGTAATTATAGAATCTCCACATTTACTGTAACAAAATAAGGTGTCTTCATCTAAATACCATCCTAAAGACTCTTTACATTTTAAACATTGACCTTAGGTACAAATTTCACATTAGGAGGAACATTAAAGTTAGCAGTTGATACATCCAGTCATATTTTTAATAGTATCCTCAAATTGAATAATACCAAAATCGCATTATTCATCTCCTAAAATAAGTTTATCTCCACAAATAGGAAGGCATTTCTTTTTTGATTAGTTTAAATAGTATCCACTTTAACAGGATAAGCAAATTCCAAATTAACATTAGGTACAAAATTTTTCGCATTAGAAAGTGCAGTTTGAACATCCATCTTCAATGACAAAGTTATAATCATCACAAAATTCATATTTGGTAATAACTCCATCACCACAGATAGGAAGACAAGCATTTTCAGAGCTAAGATAATAGTTTTTTTTGCAATTATAACAAATACCTGCTGCACAGGTTTGACATTCAGCTTAACATTCATATTTACATTAAAAGCATCCATCTTCAAATGTTTAGTTACCATCATCGCATTATTCAATTAATAGAGATAGAACATTATCCCCACAAATTGGAATACACTCCTTGAGTTTAGGATTTAATTAATAACCTGGTGTATTACATTCATAACAACTTCCAAAAATACATGATGTACATTATTCTTAACAAGCCAGATTGCATGAATCACATCCATCATAATTAATTAAATTGCCATCATCACATTCTTCATAGTATGTTGCAAGTTTGTCTCCACATATTGGGGCACATTTTCCATTTTTATTTAGTAAGTAGAAGCCTTATTTGCATTTAGTACAAATTCCTTTAATACATAAATCACAAAAAGAATCACATGAATAATTGCAATTATTACATCCATCAAATGGATTGTTATTTCCATCATCGCATATTTCTCCACCAGCAACAATTAAATCACCACATATAGTAAGACATTTATAAGTAGCCAAATTAATGTAATAACCTATGGAATCATCACATTGATAACATTTTCCATATATGCAGTTTGTGCATTAAGTTTAACATTAGAATTAACAATTAAAACAGCCATCATAAGGAGTCAGATTATTATCTTCACATTATTCTTCACTAACAATAGATCCATTTCCACATGTAGGGTAACATCTTCTCATAGTTTTTTATAATGTATAACCAGGAGTACAAACTGAGCATTAACCATTAACACAGGTTTAACACTCTTTCTAACATTCAAATTTACAATTATTACACCCATCAAATCTAATTGTATTACCATCATCACAGTCTTCTCCTTCAGTTACGATCATATCACCACATATTGATTAACAATTTTAATTGATACCATCATCATAATAATTACTTTGACAAACACATTGATTATTATTTAAATATCTATGTTAAGAACTTTTACAAAATAAACATTCAGTGCTGTCAGAACCATAACAAGAATCACATAAAGGATGACAATTTACACAATTATTTGTATTTGTTAAATATGTCCAAGGATAACATTAACAATTTCCATTCTATAAATAAAAATTAGTAGCACATTTAGTACAAATATATGAATTTAAACATTCTAAACAATAAATAGGTGTGCATGATCTACAAACAGCAGGAGTAACTGTGTTATCAAAATAGTAAGTGTTATTAATACAAGTAGAAGGTGATGACATTCCTATTGGTAATGATTATTATCCAGTACATTATGCCCATGTTGGACCAGTGCAAGCAGTACAATATTGAGTGCACTATATAACATTTATTATTTACTTCTAAAATAAGTATAAAATAATCATAAATAATACAGAAATTATCTTTTATGTTTCCTCTATTTGAACTACATTTGAGTTATACTGAAAAACTAGATGTAAAGTGTGATTATGTTCTATCAACAATTATGTATTTATCATCTCTATCTCTGCCAATTTTAGTGCTTGTAGTTGGTTTGCTATCTTTAGTTAATGAATCTGAAACTCCTCCTATATCATAATCAAAACTTCCATCAAAATCATCACCTAAAATGATTATAAATTTAAATCTAAAACTATAATGTGGATTTAAATTGAAGTTTTTAAGAAATTATGCTTTAAACCAAACTAATGGACCACCCAACACTCTTTTTTACAAATAATAACTAAAATAAATTGCAGTATTTGTATTCAAAAAGCGATCTTTTGTTTTAAAATCTGCAGCTTAATTTGATACTGTTCCTACGATAGAACTTACATCTGTATCAGTTGTATTTGAAGAATCATAAAATGCTTTAATTATGTATTTAGAATCTAAAATTTACTAAAATAAATACTAGCGGCAACTTCATCTAAATCTTAACAAACTCTTGTAGTTTAAATTCCAAATGATGGGCAATCAGATACACATTTATTTTTATAAAGAAATCCTGATGAACAAGAATAACATTTCTAATCAAAATCACACCAATCACATGATTCTTAACATTTCATTATATCCATCACAACATCTCGAAACCCCCAAGATTATAAACCAATTGAACTTTTAATATTATTATATTTATACTCCATAGATCCTTATAAGATTAATATAGGATTTGTAATGTTTGATTTTAATTTAGTTTCTAATCTATAGTATTCAACATTAGGATTAGGATTTGTACAATTAGTATCTGAATATAATTTATCAGCATTTCGACCTGTCAATACTTAAGATATTGTATAGACTGATGCAAATTCAACATCATCTAACAATATGTGAACTGCTGAATAATCAGCCCAATTATTAAATCTTATTATTGTAGCTCTAAATCTTATATAGGATATATTATAAGGAATTGATAATTTTACACTAAATCCTTCATTATAAAAAAATGGACCTACATATGCTTTACTAGATTAACAAGGAATTGTGCTTATCTTTTAAGAATTAACTAAATTAAAATTTATTGGATCAGGAACAAATACCCAAGGAGATGAAGAAGTAAAAGTAGTAGAGTCAAAATATGTTTTATACGGGAGCATATCTAGATAATTATTTAAAATAATACATTCATTGAATTAACATACTTTATTTGAATCTGGAATTCTATAGAAATTACATTCTGTTACACAACTTTTTGTATTATCTAAATATTCAATAAAAGAATAATTTGTAGGACAATCACTACAAGTTGTAGGGGAACCTAAAGTAATAGAGGGATCAGTAAAACAAGCTAAACAATTAGTTGCTAAATTGTTAGAACTACATTTTAAACATGACCAATGACATTAATTTATATAAATCTATAAACTTCTTATACCATAATTTCTTCCATTTGGAAAACTAGTTCCACATACTCTAAATAGAAGTTTGTCATTATCATTATGATTAAAGGTCATAGTATAAGTTTATATTTCAAATTTACTCCAGTCATCATTACAAGCTTTATCATAATTTTATAGAGAATCATCCTTATAATTGAATGAATATGCAGAGGAGGATCCTTAAATATTGAAAGAAATTGTAACAAATGAACCTGGTGGCCTTATGAAATAACCATCTACAATAACTTTAACTTCGTAATGAGGAGGTAAATTTAAAACAGTATAAGTTGCGCTATTCTTAGAATCCCCTACTAAAATATATCTTATGTCGTTATCTTTGCATTTTTCGATCGATCCACTTAATGAATTATTATCCCAATCACATGAATCTCTAAAAATCCATTTAGAAGTGGAAACAGTAAAATCTAATAAATCTTCGCTTACAAGGGTCCATTGTGCTTACATGACTAAAATTAGTGAAAGAAGAAAAAGAATTTTTGGCATTTGTTCTTTTTTTTTATCAAAATAATTATGACATCATGTGTGAAATTCTTCATTTTTGTATACAATTAAATTCTGCAGATTATTAATTTAAACTTTTAATATTATTTACTATATTTTTTCCTTAATTTTACACCTATTTTTTAAGTAAAACTATTCTTCTTTTAGCTTTATAATTAATTGATATTCGTTTATAAAGTTTAATTATGTCTATTTCATTTCCTAACATATAGTAATTAACTTATCAATATGAATGAAATCAACCATCAAATCTTTGCTATCCATCAAATAGGATCATTATAATAATAATTATCCAAAGTAAAATTTGTAATTCAAATGATTTAAACTTAATAAAATATCATGAAACATATACAAATGTAGCATAAAGATTATAATTTTAATGTAAGCTAAAAAATTAAAAGAAAAAATCTGATCTAACTTATTTTTATAGTTGCAATTTTATATTTATGCGTGAATCTACAATAAATTTGATTGCTAATTTTAATATATACTAATATAATTGTTTATAAAATTTGTAAAAATTATTTTTAAATTAAAATGAAAATAAATAATATATAATAGATTTATTCTTAAAATTTAAAAAAATTGAATTATTTAGTTTTTATTAGAACTAAACTTAGAATTAGATGAAATTGATTAGAGAAAATAACTATTACTCTTCTATAATTATAATAGTGAGAAAAATCTGATTATAAAATAAAAAAGCTAAACTCTGAAGGAAATTAAATTTACAAAGAAGAAAAATCTTAGTAAGTGCGAGACTTTAATCAATTTAATAGGAAATTTTTATAAAAATATTGACTTATGAAATATATTAAAAACAATAAACTCAAAAATAAGTAATTTAATCATTCATAAAAACTAAAATATTTGATTAATTTCTTTAGAAATACCTAAATTATTTTATGTGATTTAAAAATTCTCTATATTTGCTGTTTTATTTTTTTTCATCTTAATATTAAAAAAAATCTGAAAAACCCGTATTTAATAAATAGAACAATTTTTAACTTTTTAGTTTAGAATAATTTTATTTTTCTCTCATATTGATTAATTTTTGAAATTTTTAAACGAAACTTATTTATTAAATCATTTCTTTTATATTGTTAAATTTTCTTTGCTGACGTTTGTGCTTTCATATTTATTTTTTTTTTTTTATTTTTTCTGAACCATTTATATGGTTTATTTTGGGAATCAAATTTCAAATTAATTTTTTTTTTCCTTAAAACTCATCTATATTATTTATTCTTTTATGTGATAGAAATTAAATTTTTAACATAAATAAAATCAATTCTGAACTTAGGTGCTAGTAAAATTACATAATAATTATTTGAAAAAGTAATTTGAATGCTTCTTTGTATTTTATATATAAAGTGAGAATTCATTCAATGTTAATTTAAAATAGTTTAAAATTGAAATCATTTCACATACTTGAATTTAAAAAATTAATAATTAATACATTTTCTCATTTTTTTATAAGAATAACAAAATAACAATTAAATAGTACAATCATTTCTGAGATATTAAAAAAAATATTGAATTATAATTTAAATGTGTTTTCATGTTCTGATGTATAAGAATTCTTATAAGAGATAATTATGGTCAATTTAGAGTGAAGGCATTTAAGTAGTAAATGAAAAATATGTTTTTTATTTTCGTAAATAATTTATATACACAAATTAAAATATAAAAATCAAGTTTATTTACAAACCACCATTAACTCAATTTAGATGGTGGAATCTGTTTCATTGGATTAAGAATGATTTGAATTTCTTAGTTTTGATTTATTATTAAAAAGCAAATAGAATAAAGAAATAAAACCAATAAATGATAATAGAAGAAGCAAAGAATTCATTTTTTGATAATTCGTATAATTCTCAACTCTCAAAATTTGAGCAACTATATATGAGAAACAAGTTAATTCTATCATATAATTAAATAATACCTAAATTAATAGAACTATATATTAATCCGAATCCAGTGGCTACCATATGTGATGGAACAATATTTGGAATATATGGCCACATAACTGCAAAATAAATACCAAAGAAGAGTCCATTAAGAATACTTCCAATTAAAGGAAATATTAAACATGGAGAATCAAATTCTGGTAAGATCTAGAACATTATTAATGTGAGTAATTGAAAACTACAAGCGATAATTAAAATTTCGATATTCCTTCCTATTCTTTATAAATAATAACCAACGATAGGACTTAATAATGCTGAAAGATAATATGGAATACTAAATAAAATATTAGCAGTATTTTGATCCAATTTAAAACTATGATATAAATATGTATAAATAATACTTTTATTTAAACATTTCAACGGAATTATAACTGAATATAAAAAATACTGAATAGCATGTTGCACAACTTATTAATGTAATATAAAATTCTAAACTAAAATTTTTAATTTATCTAAGTTCAATGCTTTCTAATTTTTGATCTTCTACTTTATCTCTAATATCACTAAATCTGTCTATTTAAGTTAGTATTAAAATTGTAATGAAACTAAAAATTGCAATTTTAAAACACATAAGTAAACATCTAGACAAATCATTATCAGAAGCTGAATATAAGAATGGGTATAGTATTGAAGCACTTATTGATCCAATTCTGCAAAGTGCAGTGTCAATACTATATATTTATATATTATAAATAATTACCCATATGCAAAAGAATTTTCTTTATCTTTGAACCATTTATTAATGTAATAACTCTCTGCTACACATCCACTTGATTCAAATATACCAAATATAAACCTTCCAATAATCATTAATTTAAAACTTTGTAAAAACACTGAAACTAAGCACAAAACTAAATGTGGTAATTATTATAAACATACATTAACCAAGAATTACTACTAATCCAAAAAGTACATATGATCTTCTAACACCAAAAGCATCAATTATTAAACCTCCTACTAATGTCATAATCATATTTGGAAGTGATTCAAATAATAGTAAATAATTAACATCTTCTTGAGTTACCTAAAAATAGTTCTTTATTTATTCTCCTAACAATGCTGGCAATTCAGCTATAAGGAATTGAGCTAATGGATAAACACCAATTAGACATAATACAAACCATCTTATATTAGTTTCATGCCAAGAGATTGCTTTTACCATAATTTCAGAGTTATTAAAAATTAAATAATCTGTTAAAAATAACATTATTTAAAATCGATTTAATCAGAAACTCTTTTTGAAACTAAATGGATTAGATGTTTAAAAAAAATCAAATTCTAATGATTCATTATTTTTAAAATTTATTTTTTTCAGTATAATTATTTTATAATATTAAATTCAATAACATAATATATTAATATTAATATTTGAAATTTAACTGAAATTAACAAATTTTGCCCTTAACTGTATCAATCTACTTTTAAATATCTTTGAAAAAATTTTAAATGTTTACAAATCTTTAGAAAAGTACATACAAATGTACAAATGTACGTTATTAATTTTTAATGGTAAAAAGAATGGAAATATCTTCTTATAGCGCAAATATATAAATTATTAATATATTTGAGACAACTATTAATTAAACTTTTCGAAATAGGAATATAACTTGTAAAGAAAATGAATTCTCTCAAAATGGTTTTATCATTAACTTGTCTTTTTATTCTAAGGAATACAATTTATACAAGAAAATTAAAATTTTTTAATACCTAAGTTAGATGTACAATTAATTGTAATCTATCTATATTAAGTTTGGCGAAATCGCATCTTCGATTGATTCGTGGCAAATTTTATTGTGGAATGAAAAATATTTAGAGAGAAGAGCGAATATAAAAATCTGAAAACAATAATTATATGTTTAAATCTATTTACAAAATGCTTTTATAGTTGTTTGTTATTAAATATTGAAAAATAAGTATAATGTTCAATTTAAATTAAAGAATAAAAAGATATATCCAACTAAAAAAACAATAATATCAATAATTAGGCAGATAAAATAATGCTAAATTTAATTAATAAACCACGCAATAAAATATATATATTTTTCAGATACTCATCTTCAAATAAAGTATTCAATATCTAACATGTTCATTGCTCATAAATCAAAACAATATATTCAGCTTAATCACGAAAAATATAGTTTTTCTGGGAACTATCATTTCAAAAATGAATTTATAAATTGTTGCTAGGAATGACTCAAAATTTAAAACAAAACAACAACAAAAGTGTGTGAATTTCTTTGAAAATATCAAATTACTTTCAAGCAACTTTCTTGATGTTCAATGAACTTATAATAATAAAAATTAATCTTACTAATTTTAATTTATCGTAATTGAGTAAAAATGAGAGAATAAAAGCATTAATAATTTTAATAGTATTACATAAATTATTAAATCTTTTTAAATAATTTTCATAAATAATTATTTTTGAATTAAACTAATCATATGGATTAAGATTAGGGATTTTTTTAAGAGCTCAGATTGATTTAAGGAGAAATTAAATATCTTTTATCAATATTCCTATTGAAATTTATTGATCTCTCTTAAACTTTTTAATATTTTAGGCTTTGCTTAGCTTATCAAATAATAATATTCATATAACGTAGTAGGAAGATTTTTAATTGAATATAAAATTGCTAATAGTAAAAAAAATAAAAATATATATTCAGCTATTACTTTAATGGAACGATAAATAACAAGAAATAAAAAAAAGATTTATTGAGATTAAGAATAATTTTAAAAGATTTAGTTTCTACTTAAACAAATAAATAAATGAAATTTATACAATAATGATATGAATATATATTTAAATATATATATTTAATTTTTGATGTCTTTATAATTAAGAAGAACCTTAAGAAATCAATTATTGTAAGATTTCATCAAAGAAAATAGACTTTAATAAAAAGGAAATGATTAATAGTTTTGATATTAATTATAACAAAAAGCTGGATGAATTTTTGAAATATTTTTTATTAAAATATAATGATATAATTTCTAAAGGATGTGATTATTAAATGTATTGATATAAAATAGAAAATTACTACAGTAATATTCCATAATTAATTTTTTTTATTAACTTTAATTTTATATGTATAATTAGAGGTTAATTTATGGTTAATAATTGAAAAAAAAATCTCAATATTATATACGTGTAGTTTTAAGTAATTTAAAAAAAGAACTTTTGCATCTTCACAGCTATATATTTTTATCTTATTATAAAAAGACTTTAAATAATTGCTTGAATTCCCTCTTAATCTTAATAAAATATAAAAAACAAAAATGTTGATAGCTATTTAAAACTTTAAAAGACTCTTATTAAAGAAACCTTTGATTTAGCACACATTTATAGGATTATTTTCAAAAGGCACTTATTATAAATATAAATAAAAGTCGGTAGTTGAGAAATTATTTATGATAATTAATTGATGGAAATATTATAATAAGAGCTTTTAGTGAGTTTAGTTTGAAACTGGATAAAATTAGGTGATAATTTCAGGAAGTGTTGATAAAATTTGGTATCAAGTTATATAAAATTAAATTAGAGAATAAAAAGTACAAGATTGTTGTTTAATTTTAATTTAAAAATAGTTTGATCTTTATTATGAAATTAAGGAAAGAAATCAAAACATCAAACAAAATATTTGTTATTACATTTTAAAGTAAAATATTCTGTTGTAAGAATTAGAAAACTCATTTCAATATAATTAAGAAAAATGAATTCATAATAATTACTCAAAAAAACTTCAAAGAAAACCTACAATTATAGACAATAAAATATTATTTTTTTCTGCCCCTCATCATCATTAATTTTAATAAACAGTTTTCAATTTTACTGTTTATGTAGTCAAAATATTTTCAAAATGATTCGAATCTTATCATTAATTTTCCCAACAATTTTTACTAAATCTTTAACTTATTAAATATATATTTTAAAATATTATTAAGTTTTTTATATATCTTAGGAGTATAGTTATTAAATAGTTGTATATCTACTTCATTTTCATCTATGTAAATCTTATTTTTATAAAGAATGAAAGGCCAAACTGTTATTTGAAACCTCTCAGAAAAATTTTAGTACCAGCAATCAAAAGATGGAGTAATCTATATACAGTAAATATGAATAATAGTTGAGAAAGAGAATAAGTTAATCTTATCTAGAAATATTCTTTTATTTAGAATAGATAAAATTTAAAAAGTTTCAGATTTATCCAAAAATTATTTGGCACAATAATATATTTATGAAGTGCTCTTACCTAATTTCTGTTGTTTTGAAATAAAATCTCTTAAAAAAGAAAGAAATTAAGTCAGCTTTTTAAAAATAGTATCTATATTAAAATAAATATTGGACAATCAAATTCTTAAATAATCAACAATTTTCTTTTTCTCTATTATTGAAACAACAAACTTTTTTCTAACATACTTTTTGTTAAATTTAATTTAAATCCTCATTTATCATATTGATGAGGGTTTTCAATTCCTTCATTAATGCTAATTTTTTTCTAGTTTTACAGTAAGGGAATCTGAAATAAGAGACTTAAGTCTTTATTGTTTAAACAAATGTAAACTTTAATTTTAACAAAGTATAAATAATAAGAATTTGTAATTATTTAGAAGAATAGATAATGAATTTATTCTCATTTGCAATAAAATTACTCAAATCAATTAAATAGAATTTTAAATTAAGTAGATATTTTAGAGACAGATTTAGGAATAATTTAATTAGACAATTAGTAAGGTAAAGAGAATAAAATTCTCCTTTATAAACATTAAAGATATGTGTTTTAATTGATATTCTATATACTCATTACACAAATTTCAATTAATATTAAGGTAACAAAAACTTCATAATTTTAAGTATTAGGATTTTAACCATAAGTAAAATACGTCAATTTGGCTAATTTTGAATTAAGTGAAAAACATTTATAGAGACATCTAATATTTAAACTTAATAGTCTCTTTATCATATGTGAGAAAATCATAAGATTTATTTAGACAAATAGATGAAATAACATGCAATAATATTTAAATAGAATTTTAAGCTTATTCATGTAAAATATAAAAATTAGAGTGAAATAATAATCATTATTATATTTAAACTTACTTTCAGTACTTAAGTTCTAAGTTAAATTAATAATTTTTGCTCATATTAATTGCTGGATGTAAATATGAGAATTTATACGATGTTTTGGAATGGTGAATCAAAGGTAACTATATAATTATAGATTAACTTCAAGTTTTATTTTGATATAAAAAATTCTTTCTTTGATTTTTAAAGTTATAATATGAAATTCATAAATTTCACCATAAAAAGATTTTAAGGGAGGTAAGAATGCTTTAAATGCTGAGAAAATTTTAATAGAGCTATCATAAGACATACAATTTTCAATCGAATCTAAATCATAATTGAATTTAATGCATGTATTTCACTACACTTCATTAAAGTAATAGCCTAATAAAGATGTTTAAGACTTCGGAATGTAAAGATGGTAAATTTTTGGCAATTTGGTAAATTGTGAGAAACAGAAATAATATCAAGAAGCAACGAATAAATAAATCAGAAATCTTTTTCAAAAAGATAATGGATTAAATTTATTAAGGAAGTTGATTATTGTAATAGAATATAAAAATATATTTTATATTTTTCTATGTTTAATATTATTCAAATGATAAAGAGATCAAAGTAATTTTAAGTTGTTCACTCTCAAATTATTAACAGGTATAAATATAAAAAGCAAAATAAATGATGTAGATTAAAACTGATTTTTATAAATTTTGTTCCACGTTATTATTATTATTGGTCAATAGAAGTAAAAATACCTTCTCATACTTAATATAATTTTGATTCTTTCTAAGGTAGTTATTGATGCTTATTAATCTTAATCCAATCTATTTTCTCAAGAATAACTTAAACTATATCACATGAATTTTTAATTTTATCCACAGATAACCAATTTTAAGAAAAATGTCAAATCTAATTTAGTAATAGTGATTAAATTTATTTCATCAAAAAGATTTTTTTCTTTTTGTGATTCCTAAAATAGAAAATTCACGCTAAATCATTTGGCCTCTATTCTTGAATCAATCAAAATTCTTAATCTTGTGTAAAAATATTTTTTTTCATTTTTAATAATTATATGGTACATTTAATTATTAATCTTCCTACTTATCATTTGGAAACTGCTAGATTCTTATTAAAAATTATAAAAATAAATTGAATAATCAATTAAATTAAAAAAAAAATTAAATAACAATTGAAAGCTTACTCTTAATTAGAGTATATTTGTTTCCTTATTATATATTCTATGGAGATTAAATAGATTTTTGTTTATATTTTATATTAAAAGTGCATTCAAATGGAAATTAAAAACATCAATTTCACTTTTTACAAATATAAATACTTGTATACGATAATAAGTCTTTGACTAACTCATAGATGAAATTTGACTATTTCAAGTCAAACTCGATGTTTTTAAAAAGCTTTTAACCAATAGTAGATAAACTTAGAGATCATATTGAAAAAATCTCAATAGGAATGAAGTTTGTTTAATTTTAAATATATTAAATTTTTCAAAACAGGAATATCAAATTAAAATAAAAATTGTTATTTAGAATTAATTATAAGAATAACAATTCAAAAAAAATTATATAAATATAAAAAAATTCTTCTGTATTCTATTTCAAGGTTACAAAATAAAATTATAATAAAAATATAATATTTTTTATGACCAATTAATATGATCGTAACATAAACCAAACCATATGATTTCTTTTCCCATACTAAACTTGCTTATCACTATAGATTCAACAATTGCTCAACCCCTTTCTATCACCATTTTTACTTTATTTTTAAATTCTAATATAGACTATCCTTAATAATATTTTTTAAGAAGATCCTCTTAAATTTGTTTTTGACATACTTTTTATTCAATTTCAAAATTTTTTTTTAATTTTTATATTGTTAAAAAAAGACTTTAATGACTTTTCTTTGAGAGTAAGAAAGGCTTCCAATTTTTAATTTTATCCTATTTAATTAAAATTTTCACTCTAGATCATAAGATAATCAGTTTCACAATACTATTATGTCAAGTAGTAGCATAGTTAATAAAAACTAATGTGCCTAAATTATAAATATCACTATAGAATCTAGAAATCTGTTTATTTTACTCTAAAATATTTTTATAGTTTTCCAAAACCATTTGCTAACTTTGGTATATAGTATAATAATAGAATCTTAAAATCATTTACTAATTTTAAATATAAATAGTAACATAAAAGAATTTGCAGTTTTATTATATAATATAAATATAAAATCACAAAACTATATGCAGTTTTATTATAAAATAAAAATATAAACCATTTGTAATTTTATTATAAAAAAATTTCTATGAAATTTTAAAACTATTTGCATATTGGGATTCTCTTAATCTTAACAAGACAATGAATCAGTCATAAATAAGGTAACCCGCTTTACTAACTTCGATTAGGTTATAAATTGATAACAAAAATTTAAATTTTATAACTATGATCATTAATTTTTCATTATTTTTTCAATTTGCCTAAATTTATTTCATTTACTAACTTATTAGTATGCTCATTACTTGAATTTTTTTTTTTCTTATACTTTGAATAATCAATATAAATAATTTGAAAGTTATTTATCCAAATTGCTCGATAAAATATTAAATGTAAGAATAATATATATCTATATTTAACAAAATCTTTTTTTTGTTTTTCTATTAGTTATTTTTTCAAATATATATTTCGAAACTTTATATGTTTTGCAAAATTAACTTGAACCTAATTTTGATTGGCTTGTAAAAAGTTTCAAATCATGAATGAAAATTTTTTATCTATTAAATTTCTAGAATGAAAGCAAAAACTATTTCTAATAGATAAAAAGAAACACCATTTTTGTAAAGCTTAAGTGTGAATAGACAAATATGATTAATTTGATAAATTAAAATAAAACTAATTTATCTTCATATTATATAATGAATGACATCATAAGTATAATAATAATTAATTTACAATGTATTTCCTAGTCTTCCTGATCTTAATCTAGAAAATAATAACATAATGGTTGGTTAAAGATTAAGCTATGATTTCAAATGTAATTTATGAATAGGTTACGGCTGGTAATGCATTTGAAAAAACAGAAGGCTTTGTCAAAACTTCAAATACATTAATGACAGCAAATTTTATTAATTGCTAAACACCCCTTACAAGTTATATTACTTTGGATAAAAACAATCCTGGAATAGAAAATTACAAAGATAAATAAGTTTCATATGGATCTGTATTATCATTTGATTTATATTTTCATGGTACATGGAATGCTTAATCAATTACGATAAATCTAGGAAGTTTTAGTCATTCCATTTCATATATTTAACCAAGCACTTACCATTTAGATACTTAATTTTGTGATAATACACCATATGAGATTTAGTCACATTATATTTTTTTTTAATAATCCTATTCAGGTAAATTTTCCTATAGTTCTTCAAATTTATTAGATGGTAAGGTCTCTTTAAGAAATATTTTCATAACAAGATTACAATGTTATCCTTCTTGTATGTAATGCAGTGGTCCAGAATTTAATGAATGTTCAATGTGCTTTTATGGAATACCCTTGAATAATATTTGTCCAACATGTCCAAATGGTTAATATTATGTAAAGTATTTGGGATGTAGAAATGTTTGTAATTTTGATTCAAAATTGTTTAAAAATTAATTCTGTGAAGGATACCCAAGTAAAGCAAATTCTAATATTTAGTAACTTATTTTCTACAATCCAAATTAGATTTACATCCTTAACAAATTGAATAAGTCAGGTGGTCAATAAACTATGATAAAAAAAACATAGATCCTACTATTAGACTTGATTTCCATGTTAATAATATTTTATGTTTCGGAATTTTCAAATATAATTCTGGAATTCAACGATTTGTGAATGAAATTAATCCAAATATAGGAACTTAATTGATCGGCCTAAGAATAGAGATTATTCTGTTTAATTCTCTTACTACTAATTCTGGAATTAACATTCAAATTAACAATACATATTATGGATCCTTATATAAAATTTCTACTTAAATTGAAACACATAATATGTTTGTATTTGATTAGACTTTTATGGGTTGCTCTTTGCCATATACCAATTGTTATTTATATGAACTACACATGTTTGTTGATATTCCATCAAATCCATTTTTATTTTCAATATTTGGCAATTTCACGTATTAAATTAATTTTTAATTATAGGGATAACAATGCAGGGTGGGGATTAGTTTCCTTTGCAGTAACTTCTGGATATTGTCCAGATAACTGTCTGGAATGTGAAATATCATTTTAGTGTAAAACTTGTATGCAAAATTTTAAAAAATATAGAGATGGTAGATGCAATATTCATTGTAATCTAGCATTTTAAAGATCAAATGATACTCATTGTATAGATTTTGATGATGAGACTTCTTGTAATATTTTACATAATTTCTAGATTCAAAATATTTGATTTAAGAATATATTGATTTTGCAAATGATCCAACTTAAGAATACAAATATATATTAATTTCTCAATCTCCGTTAAATGGAAAAAATTTTTTAAAAGGAGATAATATTATGTATTCATATTGGAAAACTTATCGTATTTTTGGTGGTCCTTATGTTTGGGCTTAAGCAAAATTTTAAAGAGAACATTAAATTTTAAATCCTCATCATAGTATTACAATTGGGTTTGAGGTGCTGTTTGGTCCAACTTTCCCATTGACAGGAAGTTTTATTTACACAATTTAATCGAATCCAAGTGTAAATCTAAATCTATAAACAACAGGTATTTATGCAAATGATGATGGAACAAAGACAAAAAGAGTGTATGAAAAAATTAACCATAACTCGGGTACATTAATTATTTATTGGGAATGTTATGGTTCAGATAATGAACCAGTGAGTTCTTATTGTGGATTTTTCAACTATTATATTGCAGTTCACTATTGTTAACCATTTTGTACATAATGCACAAATGAAAACACTTGTACATAATGGAATAGTACATACTATTCTAATATTGTTAAATTTTCATAGTCTGAATGTTTCAATAATTAATATCATGATAAGAATTAATGGACTTGTTTGAATTGCCCAAATTAATGCATGACTTGTACTTCTCTGATAGATTGCTAAATTTGCTAAAATACTTATACTCTAACTAAACAAGGATGTGTGTGCAAATAAAATTAATATGAGGATTCCATTCAATGTTATGATTGTCCTGTTTTATGTAAATAATGCTTAAGTGCAACTTATTGTATTGAATGTTTTTTAAGTGATTTTAGAGAACTAGTTTAAGGTGAATGTACCTGTATGGAAGGTTATTATGAAGTGATAGGTAGTACAATTTGTTTGTAATGCCATTAATTTTGTAAAGAATGTTCAGGTTCTACTAATAATAATTGTTATAGTTGTAGTGATATAGTTGGTATAGATAAATAAGGTAATACTTGTTAATGTCCATTAACAACATTTTACTCAGAATAATCAAATTCTTGTATGAGCTGTCATAATACTTGTTTGACATGTTTTAATGAAAGTATAAATGGATGTCTTACTTGTGATATATCATTAAACAGAAATCTTATAGGATTAAATTGTTAATGTTCTTCAGGATATTATGAGGATTCTGGTACTTGTGAGAGTATTTAAAAAAAGATTTATAATAGGTTGCCCTGATAATGAAGATTCTTCTTTCACTCAATGCTATGTATTATGTTTGAATAACTAAATGATATGGCATAAACCAGGATGTACATCTTGTGATGATGGCTTTATTTTAGTTAATAAAGGATGTTAACCATTTTGTGGAGATTAAAAACTTGTTGGAAATGAATAATGTGATGACGGTAATAATGAATTAGATGATAAATGTTTTAATTGCAGATTTTAATGTCCAAAAAATTGTTTAGATTGTAATTAATATACTTCTTTACCTTGTCCAGATTTATGTGGAGATGGAATAGTGACTGGTCTAGAAGAATGCGAAGATGGTAATATTATTTAATTTGATGGTTGTTATAATTGCAAATATTAATGTTAAGAATCTTGCACAAAATGTTTGAAGGGTGTTTGTTATGAATGTGCTGGAGGATGGTACATAGATCCACTAATATGGAGGTGTAAAGAGAGATGTGGAGATCGTTTAGTTGTTGGATAAGAGTAATGTGATGATGCAAATTAAGCCGATCATGATGGATGTAAAGAATGTAGATATTTTTGCAGAAATGGTTGTTCATCTTGCAATTTTGACACAAATATTTGTTTAGCTTGCTAATATCCTGGATTTGTTCCAAATTAATATTATTGTTAAAATGTTTGTGGAGATGGTTTAGTCGTATCAGACCCATTCTTTATAGAAGTATGTGATGATATTGGTTGTAAATCAGACTGTAAATCTTGTAAATAAGGATATGTACTTGTAAATAGTATTTGCGAACCTATTTGTGGTGATTCTCTAGTAGTGGAAAAAGAAATGTGTGAGGATATATTCACACTACCCTATAGATGTTAACATTGTTAAACTAAGTGTTAATTATCTTGTTTATTATGTGATACAACAGGAAAAGGATGTTTAATATGTAACATTGGTTATGAAAATATTGACAATTTATGTTACTCAATTTGTGGAGATCAAATTGTTACAAATGATGAAGATTGTGATGATGGCAATTTAATCATAGGAGATGGCTGTCATTTCTGTTAATATAGTTGTTTACATTCATGTTAAGATTGCATCAAAGGTAAATGCTTAAATTGTATGGATGGTTATTCCTTAATTTTATCTACATGCTAATTAGATTGTGATGATGGTATTACAATATGGGAAGAGCAATGTGATTATATCATTTTAACAAATAATGATGGCTGTTATAAGTGTCTCTAATGCTCAGATTATTGCCAAGATTGTTAAAATGGAATATGTATATCATGTCAAACTAATTATGAACTTGATATCTTATATCATACATGCAAACCTATTCACACTACTAATAAAAATATTGAACCATATTGTGTATAATTTAAAGAAAATTAATGTCTAGAATAAAGGGAAGCATTAATGAATTTTCTTTAATATTCTGATTTTCTTATGAATACATGTTTTGAACATTGCAAAAATTGCTTACTTAATAAATGCATTGAATGCTAATAAGGTTATTATGGTTCTATTTGTTTACCAAAATGTGGAGATAATATTGTTGTTTTAGAAGAAGAATGTGATTGCATAAGAGGTAAGATGATAAGTGAGTGTTTTAATTGTAAATTAATTTGTCCAAATTTTTGTTAACTATGTGTATTTGGATAATGTTAATAATGTTAATATGGATTTTATTTAGATGTTTTAAGTAATACTTGTTAATCAATATGTGGAGATAATATATAATCTTTAAATGAACTTTGTGATGATGGAAATGATCAAGATTATGATGGTTGTTCTTCATGTTAATATTAGTGTGAATTAGAATGTCTAGATTGTTAATTTGGTAAATGTACTTTATGTTTTGAACCATTTCTTTTAGTATAATCAAAAGTCAAATGTGAACCAATTTAATCCTGTGAAGCTTAATTTGGATATTATTATGAAAGTTTTACTAATAGCTGTATAAGTCTCTGTGGAGATGGTATTGTTTCAGGTGATGAAGATTGTGATGATATTAATGATACCCCATATGATGGCTGTTATTAATGCAAATTTTAATGTAGTAAACTCTGTGAATTATGTGATAATGGTATTTGTCTTATTGAAGCATGTCCTCTTGGAACAATCCCTATGAAAAATTCCTGTTGTGGAGATTTTATTGTAAATGGTGATGAAGAGTGCGATGATGGCAATTTAATAGATTTTGATGGCTGTTCATAATGCTTCTTTTAGTGTGATCAATTTTGTAATACTTGTGATCAAGGAAATTGTATCTAATGTATTGAAGGATTTACATTAGATAAAAATAAATGTTTTTTAAATGAATATCAGCAAATATAATATTTGGAAACAGAAAAAAAATAATAATCTAATTCCCTTAATTTTGATCAGATTTGCAGAAATGATGAATGTGTTTATTCTTTAAGACCATAAATGAAATTGACATTCTTAAATTAGACCTTTTCCAAATAATATGTCGAAATTAGTTTTGATTAAGAAGTGCAATTAGATGGATCCCATATTATTGATTAACTGTAGATATTCGAGATCCTAATCGAAAATTTAGATGATTAATTTTACAATTTATAGCTTTAATCTATTGTAAGTATCACTTCAGATCTACAATATGTCCAATACATTATTGAAATAGATATTTAGCTTGAAATTTAAGAAAAACCTACTTTATCTGTTTCTTTAATGAAGACTGTTATTAATAGCAATAATCAAACTGTTTTTAAACCCTCCTAGGCTATTCATCTCAATCTTCCTAAGATTATGAGTGAAAAAATAAAATAGTAAGCCATTACTATTAGTTCAACCAATAAAGCATTTATGATCACTGCTATTTCTATTTCTGTGATATCATTACTTTTTGGTGAAGCCTCTTTATTCATTGAAACATTGAGTACTCTTTAGTACTAATCTTATCTTAAGTTTATTAATCTTGATTACCCAGAAAATTTATATATGTATTTCTAAACATCAGAAATGTTATCTTTATCCAGTTATTTAGATAATTTACAAATAGACTACTTATTAGGAATTATTACTAGAAAGCCAGAAAGTCAAATTAAAATAGATGGAAAGTTTGCATTTTATAATGTAGATTGTGATCTTATTTCAAACTTAGTTCCTTAATTCTTTCAGCTTGTAATTATTTTAACAATTGTGCTAAATAGTAAAAAGTTATATATTTTGTACTAAAACTTTTTTTCAACTATGCTCTCAAATTATATTTTGTAAAATACATAAAGTAGTACTTAATATTTATTACACTTTATTTTAAATGTTGGAAAATAATTTAAGAAATTCCTCAAATTTAGATATTAATTAACTTTGATATAAATACTCCCATTATTCTCCCTTAATGCTTGGGATCTACTCTTTAAAATATTATTACAAATTCATTTTAATGATCTATCAAATGCTAGATACAAGTTTTAATATATATGTGGATTATCAATTTTAACTTCATATTTAATCATTTTATTGAAGTCATATAATTCAAGCATTCCTAAATAGGAGATAAATGACGTTTATTATCGTTAAAATAGATATTTAATTACTGATATTGTGAGAACATTTCAATTTCATATTGTACTAGTTTTTTTTTAAAATGATCCAATAACTCAGACTTTTTTAATTGCTATAAATAGTATTCTGCAATGCATCTTCATTTTTAAATATTAATAAGTCAACAGATTAGATAAATTCACCAACATAAGTAATGAAGCTGCTGTAGCTTTATTTAGTTTAACAACTTATATATATTATAAAGAGAATCTCTATTCATACCAAACTATTTTGCAAGCTGGTTTTTTTCATATGGGGATATTAATGATAAGCTTATCTTTAGTTTTTCTAAAGCAAATTTGGCGAAAAACTTAAAAGATAATTTCTCAATTAGTCAAAAGGCAAAAAAAAGAAAAACCAATAAATCATGAGATATTTTTATGAATTTTAGTTATTCATCATAAAAAATTAATTTAATTTATCTTCCAAAATTTTTATATTCATACCTATATCATAATCTGAATAATCAATAAAGTAAACATTCAGATAAATTAATTTTGATGTTCTGTTTAATAGTTTCTTTGTATTTTACAAATTCATGATTAAACGATGGATTAATATAGTAAATACTATCTTTTAATTTTTTTTTACTCTTACAATATTATTAATGCTTAAGCTTGTTTATTATAGTTTAAACAAATTATAAAAAAGTAAATTAATCACAAACGAGTGTGAAAAATAATCAAACGAAACTTCATAACATGTACTTTAGTTGATTAATATCATTTATATTAATTAAACAACTTGTATTTATTCATAAAAAATTAATAATTTATTGATTAAATAAGTCTTAAAAATAATAATATTAGTTATAAATTTCTTAAAATAATTCATATATCTGTCTAAAATTAAATAAATAAAATTATTGAATTCATTAATTTTAATTTAATTGAGTATATACACATTTTCATAGGCTTAAAAATTAAATTTGATAATAATTTATAATAATAACGATATAAAAATTAATTTGCTATCAATTTTTATTATATTTTTCTTTCTCTATTTTTTTTATCATCAAATTCAAATAATTCTTTAAAACTGGTTATCCTTTTGCATTTTTTTAAGTAAAGACTTTTTTGATTTGTTTTCTTTCGTTTTATTTTATTTTTTATTTAATCTCTTAATTTTATTATTAACTATTTTAAGAAAGCTTTGTTTCTTCCTTTTCATTGTTTGGATTTTAGTCTGAAGCAAAAAGCTTAACAATAATAATTATTGTATACATTTTAATAAAATTTTTGTTTTTTTTCTGCCAAAATGTCATTTCCTAGCTTTTCAGTCAATTCTTAATTATAGTATTTTTATTTTTATCTAAATTTCCTTTGTAATTAACATTCCCTAATTTTTTCCTTTTATATTCCTAAATTTTATGAAATAATTACTTAATCGTTTTCTTTCTTAAAGAATTGCATTGACATCCATTAATATATAAATTAAATATTAAGTTTATTTGAATTCAAATAAAAATTATTTCACTTTTATTCAAGTTTTTATGCACAGTTTTAAATACAATATTCTTGCCTATTTTTGTTCAACTAAAATAAAATGTTTTCTTATCTTTCAATTTTGTATACTTTCCACCAATATCATAGGAATTCGTTTAATTCAAGATTATAAATTGTTATTCAATAAATTTTTCAAGGCAAATTATTATTATTTACAGTCTATGTATTATCAGAAATGTCGGTTTTAGTAAAATATCCTTGATTACAAAATCATTCCTTTTCATCTAACATCCTTAAGTTTCTATTAAAAACCTAGGAATTATAGGAACTTCAGATATTTGAATTAAAATCAACAAAGGTATACCACTTAAACTTGTTTTTATTTTAGATGAGAAGGAGCAACTTCTTATAAGAATTTGAATTAAAATCTAAACATCTCTAAAATTTATAAAAATTTTACTCTTTTAACATGATGCGAAAGCAATTTTAGTTTAACTATTTGTTATTTTAATAATTTTATAATTTATGTAATACACATAGACTCAGTTAGAAACGAGCCTAACAAGTTTTAGGGATTTAAAAAACAACTTAAAAGAGGAATTTTAAGATTATTTACTATAAAGTAATGTGAAGGACTAAGAGACTCCAAATAATTTTGGAATTATATTAAAGGAGTTAAAAAATAAAAATCAATAAAAGCAAAAGCAACTAGCCTCATACTCTCTACCTGATTTTTCATAAGCATCTACTTATTCATAAAATGTAAATGATGATAGCATTACTTTAGTATTAATTTTCATAATCTTCAAATGAAACAGAAAGATTAACAAAAGAGTTAGAAGTTCAGAAATCCTTAATTTAAAGTGAAGTAGAACTTAAAAAGTCTATCAATTGTATTAAAAAGCAAATTTACCCTTTACAAGATTATACAAATTAATTGTCTCTATAATAAAAGTAGGCTGAAACTGAATGTAAAACATCTGAAACTGAATCTGTATGAATACATATTAAATTAGAAAGAATAGAATTAAAAAAACTATTTGTGAACTTTAATCTTAAATTGCTAGATTAAAGTTTTAGAGATAATAATATCGTGATTTTGTTTATGAGCAAAGTCTCAAAGTTGAATAAAATTTAAAATAAGAATAAAGCATCTTTGAACAATAAAATGATGCAGTTGAAAATTTAGTATAAACTATAGCAAATTAAAAAGCTTAAATTGAAGTATTAATAAAATAATAATTTGAAAAAATGGAAAAGAGTGATCAATAAAGAATAACAATATAAAATTATTTAACATTAACAAAACTATATGAATTTTGTACTAATTCGATTGAATAATTATTTATGAACGATAATACTTAAGGAATTAGTAGTGAATCTGAATCTTCAGGTAGAATTGATACTGAATAAGAAGATTCAGTGATAACAAACAATAATTTTTTTTAAACTCAAGTTCAAACAGCATCTTAATCAAGATCTAAACAACGCATATCATCACCAAAAAAAAAAAGAAAAGAAAAAAAGAAATTAACATATCCTTAATTGATGCAAAAGTTTTAGCAATCAAAAGAATTGCTTTCTAAAATTAAAAATGATGTTGACATCAATATAATGGAATAATTCATTTTAAATCACTATTAAGAATAGTCTGAAATATAAAGATAATTAGCAGATTAACATTAAGTTTTATAAGATTAAAAAGATGAGTATCTACATGAAATTTAGATGCTTAATGATAAGGTAAATTAATAGTATATCATAGTTAAATTTAACAGATGATGTTCGAGAAAAGTTAGTGAGATGTTAAGAACCAACATCTGAAAACTTTAATTAGAAAATCTTGACTCATAAAATAGCTAATACAAGTAATGAGAATGAGTTACAAATAATTAAATAAACTGATAAATTGATTAAGTTAGAGGCTTTGTTTTTTACTTTAAATACTAGAGCAATGTCTCTTTTAAGAAGAATATGTTCAATATTATAAAACATATAATAGATAAGTGAAAAATTAGATAATCGAATAATTAATGTTTATTAAAATGCTGTATTAACTGTGGGTCTATTAAGGTCAAAAAATGAGCTGGATTTAAATCAATTTCCTAAATTAAAAAAACTTTTAAAAGGAAATAATCTTACCTTAATTTACTGTGACTAATAAGTTTTTTAAGAATTTTGTGAAAAGTTAGAAAGTTTAACTGACGAAGAATTATCTAATAATTTTTAAATATTGATTGAAATGTGTATGAATAAAATAGCTGGTGAAACTTAATGTATTTATGAATAGATTTCAACAATTTGTAATAGTCTTAAGGTCGAAGTTAAAAGATTATGTAATTATGGAAGTTTAAGATCTTTTAGAGATTTAACAAGCCTGCCAATATCTAATTTAACTAGTATTTATAATGCTCCTACAATGAGAAAATTAAAAGATTAATCAGACTCAAAATAATCAGAAGTAGCAAGCAAGAAATCGATTGAGAGGTTCGAGTAATATTATCAAAATTATTAGGAAAAAATCTTTATTAGCAGATGAATTTAAATTTGTAATTGAATAAAATGAAAAGAGTTTAAATGAGGATGATATTGATGAATTCTATTACTAAATTAAAAAAGAAATAGAAGCAAAACCATCAACAAAAACAACAAGGATTGAGACAGCTAATTTAACAAAAACAACATTAGTTTATGATTAACCTTAAAAAAATAAAATGACAGAATTTTTTAGATCAAATTCAAAATTTTCTTAATCTTTAAGAAGAATTCAATCATGTAAAGTTTATATTAAATGATTAGAAGGATAATTTATAGATGCTTAATCTAAAAACTTTAAGTTGTTTTTGGAAAAAGAATAAAAGCATGTTGAATTATTATCAAGAATGAATCGAACAGGTAGTACATCAGCATTTTAGCTAACAACGTTGAGACCTAAATCCTAAGAGAAAACTAGAGTATAAAATATATTACCAAGAACAATAAGCACATCTTAATAATAAAGATAAGGAAGAAAGCAAATAGTTGCATAACAACTTGAAAAAGATATGAAAAGACTAAATGATTAAGTAAGTAGATTTACAAAACTGAAATTGAATTGATTGGAATTGTAATTAATAATTTTATTTATTTTATAATTGAATCTAATCATTTCTTTGATGACTTGGTTCCAGATTTAACTGATTTAGCAGCAGGATTAGATTTTTGGGACTATGAATCTTTAGGAGCTTATTAAGTTTACTATTATTGTGACTATTGTTGAGGTTCACTCTATTTTTTAACACTTTAAACAGTAGGTAATTCTAGTTAGGCTTTTGCATTAATAACAGATTCAGGCATTTTCCATATAAAAATGGCACCTTCTGCTCCAACAGAAATTATTGATTTTTGATCTGGACTGATAGTAATCTAAGAGATGAGAAAAATAGTACTCTTGTTATTGTACCAGAATGACCTTATCCTTTAAAGTAGCATATTCCTTCATCATAACCCCAAAGTTTGACTTCTTTATCTTCTCCTCCTGATACAAAATGCTCTCCTTCTTTTGTAATAGCAAGAGCATTTACCTCTCCTTCTTCTGAGCCATCTAACATTCTGATAGCTTAACCATCGAAGGTTTCCCAGTAAGTAATCTAACAATAAATAATAATTATATAGCTACTTTTCTATCACTTCCTGTAGTAAGCAATTAACTTTCTTCAGGATGATAAAGAACCATTTTAAATAAAGTACTTTCGAAAAGACACATAACTCTAGTGAATGATTTGAGATCCCAAATAATACAAGAACCATCTGCACTAGCACTTACAGCTTATTCATTATTTCTTCTAACTTGAATAGACCAAACTCTTCCTCTATGTTCTTTCATTGAAGATTTCATAACTTATGTTTATTTGCCTATTTCCCATACTCTAACTTCTCCTTCAGATCCACCTGAAATTATTCTTTAGCAATCAGATGTACATGTTAATGATGTACATCCATGAATATGAGCATCATTAATCACATACATTAATCTACCTGATTGAGGTAAGAATGATCTGATTTTACCATCACTCCATCCACTTACTATACTTTTACCATCATTCATAAATGCAACTGCCCAGCATTCTAAATTTGGAACTTAAATTCTTAGTAATTCTTATCTATTTTTAGCATTCCACACTCTAATATCATTTAATGAACTTGTTGCGAATACATCTGAATAATTATTAGGAAATGCAACATCATTTATTCTTTCATAATGACAAGTATTTCTTAATTCTGGAAGTAATTTCTCAGTATCCAACCAATAAATATTACTTTGACTTGTTCCTGTGAAAAAATGAGTGTAATCATTTGTGAATGTTATTGAAGTTACTCCTCCCAAAAGTTCACTACTAGCAACTATTTACATTGTTTAGTAAGACACTTTTGCTATCATTCCATCACCAGCACCAACTATTATGTCGCCATTTGGTAATAAACCTAAACAATTTACTCCTTGACTGAATAATTTCTTAACTGGTGCTAATCTTTTGTATATTGCCATATCCATTTAAATTTCAAACACATCACCTGTTTTAGTACCACAATAGCAGTATTTATCATTTTTATCAATTGCAACACAAGTGAATGTACGTTTTACATTGCCAAAATTCACATCCACTGATTAAATCTTGATAATGCACTTATACTGATACCTTTTTATTTAATTTATCTATTGTTAAAATTTAAACTCCAGTATTTAAAACTGCTATCATTTTTTCATCTGATTAGTTATAAAACTAGACTTAATTGACAGGATCCCTATTAGGAGTTCCATATAAAGCTTTTCCTGCTTTAATGTCCCAAACTATCAACATATTTTTATCATCAATTCCTCCTAATGAGGCTAAGTATAATTCATTGTAGGAAAAACTGAGCGATTGAATCAACACTTTATGTAATTTCAATCTATGAATCATGCTTCTTTCCTTGAAATCCCAAATTATTATATCAGCTTAAAATCCCATATAAGTCCTTTATCCAGAAGCAACATAATCACCTGAACGAGAAACTGTTATCACAGAAATCTAGTTATCATGCCCTCTAAACAAAATTTATGTTGAATTCTTACCTTAAAAATGTTTAAGCTCTGCTGATTATATGTCTAACAACAATAGTTGAACCCAATGGATAAATTATATGCTTTTAATCATTACATAAATAATACCTCATTGTCTGGATGCAAAATCAACCCTTAAGTAATTCTACCTAAACATTAATATTATCAATATACCTGTAAATCCAATAACTGCTTGTATTTCAAGTTCTGATAACATTATTTGTATTTTTATTTTTCAAATAATATAATTCAATACTTTAATTAAAAACTGTTGTATTTAGATATATATTTATAAATCTTATGAAAGTTAATTAATCAAATAGTCCAGAACTCTTCATTATCCTATTTTTCAACTCTTATCCTTATGTCTCTATTTACATTTTCTAAAACCTAATATAAATAAATAATTTAAAAACCATTTTCCATAAATTAGGGGAGTATTCATCTTAATAAAATGCTTTTATATCATTCTTTTCCTTATTTAAATTGAGTTTTTTTTATTTAAATACAACAGTTTAAATAATAGAATTGGAAATGCTATCAGCTATCATTTTTTGCTTAATCTATAGAAGCTCCCCTTTGAATTATTTTGTGTTGGAAGATTGAAAAAGATTTGCTTACATTTAGTAGAGCAAAAGGGCAACAGCAATTATAGTTAAAATGACAAGTATTTTAAAGAGTAAAAATTTGGTTTTTTATTCATTATTTAATCTCTTCATAAATGCTTTTTTATTGCTAATATCATCAATAGTTGAACTAAGACTGCTAGAAGAATTATATGAAGTAATGCTGCTTTTTGGAGAAATAATATTGTTTTAAATAGTTTTGATTTCTTAAATTGTTGATTTGGCATACTCAAATTATTAGGGAAATATGACTGAATTAGAAGTAAAAGATTTAGAGAAATTTTGATGTTGCTTAGTTTAGAGATTAGTTGATGTAAGTTTTCTATTGGATATATTTGAAAGTGGACGTAGAACAGGGGAATGACTTTGATTCATGATGAATTCAAATTTTTAATTTATTTATTTATCGTTAATGTTAAATCTAAAAAAGAGATATTATCCATTTTCGTGGTTATTAGGAATTCTGCTTATTCTTTCAATTTTTTATGAAGAATATGAAAGTCTTTCTTACACATCATAAATGATTGTATTACTCTTAAAATCCAAATATGAGGGATTTAGATTGAATATTTTCTTTTATGCTTTAAGTTTACTATTAGATGTGTGTAGATTTAAGATACTAAGTCTAATAGCTTTAATTCTATATTTATATTTGACACACAAGTTAAACAATTATTACTTGCCAGATGGAGGAAGTCCTGTAGGTCATTTATATTTAAAGGGAGGCTTACTTAATCAGTATAAACATATACCAGAAATGGCAATATATTATCCAGCATGTTAAGAAGATTGTAAAAAGCGTAAAAAAGGATTCAAATGGTTAAAAGTAAAGGATTATGCAAAAAAAATGGATGATACTGCAAAAAAGGATGTGCGAAGAAAGAGAAGAATTCCCTATCTATTTTTTAAGATAGTAGTTTCACAATTTTATAAGTTTATGATAAATGTATATGAGAATGCATAAATTGATATAAATTTTGCAGAGACTACTGTTGATCTTGCTAAATTTTCGGTCATTGTATTGAGTCATGGATTAGCATCTCATTGTGATGGTTATTCAGTAGTGGCAAGATATTTGGCATAATAAGGTCATATAGTATTTGTTCCAGAACATATAGAGAATATTCGCAATATTTACCAAACTAATGAGGAAAATAGAGAATATAGAAAATTACAATTATAAGATAGGTAATAAAGAATTGTAAAATTAGAATCAATACAATAAAACAAGTTTTAGATATAATTTATGATGATAAATAATTTTCAAATCTATTCTAACATCCTGAGAAAAAGATACAACCAGATTTTGATTAGATTTCAATTATTGGTCATTCATTTGGAGGATCAACTGCATATGCCATAGCTCAAACTGAGTAGAGAATAACAGGAGCTTGCATTCTATATGATCCTGTATTCATATAATTGTTTATAGGTTTTTAGTGCTTATACATTTTTGATTTTGAAGAAAAGATTAAATTACATATTCCATTAATGAGTATTAATGCTGATGATTTTTATAGAAGATTATATTCATTTATGGAGAATGATGAAAGATTAGAAAAGGCATTTTAATTGATTGATGTATATATTAATTGTATTAAAGGGTCCGATTTCTGATCATTGTGCAAATATTTATATAAAAGATTAATAACATGCAGATTTTTCTGATATCCCTATTATTTGGAATGGAGAAAGTGGTCTTTATAGTATATCTAAAAATGTTCATGAAGTCCATTTAAGATTTGGAATGATTTTATTACTGACTAAAATCTTTTTAGAGGAATCAAAATAATATCATAAAATTAAACATGATAAGGTGAATTAAGATGGCAATGAACAATTAAAATCTAAAATTCTAAGTGAAATAGAAAAGAATTTTGATGTTTAAAGTAAGAAATTGTTAAGATGGAATGCTCTTCCAGAAAAATGATTTATACAATAATATAATTAATTATATGAACAACAATATTGATCAGCTTTTAAGAGGCAGACCAAAAATATTAAAAGGAAGTTAAACATTAATATAAAATAAACCTACATAAGATTTTAGTTTGAATTTAGATAAAGCTTTATTTACTATGCAACCAGCACCTAGATTGATTGTACCAAAAGAATTGAATATGGAAAAGAAGAAATATGAAGGATCTGTAGATTAAGTAGATATGTAAGAATAATTGTTGATTAGAACTGAATAAGAATATGAAAAACTAATTCCAAAGAAATCTAAAGATCCTCCAATTACTAATAAAGAAATTGTTAATGATAAATAAGAAATGCCTACCTATGTTTTAGAAGAAGAGAAGACAAAATAAGTAAGTAAATTGAAAGATTAAGTTTGTTATGGAGGCTTTAAGTGAAGAGTTGGCTAGATTAGATTCAAACACAGAGAATCTATTACGAAGTTTGGATTAAGAAAAAGAGAAGATGGGATTGATGAAATAATAAAATGATGAAATTGAATAATAAGTAAAATAGATGGTTTAAAATAAAAGGTTAGAAAATAGAATCTCACAATTGGAAGACTAATTAAGGTATTTTTATAATTATAATATCAAAGAGTTCCTAAGGAATTAAAACTAAATCTATTAAATGCAGATTGGAATGTAGCTAATGAGAGAATTGAACTTATGTTTAAAGAAAATTAAGATCTTTTTAATGAAGCTGATATGATTGCTCATGAGTTTGCAAAATAATAATTGGAATACGAAAATGATTGATATTTTTATAAATTATATTTATAAATTTAGTTAACAAACTTCACATAGAATTCAGATGCAATAAAGTGATGGAGATGAAATATTTATTCACATTTAAAACCATGCAGATCAATATAACATATAATCACCGGAAGATAAAAAATAAAATAAAATTATGATTCCAGACCAAGTCATAGAATCTTCGACTATTAAACCAAAACCATTAACATTTGAGTAAATAAAATTGGTTTCATCTACTTAAGTAAGTGGGGATGGACATGTTAAATCAGTACGAGTTCAATGTCCCCAGTGCAAATAAAAAGTATTAAAATTAAACATTTTAGGTTGACACTGTTATAATAAGAAAACCAGGAACTTAAACTTATCTTGCTTCATGTATTCTTTTGCTTTGTTCATTTGGTTTGGTATGTGTCTCATGTTTACCATGTATCATTGATGATTGTAAAGATGTTCTACATTCATGTCCCTAATGTAAGATTCCTTTGGGAAAGACACAATTTAAGATTTTAGATTGATCCATATTTATTGATACTTTATTAAAATTACAAAAAATAGATTTTAATTATCATAAATAAATAAATATTTTTTATAAAATAATTTTCAATATATTAAACAACATCTTTAGTAAATGAATTTTTTCATATTTTTGCTAAAGCAGTTAGTCCATCTCATGTGACATCCCTCTCCAAAAAAAAAGAACGATTAATCAAATCAGGATTCACTGAATTGAATTAGACACAAGATTGTAAATTAAAAAAGGGTGTAAAATATTTCTTCACAAGAAATGTTACTACAATTGTTGCCTTTACTGTTGCTTATTAGTTTGATCCAAATAATATATGATTTAAAATCATTGGTGCTAACACGGATAATCCATGTTAAGATTAGCACCTGTCTCTAAATTAGATTCTAATGGATTTTTATAGACACGTGTTTCTAGTGGTTTATGGCATATATAGTTTGATAGAGAATTAACATCGGAAAGTCAAATTGTTTTTAAAAAAGATAATGTTGAAGAGTTAATTATTCCATTACTGAAAAACCTTTATGAAAAATACATAATTTAGCCATTTATCTAACAACTGATAGAAATAGCTTTGTACTAAATAGAAAACATTTATTTTATACTTAGATGAATCAAATTTAAGACTAGTTTTTGTTTAAGAAGCATATTGAACATTGATTGGCATTTAAAAACCTAATACAGAAGGTAAACAAGTTTTGAAAACAAAAATTATTTATTTTTACTTAATTTGATCACTGAATAGACAAGTATTCCAACATTTGATATTATGGATGTTAGCTTATATTTTTCGGATTGCTAACCACCTTCATATTTTGGTATGAATGTAGAATTAATTTCTTCGTCTAGAATTGATAATTTATTTTCAAGTTTTTTTGTGCTGTTATCAATTACAAATTGAGAAAGCTTGACCGAAGACCAAAATTTTATTAATATGATTTATCTCTTTGATTTTAAGAAATTGGTTCATAGAGTGCTTAAGGGGCTAATTCTTCATTTTTATCTCATAACATAAAAAGAATTTAAGATATTTTATATAATTCTACATAGACTTCAATTGATAGTTTTTATAAAACAATTGAAAAGATCTTCTGATATGGCTCATTCAATTCATTCAAATTATTCAGATAAATATCAATAAAATCATAGAGTAAAGAGGAATGAGGATATAATAATTAAAGTCTATCACTATTAAAGATATGCAACAGATAGTGTATTCGTCAGCAATCCTGCGAGTAATTGCCTAATAAACTAATGTACCAATCTAAGATTTTATTGTTAAAAATGATTTCCCTTGTGACTCAACTATTAGAACATTGTAAGGTTCAAAACAATAATATAATTTTAGCATCTAATCCAAAACTATTGACATTGGTGCTGTCTAATGGGGTATGCATTCGATAGAGAAACTGCTGGAGTTGTTGATGGATATTATTTGGAAAAGTTCTTGGTTCAGTTTCATAAACAATATGAAAAAATAGATCATTAGTTGCTTGGAATTTGAATATTATTATGATTATTGAAAAATTTAGAAATCCCTATAATACATACATCCAAATCAAAGATAATCCTAAATTATTGTTTAAGATCTCTTTCTATTCATTTGCTCTACTACTTTTATCGCAATTACCACCATTTGTATTCATTATTTTTATTAGGCATGTGCTTGTTTGATAATTAGTTATTTAACAGGTAAAAAGTTCTTTGAGATTTATTTTTACAAACACTTAAAAGAGGGAATCATGGATATGTTTCCATAAGGTTTAAAAGATGCATTGATGAAGAGATCCATTTTTGATCTTCTTTGTGACATTTGGTTTATGCCTAAATTTTCATTATATATTAGAGCCTTCCTTAAACCATTTGTTGCTAATATAGATCCTGAAAATGTAAACCTTATATCTCTATTTAATTTATAGGCTGAACAAGCTCTTGATGGACTCCCTTATGAAGACAGATAAATCATCACCAAAAAAGGAATAATCAATACACTACCAATGTTACTTTAAACTACTGTTGATACTACCTAACAATAAATTAATGATAGTGAAGTTCCTTTAACTCCTCATACTCCCTCAAAAATTAAACAAAAAAAAAACAGATATGATAGAAAATAATATAATAGAACCAAATCTAAAAGAGTTTTTAAAGAAGATAAAATTGTTTCAACCTTTAAAATGCCATGGACTATTGTCAAAACATATGAAGATGACAGAGTTTCTATTATGTCATCATAATCTGACATAGATTTCTCAAATTAATAAAACATTTCCATTGTTGAAGAAATGAAACCATTACCTCCCTTTTAGGAAAATGTTGGATTCAAAAATATTGAACTTGTGCTTAAACCATAAACTAATTAAGAATAAATTAAATGGGATAACCTTGATAATTTCTATAATCAAGTTAAAGACACTGTACCAGGAAGTCATAAAAGTATTCATTTTCTATTATCATTAAATTAGGACCTCTAGAGATGATTTTAAAAATCACTAATCTAATTAATAATTTAGTTCATTTCGAAAAAAGAAGCAAACAAATTTTAGCTATCAACAATAATGCTTTAATTAAGGCATTTATTATATCAGCAGTATTATATATAAATATATTTAGGTTGCATTAGCATTTTAATCATACATTTCTACTAGAACAAGAAGATTGATGATGCAAACTATTATGATTATTTGTTATCTTGGAAGTGCAGGAATAGCTACAGGAACTCTAGGTCTGTTTCTTGTCAAAATTGTTAATCAAAACAAAAAGAAAAGAAATTGAATTTAATCATTTTATTAATAGCAATATATTTAAAAAAAATTTAGGAACTTTCTAAAAAATTCCAAAATTTTTCTATTTTACTTCAGAAAAATTATTTTTATTTTAAATTTCAAATTAAAACCTTGTATTTATATTATATCAAATATTCAATTTCCTTAATCTTAATTTAATTTTGATTACTTAACATTTTAATTCTAAAAAAAGTTTGAATGCAATAAATAGTCTTGAGGGGCATTTTATTGCATCTAGGATTATTGATTTTAAATTGATTAATTATTATTTTATTATTGTTAAAACTAACTTTAATTTCGTTTACTCTACTAGGGTAATTATTCTTAATTTTAACTTAATTATGAATTTTATTATTATGATCTTAATTTTGAATTTGGTTCTGAGAATTCAAATAATAAAAATTATTACTATTATTCTTACTACTATGACTATTATTATGACTATTTCAATTATTATTACTACTATTACTATTACTATTACTATTGCTATTACTATTATTATTATTATTATTATTATTATTATTATTATTATTATTATTATTATTATTATTATTATTATTATTATTATTATTATTATTATTATTATTATTATTATTATTATTATTATTATTATTATTATTATTATTATTATTATTATTATTATTATTATTATTATTATTATTATTATTATTATTATTATTATTATTATTATTATTATTATTATTATTATTATTATTATTATTATTATTATTATTATTATTATTATTATTATTATTATTATTATTATTATTATTATTATTATTATTATTATTATTATTATTATTATTATTATTATTATTATTATTATTATTATTATTATTATTATTATTATTATTATTATTATTATTATTATTATTATTATTATTATTATTATTATTATTATTATTATTATTATTATTATTATTATTATTATTATTATTATTATTATTATTATTATTATTATTATTATTATTATTATTATTATTATTATTATTATTATTATTATTATTATTATTATTATTATTATTATTATTATTATTATTATTATTATTATTATTATTATTATTATTATTATTATTATTATTATTATTATTATTATTATTATTATTATTATTATTATTATTATTATTATTATTATTATTATTCTTATTATTATTATTATTATTCTTATTATTATTATTCTTATCTTAATTTATCTTGCAATTTTTTTTCTCTGTCATATTTTGATAGTTGTACTAAAAATCTTGCTTTTTAAATTAAATTATCACGATACTCTTTTTTAAAACTAAGAGGATATTGATTTTATATATCTATGTTATTATTCTGTTAATTATTCAATGGTGGCTCTTCTTTTTCTGGAATTTTGAAATTCTTTTACTAATATGCAAACAAATTAAGTAATCCAGATATGATCGAAACAAAGGATTAATAACCTAATATTCCAACAAAAATATATCCAGAATAATTAAAATAAGATTCAACAGCTATAAAGCTATAAAAAACTATAGCATTGACCAGTAATTATTCAGCTAATTATTTTTTTCTTTATATTTGAACTTCTGCTGAGTATTTTTTATTATAAATATTTTAGATTTACCAAAAGTATGTCAATAATGTAAAATTATAAGTATAAGCAAAGAGACATAATCCTTTTTACAAGAATTCAATTGCAATAATGAAAATAGCAAATATAATAATAACAGTCTAATATATAATTGATAAATCCCAAAGATTTTCTCCATATAAAATGACAAGATTGCTAATAGTGAATAAAAAAACAGCAAAATCCATAATTTTTTAATTGCTAATGAAAATCTTAAATACTAAATCAATTCTTTGAAATTAAGGAATGCGAGCCTCTAAGAATATTTCTTGTTCTTATTCATTTTTTTGAGGCATTTTATGCTAAAGATCCAAAATCAGATCATCTTATTCAACTTCTATTTGAAAATTAACCAAAGTGTTATCTTGAGAAATAGTTTCTTATAACTTTAGATTTTTTTATTTATTGCAAACATTTATGTTGATTTTCTCTTAGCTCATATAATTCATTCTGTAATAAATGGAACTAATTTTATTTTTACTTTATATTTTTTCTTTTGAGTTATATAGGTTAGAGATAAGAGTAAATAATAAAACATTCAAAGAATAAAAAACTGGCACTATAATAGCCAAAGCAGTATAACCAATTGATTCATCTGAAATATTATAAATTAATTGATAAGGACTATGAAAGGAAAAAAAGAAACCTAATTAAAAGAATTATTTTACAAACTGAAATTGCAAAGTAACTTTACATCTATTGAAATTTGCAAAATATATTTTACAAGATACAATTTATATAGATAATCCAATTTTTACTAATAATATCATAATTTTTCATTTGATTATTGATATTCTATCTGATTTCAATAAACTAGTCAATTAATGCATGCTCTTGTAGAGAGTTTATTTAAGTATTTGTTATTGGTTGTTTTAAAAATAACAATTCTAATTAATCTTATTCTCCTAACATATAATTGGGTAAAATGGAATTTAATCCTAGAGCCTCTAAATTTGTTTTTAAGGTTCTTTTAAGTAGACTATAATAATTTGGAACATGAAGTTCAATGAGATTCCATTTATATACACATTAAAGAGGATCATGAAACTATTTAATTTTAAATATAGAATGTGTAGTAATTATATTGAAAGGAATTTATATATATTAAGAAAGTAAATTGCAATGATTATTTTAAATAATCTTATTATTCCAAGAAATACCAAATATTTATTATTTTTCAAAAAGACAGAATAGTTTTTAAAAGGAGCATTAGAATTTCAACTTGCTTTAAGAGATTATAACATGTTCAGGATCAATAAAATTCAATATTCCCAAATAAATCCATCTAATCAATTACATTCTATCAGGTTCATTAAAAAATGCAAAATAAAAAGTAGGTAATTCATTGGATTTTTATTCTTCTAAGAAATAAGCATAATTTTGAGATAAAGTTTAGACCTTATAAATTGGTACATAATAATTTTTATATATTTATTGATCATCATTTTAAAATAATAATTTGAAATGTCTTCTACATGTAATTAATACAATTGGAATTATTTAAGCTTATTTAAAATTAGTAATTTACTCATTCAGATCATCAAGTAGTTCCCCTTAATAAATTAATATTGCAACATTAAATTTGATAATGCTTTGTTAAACTTATTATCCAATATGGATATAATTTGTTTTATTCATTTATTTTTCATTTTCAATAAATTTCTGAAAATTGTAGTCTGCTTTATCTTTCTTAAGAGACAAACCTCCATAAATAAAATCAGGTAAATAATCATCTAAGTATTCAATTTTATATTCTTTTAAACCCTTGAAATCAAAACTCTATACTTAATCCAACCTTTAGGTATTTGCGAGTTAATTAATATTTAAAAAATCTAAGCATGCCAATCTTCTATTAATTTCATCTTGTAGTTATTTTTTTTTTCTATCTGAAATATAATTGACAAATTTAGTAGATTCTATTGAAAAAGGATAGAGTAATTATTATTTGCTTTCTTTTTCATTAACTACCATAGTTAGAGGTATTTCTTCATCTTCTTATAAATGAATAAGAAAATGAGATTAGATTTATTACATTTAATTGTAAAAATAAATTAATAATACATTAAAAAAATATTTAATATGTTAAATAAATCTATTTGAAATATTAGATTTTCATTAATAAATCAGAAAGATAAATAATTTATGAATCTGGCAATAATTTTGTATCATTTGTCTGTGAATTTATATAATTATTAATGAAATATAAATTGATAATGTAAATATTTCTATATTGATCAAACTTCAAAAAGGTCCGTTCTTGGAAAGGAATTCTTTTCTACATTTCTAATAGGAAGGAACCAATATTTGAGATTAGGACCTAAGACTTCTTTAAAATTATCAATAATTCTTGGTTTTTAGAAAGGGTTCTTAAAGTAATATACAATTGTTATATACATTAGCTTTAATTTCATTAATATGGTATTCGACAGTTGTAATATTATATGCAATATGATAAAGATGAAATCCTAAAAGAAATCCCATCGCAACAACCAAAGCAAAACAAGTAATATCACAAATGGTTAATATAAATTATTGATTTTTTGAGAGTTCCTATAATAATAATGTAAAATTTACTTATAATACAAATTTCTCATTTCCAAATAAATCATAGGATATAAATAAAGTACATTAAATCATGCAGAGAATAGCATAGAAATTAAATTAACAAAAATATCTGTGATTTTTTAAACCTACACAATTATTGACCCAAGGACAATGATGATCCTAATTGAAATAATTATGATTATAATGATTTACCATTCTTAAAATACATTTATTGCATTCTTTACAATGATGAGTTCTTGGTAATTTTATATTATCACATTTGAAACAGTATGAAACTAATTATAATGCTTAAATAATATCGCTAGAACCATATTATAAAATAATTTTATTACAATTTCATCATCATTCTAATCTTATAATTAAAAATGGTTTTGCATTTTTCTCTATCTATATTTATTAATCTTTTCAGTCATTTTTTTTGTTCTTTATTTGATGTCTTCTAAAGTTCTTTCATGATAATGTTTAGCCTATTTTTATGAAATTGTATATACTAAATCTTTTGGAGGATACCCAGGTTTAGTATATTAGATCATAATGTAAGCAAAATTCAAGAAGATAAATATAATAGTGAATTCTATTCCAATGAAATAAGCAACAACATTATGCTAATATTTATGAAAAAACGAATACTTTATTAAAAAATGCAGGTAGAAAGATAAACATGAAAGCATAATATTCACTAATAATAATTCCATAAACAATTATGACAGCCATAAAATCAGGAAGTTAATGTTAGCCCTTAAGCATAAATTAATATTTTATATATATTTTATTTTTTTTAAATTTACATTTGCAATATTAGATTTTTCTATTATAAAATATAAGTAAAATCATGGGATTACTGGAGAATGAGTAGGAAAGATTAGAATTTATAAATGAATTTTAAATAAATTTCAATTTTAAATAAGTTGAAAAATGAAATAGAATACTTGATTTAATAGGATGAAATTGAAATAAGTGTCATATCTTGTAATCTAGGATTGAAATTGTATAAAAATATATTATTTTTTATTTGAAAATAAATGGAGCCAGAGCAATTGCTAGATAAATTAAATGATATTTTATTAGCAGATCATTTTAGATTTATAGAAGTTATAGGTAGAGGGAGTTTTGGTGTAGTGGTGGCTGCATTTTGTAGTAATTTAGATCGAATAGTAGCAATAAAAGTTAATTTATATTTTAAGAATATTATAGATAACATCAAATATTGATCAAGAGAATGAAGCTAATTTACTTAAAGCATGTTGTCATTAAAATATTGTAAAACTTTATAAGGTGAGAGATTATTTGGATTATAGGTGTTAGTCGCTAATAATCATCTTTATCTAATAATGGAGAGATTGGTTGGTTTAACTCTTGATAAATTATTGAAACAATCTATATTATCAGAATAAAGTATAAGAAACTATATGATTTAAATTTTAAATGCATTAGTGTTTCTTCATAAAAAGAATATAATCCATAGAGATTTGAAACCAGGTAAAGAAATTAATATAATAGAAAATATATTTATATGTGAAAACGCATGTTTAAAATTAATTGATCTTGGTTTAGGATAAGAAATTGTTTGTAAAGGATGTGTTTATTAATCTGTTGGAACTCCATACTTCATAGCCCCAGAAGTCATTTTAGGTAAGGAATAAAGTTAAGTAAAAAATAACTTCATTTATTTTAGGCTATTGATATTTTTAGTTTAGGCATTATCTTTTATATGATGATCAACAATTTATAACATCCATTGTGGGATGGTTAAATGAGAAAAAGGAATTATTATGAATTTATTTCAAATGAATTTACTATTTCATTCCCTAAGACTATGTCTGAGTATTCTTAATTATTAATATATATATTAGAATGGCTAAAGATTTTGTGTTGAATACTGTTTAATTTAGATCAGAAAATAGAATGACAGCCCTCCAATGTTTAGAACATCCTTGGATTAAAGGAAAAGGAGTTAAAACACATCCAATGACTACAAGAGAAATTATGTTAAGATATAACATATAACAAAAACTATAAAATGTAATTATATTACTATAATTAGATAATCAAATCTATGATGTTTATGAAAACTCTATAATAAACATGTGAAGAAGAGATTCATTATATAAAAACAAATGATTCCCCTTTAATTGTAGAAAAGGAAGAAGAACAATTCTCTCCTCATGAAACTGATCGTGCCAGATTAAGTGTTGAATTAACAAATTAAAAATAAAAGCCTTTTAAATTACATCCTATTCAACTAAAAAAAGTAAATTCCTATAAAGATCTCCTTACTTTAAGAGAAAAACAATTAAACTAATAGAAATATCAAAGTATAAATTTCTATTTATAATAAGATATGATTTTGAGATTTAAAGAAAAATTATCTTTAGGTAATTAACTCAATGTTATTGGGCATTAAAATTTCGATGCTCCTATTAGTCATCGAAAATTAACAACTCTACCTACTATTAAAACTAATAGGTTATAGAGATAATCAACTTTTAATTTTAAATATTTTTGAAGTGCTTTTTATAAATTATCAATAAGAAATCAATTTTACTTTAATCTATTCATAATTTCATCTGCTTCTTATGCTTTGGTTTCATCGTAAGGTATATAATAGTTTGACAATCTAGATTAAGCATTACTCATTGGTTTATTCTAATCTCTTAAGACATTTATTGATTTTATTATTTCTTCATTATCTATCTCAATCTATTATATCATCTTCTTTATATCATTATTTATAAAGAATAATTCAGTATTATCCTATTTTAACAATTTGAAATTGGCTTGCATTTTTGCATTTTCTAATTTCAATTTATCTATTTATTATTATAAATCATTATGTTTATGATTATCCACTCGTAAATTTAAATTTGAAATCTCAGATATTAAATTATCTACATTATTTCTAACTATTTAATATTACTAATAAACTTCCTATGGTTGTTATTATTCTTAATTTGTTTATTATATAGTCTTTATTGCTGTTTTTAATTAAATAGATGATTCTTCCTTTCTACTCTACTAAAATGATTGATTTTAACTCTAATCATCCTTTATACGAGGAACTTTTGAAATCAATTCTTTGAATTATTCATCTGAATTATATATTTTTTCATTTTGAATCAATACCTTACTAATATTTAATTTTAAAGTATCTAATTTATCTTTCTCATTTAAAGTTAATTAATTTCCCTCCTCTAATCTTTTTAATAACAATTCCAATTGTTTTCCATCTTATTCTAATCTTTATTTATTTTTATCTATCATTTATATCATTGTTGTTGATTTCCCTTTGTCTAAACACATTTTTAGTATCTCAATTTCTGCTCTAACCTGTAATTTTAATTTGTTTAGAGATTACAGCATTTATTCAAAAAAATTTATTTTTTTATTTATAACAATAAATTATACTCTCTATCATTTTTTAATATTAACCCCAGCATTTTATTTAGCTAAAGCCAACTCTTTTGATAAAACTTATTCTTCCTTCAAAATTTTTATTAAATTTGAAAATCCTCTTTTTGTAATTACACTTCCACAAACTACACCTATCGATACCATCAATAAAGTCACACTTCCATCCATTAATTCCTTTATCTTTCTATTTGTTCTCAAATTTGATGATTGCAATTTAAACCTTATTATATCATTAAAAAAGATCAAACTCTATAATCCAAAAGAGAAACCAAAACAAATAGTAGCCATTCTTGGAAATATCATTGAAAATGGAATAGCAAATGGATATAAATAATATAAATTTGGCACTGTACATGAATGCTTGAATTCTTATAACCTGATACTTATAATAAATATACTTGTAGAGAGTCTTAAATTGCACATTCTATTTTATATCTCTAGCATCTATTTCAGAATTTAACATATTCATATCTTTATTTCCTATAATTTTCATTTCATTTTTTATTTATTCATTTATTTGTTTCCCTGTTCTAGAATAATCAAAGTACAAGTTGAACATTTGTTATTCAAAACTAATCATTCCTAAATACAATATTGGCATCAAAGCATTTTAGTTCATTTTATTTTTATAATTATTAATTAACCAATATTCAATATTAAAATATTATCAAAAAAAATTTGTTTTCCAGATAAGCTTTAAAGACTCTAACTTCAACAATTTAATATTTTAGAGGAACTCCAAAAAATGTAGATGAGCACGCTTTAATTAAAAAAACATGAAACTATCATTAAATTTAATAACAATAATTAATGGTACTATACCGAATTAGGATATGCAATCTAAAATCTCTCTTGACTTTCATACAAATAATAAATAATTTCCATATTATTGAATCTTTCCGTATAAGAAATTATCTCTATATATTAATTTCTATTTAGAAATTGTTTTTTTAAAATTTATATTTTATGTAAAATAATATTTCCAGAAAGAATAATTTTATTCGATAAGAAAATTTTCCTTTTTATACTCTTATTTCTTTGTGCTTTTTTAAAGATAACTTTCATTATTATAAAAAATTTAATTCAATATTTAATTTTTTAATAATTCCTTTAATAAATATTAAATTTCATTAATTTGATTTTTTAAATTACTCGTATTATTCTTTTAATTATTGATAAGTTATGCAATTGTTAAAAAGTTTTGAAGAGAAAAAATTTTATAATTATGACAGCTCTTTTGAAAGTAATTCTATAAAATTGATTTCTTTTATTCTATATTAATTAGGATATAACAGCAATATAAAATGAAGTCAAACTTTTTGATTAAATCATACATAAATCTCTATGAATCCATCAGATAACATATTTATAAAAGTAAGACAGAATCTTACAAATTATCTTATTTCTATAAAATATCCTTAAGGTCTTCAATTCGAACTGGGGACGGTATTTTCTTAGAATTTCTCAGTAATTAATTTTTAAATTCCTTGATTAAGCAATTTATGATATCAGAATTGATTACTAAAAGTTTTTCAATACTATTTTATTAATCATTCAGAGATTCTATTAATTAAATTTTAAATTTTGTAAAATTTTATTTATTTAATCTATTAATTTTTATCACGCAATCATTAAGAATCAATTATCTTAATTCTCGGACTTTATCGATATTAATTTTGAATTATATTTCTTTTTTACCCAATTTGAGAGAGTCAATTTCAGATAATACTTGATTTCTATGTTTTATAAGAATTTAAATTTCATTTTCTTTCCCTTATTTCTCTAATTCTAATATCTGAAAAGTTAATTCAATTTCTTTTTTTACATATTCCTAAATATTACTTGTTGCACAAAGAGTTTCTTTCTATATTTAAATGTATTGATTGTTAACTAACTTATATTTTATTAATTAAAAAAAATTCAATTCTTACTTACTTAAATGAATATTCATAATTTAGTCATTCAATTAATTTATTATGGTTTAAATCGTATACTAGTTTAAATTTATAAAAATAATTTGAAAGAAGTCTTAAAAAACCTGATTATATAATTAGTAATTAAAAAGGAAATTGATATTTTTTATTTACTCTATTAATTTTTATATTGTTAATTCATCAATAACTAATAAAATCATAAATTTTTATGATTTATTTATTCTGTAAATTAAATTTAATGAATCAACTAATAATCCTTAAAAAGAAGCATGTGCATTCTAATTTTCTAAACTTCCAGATTTAATCAATTTAAAATAGTTATTATTATTCTAAAATTTTTTTTTATACTCTTAATTATAATTTATAAGGTTAATTATCAATTAATTGTCTTGTGACAATTTAATCTCCAGATTTTCAGGATTATTTAATAAATTGGATAATATATCACATTAATAAACGTTCAAAAAATTTTCTAATAATATTATTGTGATAATATCTTTGTTTTAATTTAATATATCTTTTTCATCAATTGAAATTTCATTCAATTAACACAGTTTTTATTTATAATTTAGGTATTGATACATCTAGTAAAAATCTGTTTCTTCCATTATATATAATATTTAAGTATTTAAATTTTCTTCTAGATCCTGAATATCTTTTCTGACTGATTATAGGCTTTGAAATTAATTACATATTTCTAAAAGAGGCGTTTTTTACTATATTAAAATATTTAAAGAATTGCCTAACAAATTTGATTTTTTAATTATATCCTTTATTTAATCATCCTAATTCATAAACCACATTAATATTTATATTATATCATCCTTAATGTTTAAAAAATAATTATCACCCTTAGATTGATCTACTTTCTCAATAAGAAGCTGACAGAACTAAATGAACAATTTTATAGCTTAATCAAAATCTTAAGATTTCATCAAATTAATTAAATTTCGTTACATTTATTTAAGCATTGATAAAGTATAATTATAAACTACTTTTATTTTATTTTTTAACTACTCTATATGCTCTAAGCATTTTTCACCTAAACTTTAAAAATTTTAGAATTGAATTTTTAAGATTGACGAATAAAATATAATCAAATTGATAATATTTATTTAATTTTCCTCAAAATCTTCAATATCAAATATGCATTAATCAAATTAATGTTTTTTAGACAAATTTATATAATAACCTTTAATATCATTTTTTTTATAGGGACTAATCAAAAAAAAAGTATATCTATATCAAACGGAAATAATCCTTCTATTAATTACTTCATAAAATTGTTTATTATATTATCTTAAATTTATTCTTCATTTATTTGACATAAAAATCTTAGATCATATAATTTAATTCTTTTTATAAATTCAATCAGGAAATATTTCACTCCTATTAATTCAGAATAATTTATTAATTCTATACTTTCATCTAAAACTAAATTTTAAAAATAAAAAAAATAAATAGAATCCTAAGTTTAACCTATAAACCCTTTTTGCCTAATTTGAATTATTTTAAAGTCCTTAGATTTTATTTTCTCTTTAATTAATAAGTTAGATGTAAAATTAAAATAAAATATGCAAGTTGAATTATGATTTAAATTTTGTGAATTACAATCTACAATTTATAAATTACTCTCTTAATTTTCTGAATTACTATCTATATTTTCTTTAAAATTAATTATGTAAGGTAATGAGATATCGGTATTATCTTGATCTTAATTTTGATTCATTTATTATTTTCCTCGTAATGATAAATATAATTATTTTAGATAGCAAATAAATTATTTTTTATAAAATATAAATTAATCGACAGATATTGATATAGAATTTATTACTATAAATTATAATAATTTATTTAATCAATTCAGACCATAAAATTATTCGATTTCATTAGAAATCATTTATAATATCTCATCCTTTATTTAGTGAATACCTTATACATCTGATTATTTCAATTAAATAGATTTAACTTTGCTAAGATTTAAATCATTATTCACAATATTATGAATTTCTACAAAGTTTTCTTCTAGTGTAATGAAAATAATGATAGTTGGCAAGATTAATTCTAAAATTAAAAAATAAAATATTACAATTTTCTAAAAATTGTTTAAATTTATCAACATCTTAAATTTAATTTTAAATTAAGATTATTCCAATAGTAAAGTTAGGTTTAAAAATTTCTGTCTACTTAATGATTTCGAATAAGCAAGGGGTTATTTAAATATTATTTTAAATGGGGATATATTTACGGCAATTTGAATAGTCATGACAAATTTATTGAATCCCATTTTATTAATTGGAAATTTAAAAACTAGTCATATAATCAAAAGTAGAAATTACAATTCTTCATTATTTTCATGGATATTCCCACCAAAACCATACAATGAGGCTGTATTTTATTTATTATATTAGATCAGAATGGGTCCAATAATGATAAGAATTTATTAAAAAATGTTAAGTTGATCGTAAGACTTAGTTTGATGTAGATTATAGGAGCTTTTACTAAATTCCATAAAAATTAATGTTTGTATTTATTTATTTTAGAGCCAAGTATAAAAATTATCTTTTTATTTAATTTAAATAGATAATTATTTTAAGATTCCACAGAATTTCTAATAATTATTATTTTGAATTACATGATTTGGATTTGATAATTCAAATTTTTTATTTGGAGATTACAAAATATCAAAATATGATAATTCAATAGATCCAATATATTTATGATTTGGTGGATTCTTATCGGAATGATCAAAACATTCTATTTTAAACTTTTTGTATTCATCATAAAAATTCAAAAGACCCATATCAATAGAAAATGAATTCCAAGTAGGATTTAAATTGTTTTGAATATATTCTGTTACATAAACTAAATTCCATTGATCATCATCCCATTAATAAAATTTTAGAAAAGGATCTGATTTACCGAATATTCCATCTGTATTTAATAATTTTTCAGCAGCCCAATGTTAAAATAATAGAGTTCCTTTTTATAATAATACTGCCTCTAGATTAATAGTGAAATGATTATTAGTTTTAACTAAAGTTCCTTTTTGTAATAATTCACCCAATTAAAACTATAATTTAAAGAGATGAATACTTAAATGGAACCAACTGACACATTCTCATTGATGCTAATATCAAGATGATAACATTAAAATTTATGAAATTGAAAAACAGCCTTATAATTAGTTATCCATTGATTTTATTGTTTTTACAAGTCAAATGAGTTTTATGTAATTTTATAAATCTACTCAGTTGAATCCTTATAGGACATTTGAATTTGAACCTGTTTAGGCTATAGTTGTGTGAAGTTAAGTAGAATATCAATCTTGATATTCTTAAATTAATATTGTTAGATTGACATAATAATTATTATAATATGCTTATTAGTAATTTGAAAATCAATAAAAATTCAAAACCAGGCTGAATATATATTTATAATTGATAGATTTCAAAAATTGTTGATATTCTTCTTTTGTATTATTTTATTTTAGTAGTAAAGTAATCTATTAATTTTTGTAAGGCCTTGATTAAGAAACTAAGATTTTTATAGTTCTTCCAAGATAAATTTCTAAATTCATAGTAAACATTTATTTTTATTAAATTCTACATTTATATTATACATCTTCATAATTATTCTTATATTAATCAAAGTATGAAATTCCTGAGAGTGTACTAAAAGTTATTTCACGCTATAATTTCAAAGATGTTCCAATATAAAAAATAAATAATAGAATTTGAGTTTCATGTAAATGAATTTTAACTAATACCTAGTTATTTCCATTAGAGTATAAAATTATTCATTATAATATTAAACTATTAATTTTATTCACTTTTTGTATAATACAATGATATGAATAATCTTAATAATTTGATCAACTTATAACAATTCTTCATTTGTATATGAATTACGATATATTGAATCTTTGATGCAATAATTCAAAAATAATTAAATGAGAGAGATCTCCTAATTTTGATAGAAGATTAACTATTTATTCAAATGAATAATTTGGTTCATCAAGATGTTCTAAATTATATAAAAAACATCATTTGGTTAATCTTTACGTGTAATTCTGTGATTATATTTACATGTGTTTCTTTTAGATTTCCTAAAAAAATATTTTTTTGAATATAATATAGTGCGAATTTTAGTTCTTCATCTGATTTTATATAAATATGTTGTTTGAATGATTTTGGTAATGATACTATAAAAATCAATTCATCTATTGCTTTTTATTTTTGGTTTTATTTTTCTATTGATTATTTATGTGTGTAATAATAATTCTGTTTGTATATACTTTTAGATTGAATTGATAGAGTAGTTGTCTCATTATTCATACTTTTTCTTTATTTCACTATTTTATTGATTATGTATTGATTATTAAAATATAAAAATACTCTATAATATGATAAATTTAGTGATATCCATTAAGTAACTAATTATTTACAATAAGTTAATATAATTATTGTTATAATAGTACTTATAATTTATAGAATATATATATTATCAATAATTAGTTTTTATACTTATGAGAAATAAGGATAAATGAATAAAATTGATAATAATGAGAAGTATAATTGATATTAAATGATTTAAGGTATTTAATTTTTTTCTTATTTTTGATTGGTGGATTAGAAATGAAAAAAGATTATTTGGGATTTATATTTGTAATAAGGCGGGTTTGAAACATAATTAAATAAATCAAAAATAAAATGTCATCAGGAGGAAAAGGAAAAGCAGGAAAAGGAGGTAAAGCAGCTGGAGCTCATAAATCAGTTTCAAGATCTCACAAAGCTGGTTTATAATTTCCAGTTGGAAGAGTTTCAAGATATTTGAAATAAGGAAGATACACAGAAAGAGTTGGTGCTGGAGCTCCAGTTTATCTTTCAGCTGTTTTAGAATATTTGGCTGCTGAAGTATTAGAACTTGCTGGAAATGCAGCTAAAGATAATAAGAAAAATAGAATTAACCCAAGACATATTCTTTTAGCCATTAGAAATGATGATGAATTAAATAAATTAATGGCTAATACAACTATTGCAGATGGAGGTGTTTTACCAAGCATTCATCCATAATTATACCCATCAAAAGAGGATCCAAGTTAAGCAGTTTGAAATGTTTAATTTGTTTTACAATTAACATATACAAATTTATTTATTTTTATAATTCTAATAAACTTTAGATTAAACAGATAAATAAATGAACTTTAATATTGATAGATCAATTCTTTTTTGATGTCTATGCAATTTTAACAGACTTTTATGCAGCATCATCTAAATCAGTTGCTGTTGTTATTGATACTTTTGTTTATGATTTTGCAAATTCATCTAACATTTTCGCTCCTTTTTAATTAATATTTATTTATTACCTTATTATGAATTTGTTCCTGTTAATCTTACTACTAATGGTGTTTTCAAATCAACCAATTATGCTGCTTTTATAATACCTTCAGCAATAATGTTGCATTTCATTATACCACCAAAAATATTAATTAAAATAGTTTCTACTTTTGGATGAGAATTCAATATTTCAAATGCAGTCTTTACTTATTCTACATTTGCACCACCTCCTACATCTAAAAAGTTAGCAGGATCTCCTCCATATAATTTTATTATATCCATTGTTGCCATTGCTAAACCTGCTCCATTAACCATACAACCAATATTTCCATCTAAAGCAACATAATTTAATCCTGCTGCCAATGCTAATTCTTCATGAGGATCTACTTATTCTGATGCTACTGATGTTTTTCTTAACTCTACTAATTCTTTTTATCTAAATTTAGCATTATCATCAACATTTATTTTAGCATCAATACAAAATAATTAATTTTTTGGATCTGTTGCCCAAGGATTTATTTCAACTTAAGTAGCATCCAAAGAAATAAACATCTTATAAAGATTCTTTAATTATTCAATTGCCTATTGTCTCACAGATTACAATTAAAGAGTATCAACAACCTTATTGGCAATTTAATCAGTTAAACCTGTATTAACATCAATTGGTAACACAATAATACTATTTGGATCTGTCTTAGCTACTTCTTCAATTTCCATTCCACCATTAATAGATGCAACAATAGCTGGTTTTTATGAATTTCTATCCAAAATAAATGCTAAATATAATTGACGTACTATATCTACTCCTTCATGTACTAATACTGCATTGACTTATAAACCCTAAATTTGTAAATTTTATTATATACTTCTTTTGGTGTCTAATGTGTTACTAATTTATAACCAATCATTTATTTAGTATAATTGGCTACTTCTTCTGGAGTTTTACAGATTTTAACTCCTCCCTTCAAACCACTAGATAAAGTTCCTTCAATAAATAATTCTTAATACCCTTTCCTCTTCCACCAGCATGTACTTATGATTTAAGAATCAATCCACCACTTGGATCAAGCGTCTTTGCTACTTTGGCTGCTTCATCAGCATTCAAAGCTATTTCTCCCTTTTAGACTCTAACATTGAATCTTCTCATCAAGTCTTTGCTTTGATATTCATGTAAATCAAAGCATTTAACAACTTTGTGTTACAATGCAGCCAACCTTGTAATACGATTTAACATTTATTTTTAAATCTTTTTATTTAATCAAAGCACAATAACTATTCACTTAATATAAACTATTTTTCGATTCATTATTAAACAATCTATATACATTAGACATCACATAATCTAATTAATAATTACAAAAAAAAAATGGAAAATCAATCACTTCTTTATATAATTTGATCTTCAACTATTTAATTGGATTTTTAAAGTTAAAATAAACTGATTTGAAATTTTATATACTATATTTTACTTCTAGATCTTGATTATCCATTTCCATTAATTACTATTCAGCTTTAAACATCATTTTTGAATCATTTTTAAGAATACCTTTCCAATTAGAAATTCTTGTTATTTTATTCTGCTGTTGTTGAATCCCTTAACCTTCATAAATTTCACTTATTAAATATCCCATTATTATACTCATTATACTTCTTTAATTTCTAATTATACTCAATTACAATCCACTACTCTAATTATAAGAAGATCCAATTGAGGAATTAAATTATCTACTTAAAAATTTCTATTTCAAAATTATAACTATAATTACATTCTTGCTTTTTGCTCTTTTATTATTTTTAATCTTATTAGATTTACTATTTTCATTACGCCAATCTAATCTTTAATCTGCAAAATTATATATTTTTGTTAATAATAACCCTCTTAACATTGGCCTTAATACTGAAGATAACGATTTCACATAAGTCATATATCTAAATTAATTTTACAAATACTATAAAATTTAATTTGGACATTCTGAACTTAATTCTTCAATTTTTGTTTCTTATTTTAATTTTCCTATTTTATCCAGTCTCTAAATATCATTTTATTTTATATTCATCCAAGGTAAGTTTTACTTTAATAAGTATAATATTAAATAGTCTAAGGATTCTAAATCATCCTTGGTATATTAATTTTTAACTAGTAGCTAAATCCAATAAATTAATAAATTTGAATTAAAAAATACACATTGAATTATTTATGATAGTTATAAAATTTATATTTTAAATATATATATTAATAAACTTAATTTGGTTTTTTGAATATTATATTCTTAAGCTTTCATATAGTAATCAATAATGATCCAATAAAATAAAATAATATAAAATTAATAGAATAAAAAATTTTCAGAATTGCAAGAAAATTATGAATAAATCTAACTTTTTTATCTAATAATATTATATTCCTACAATCATCGTAGTAATAATAGAATTTCAATCTAATTTCACAGATTATTATCCTTCTTTATTTAAATTACTATAATTTGCCATTTCTGGATTTTATATTTTAATTGCAACATTTTTTTTTCTCTTCATACATTTCTCAAGAGATACTACCCCTAATGAACCTTGAGGTAATTTTTTAATTATTTCACATTGATTGTTAATAACATCTCCTAATTAAATTTGGTTCATAAATTGTATTTGATGTATTCAAAAGTCAATTCTTTTCAATAATATTAATTAAAATGAACTTAAGTTTACATCTTAAAAATTTCAGTTTAAAATAAGTAATATAATTAATTCTTTAATTTATAGAATACAAATTAATGAGAATTAAGACAAAATATTTTGACTTTTATTCATATTTTATTCTTTATAATATTTAATTATTTTATAAAATGAAGATGATACAAATTAAAATATTAAAAACTACTTAATTTCATTTTCTATTAATATTTTAGAATAAACTATGTAGAAATATTAGATGTTGAATCATGGATAAATAAAATATTCAGTTTAAATAATTTGTAAAATTTTAAAATAATAATATTTAATTTGAATTTTTAAAGAACAATACAGTTATAAAAAGATTGAGATTAATAATAGATTAATTTTTATTTGAAATTTCTTTTCTACAAAGATTATGAAAATGATTTATATTTATTTGTACTGAAATTTTATGGTTAGTAAAAGGGTTTTTAGTGATTTTAGATGAGAATTTAGAATGATTATGTATTATAGCAATTTTAATATACTCATAAATTTCTGAAGGAGTAGACAGTTAATTATTTTTTTGATCATTTAGATTGAAACAATAAATTTGGATTAGATTTATATTATTAAAATTTATTTTAATGTAAATGAATAATATTGATGAAAATTTAACAATTTAAAATATATAATTGGTTCAAAAGAATATTCCTTGATAGCTAGTTTAAAATTAAAAAAAGATGCATGTTTACACCTACTAGTAAAGTAGAAGTTTGAATAATAATTATTGATTTTTGAATAATTCTATCCTATAAAATAGAAAAAGCAATTAAACATTTTATTATAAACTTTCCAATCTCAATAATATATCCTTATATATTGGATACTAATGAAACTTTAAAATAAATAGGTGAAGATCTTTTGAATTAAAAGAATTGAAGTTATTAAGATAAAATTTTTGTTTTCGACAAGAATAAATTTGAAAAAGAAAAGGTAGTCTTTTTATCAAGAATAAATTTAATTATTTGAAAGAGAATTATAAATAAAAAATAATAAATTTAATAANATTATTTCACATTGATTGTTAATAACATCTCCTAATTAAATTTGGTTCATAAATTGTATTTGATGTATTCAAAAGTCAATTCTTTTCAATAATATTAATTAAAATGAACTTAAGTTTACATCTTAAAAATTTCAGTTTAAAATAAGTAATATAATTAATTCTTTAATTTATAGAATACAAATTAATGAGAATTAAGACAAAATATTTTGACTTTTATTCATATTTTATTCTTTATAATATTTAATTATTTTATAAAATGAAGATGATACAAATTAAAATATTAAAAACTACTTAATTTCATTTTCTATTAATATTTTAGAATAAACTATGTAGAAATATTAGATGTTGAATCATGGATAAATAAAATATTCAGTTTAAATAATTTGTAAAATTTTAAAATAATAATATTTAATTTGAATTTTTAAAGAACAATACAGTTATAAAAAGATTGAGATTAATAATAGATTAATTTTTATTTGAAATTTCTTTTCTACAAAGATTATGAAAATGATTTATATTTATTTGTACTGAAATTTTATGGTTAGTAAAAGGGTTTTTAGTGATTTTAGATGAGAATTTAGAATGATTATGTATTATAGCAATTTTAATATACTCATAAATTTCTGAAGGAGTAGACAGTTAATTATTTTTTTGATCATTTAGATTGAAACAATAAATTTGGATTAGATTTATATTATTAAAATTTATTTTAATGTAAATGAATAATATTGATGAAAATTTAACAATTTAAAATATATAATTGGTTCAAAAGAATATTCCTTGATAGCTAGTTTAAAATTAAAAAAAGATGCATGTTTACACCTACTAGTAAAGTAGAAGTTTGAATAATAATTATTGATTTTTGAATAATTCTATCCTATAAAATAGAAAAAGCAATTAAACATTTTATTATAAACTTTCCAATCTCAATAATATATCCTTATATATTGGATACTAATGAAACTTTAAAATAAATAGGTGAAGATCTTTTGAATTAAAAGAATTGAAGTTATTAAGATAAAATTTTTGTTTTCGACAAGAATAAATTTGAAAAAGAAAAGGTAGTCTTTTTATCAAGAATAAATTTAATTATTTGAAAGAGAATTATAAATAAAAAATAATAAATTTAATAATAATAAATATCAGAATAAAACAGATAGAATAATATTAAATAATATCAAATAATAGAACTTTTATATTAATTCTCCATAAAGGTAATAAACTCCAATAATTCATGAAATAAAAGGTACTATTATAAAATGCCAATAATAATTATTAAGATAATCATTCATTGGTTGGATTAATTGATGATACTATTTTTCCATTCAGCTAACCTTCTCTCAATATTTATCATAATTAATTCTCAATCAGAAATTTTGATATAAATGATTAAACAAAAATGAAAAAAATTTATAGTTAGATAATTAGAGAGCAATTGATTTGAATTAATATCCTCAAATAGATTGATAAATTCAAAAAAAATATAATTTTTATCCACTTTCAATAAGGCGTTCTTAATAATCTATTATTACACTTTTTATCGCTTTAAATAAACCTTTCTTTCCATATGGAATCTCAGATGTATCAAATTAAAATTCCTAACTTTCACAGCATTAAGTTCAAACTAAAAATCATCCAATCTCAACCATCTCTTAAATAACTGGATATTAAAAATATTACTAATTTATATGTTGCTCCAAATTATCCATTAACTATAAATATAGAACTTAAATTAACAAATCAAATTTAAGATAAAATTATGTTTGATAGAGATTCAGATCATACACTAACCAAATATACAAAAAGAGATCTTGTAATTGTAATTGATTAATAATAATGCTCAAGTTTTTGATTTTTATATACAAACTTAAATTAACCTATTTTTAATAAAATTAATTGATCATTCTCTAATATTAAGTGTTCAATTAAATTACAAAAATTGACCTGAGCAATTGGGTAGATTAGTTTTTATGTATATTTATTTGTTAGTTTTGTTTTTATTATATAAAAATTGTAAAATGAATATACTTTATTTAAAATTTACTGACATCATCTTGATTTGGAATTTAAAATCAATTCAATTCTTTTAATAATTAAAAATAAAGTTATGGGTTGTGTTCAAAACAAAGCCACATAATCAATGTCTCAAAGGATGATTCAATTAAAAGAAAAGTAAAGTTCAACTACATTTCTTCCTTAATCCTTTCATGCAAACGATCAACAATACAATATTCTTAAAAATCCTATAATCAGAAGGAGAGAATAAAAGAAAAGTAAAATTTCAAATACAAGTGTATGTACTCCTATTACTAAAGATTGACAATATATCACCTCAGTATTATTATATATTTATTTTATATTTTGTTACTTGTATCAAACTCGCAAAAAGACAACTAACCTTATCGACCTCTCTTTTTCACTTTGTTTCAATCTATAACTTTAAAATGTAATCGTTTGTGCTAATATATTGTATCGATAAATCAATCATATATAAATCAAAAAATTAATCATAGTTTATTATTTTAAGGATGTTTTATATATAATGTCGACAAAATTTAATTATTATCTGAATGCTTTGGTCTTGTTTCTTTTATGCTAACCTTAATAGCTTTTCTTAATTTCTACTTATGGAGTATCAAATTTGACGACTTTTAAGAAGAATCTACACTCACTCACTTATCAAATAAACCAAAAACGAATATTTTAAATTCAAAACTCATTTCTTAGATTGGATTTATAATGTCAGTTATTTTTCTAATACTCTGTTTATTGATGAACAAATGTTAAAGTAATTATGCGTGAAGAGATAATAATAATATAATCATCAAGAGAATTATCTTTACACATATGAATTCTAAGCATCTCCTTTATTCCATACATTCATTAAACTTGGCATAGCAGAATGAGCTCTCCTTTAAACTATTGGATTCTTTTAAATTTTGTATTTATCTATACAAAATTGATTAAAAATTTCTCTTTCAACCTCATCTTCTTCAATTTGTTTCGAAGTTATCTAGGAAGCTAATTGTAGAGATTGAAATTTATCAGTTTTTTTCTTAGAAGTCAATGAACAACCCATTTAAAAATAATTAATTAGATTCAATCATTGTGTTTAATATTACAAAAAATAAAAAATAACAAGTTCCACCTCTTGTCTACTAACCATGCTGATTTTTGATATTCTAGTAATTAATATACTCTACTAGTTATTTTCAATGACATCTCCCCATTTCTCCTATCATCATAAAACTTCCTTATTCTAGACTTTTTAATAATATAATCTAATCTTTAATTTGAAACAGATTTATTTTATATAATTTTATTTCATTTATTTGTAGTGTAGTTAATTTACCTATCCCATATTCATCTTCATCATTATGTTCTAATTATTATGATCTATTTAAATTTCTACTATAATTAATCCAAAGTAAGTAACTTTGATACCAGATTTCACATTTTACATTTTATAAATATGATGAAGTAAAATTAGTATAAGATTATACTTATATATTCATTCTATATTCAAATATAATTTATTTTATAATGTCAAAGATGTTGTTAATTTCTAAAATAAAAATTTATATTTTATAATTATAGAAAAACTAATTTGCAATAAAGCTTATGAAAATCTTCTTAAATAAAATAAAATTTCATTTTTTTTAGATATTTGCTCATGCAATAATTTATAATCAATCATCATTCAATATTTTGCTTTATTTTTAAGTCTTTTTAGCACTTCTTAATTTATCAAGCCATAAATTATTGAACATTAAATAAATCTTATATATTGAATGACAATTACATGAATTAATTGAAAAGAAATTTATCTTAATTTCTTTGTTAACAATCTAGATTTAAGTCTCTTTATTTATCTGATTCTTATGTTTTTTAAGATTATTTTTATATATTTTTATTACAATGTGTTATTCTTCAACTTCTTGAATCTCAATTTTTATTTATTTTTGTTTACACAATTTTATAAAAAACTTAAGCGCATTTATAAATCTATACAATTCAACATCTAAAAGTTACCTAATAATACATGAAGTGAATTACACAAAATTAAAATGAAAAATATTAAATTCAAAATTCCTTTTGCAAATTTATCTAATTTGCTAATGGTTTTCAATAGTTCCGAACTTTATGACTATTATTTGTCACCAACTATACTTAATTTATCTACTTGAAATTATATTGATATATGTTCTTATCAATTACCTGATAGAGTTTATCCTCATTTTGTAATTAGAAATTGTATCTTAAAATTCAAGAAACAATAATTACTAATCAGAAAAGAAAATTAAGTTTTTTGTTTTGATATCTATATATAAATATATTGTTTCTTTTTTTATAAAAAATCTTATTAAATATAATTTATCAGGTGATAAATTTAATTCATCTTATTTTGTTTTGAAGAAGGCAGAAATAAATTACATAACATAGTATGCAACAAACACTTATTCTCATAATTTTATAGATCGAATATGAGTCATCGTAATATTCAATTAAAATATCTAAAAGAATAAGGATTGTCTTATTACTATTTACAAATTAGATAACAGTATTCTGGTTCATTATTCAAGTATTCAACATTATGATAATTATTTGTACTTTTTTTCTTGAAAGATATCTTTATTATTTATCTAGATTCAAAGTTTTTTTAACATTTTAAATCCAATAATTTAGATATGAATCTTATTAAATTTATTTAGCCTTGATATTCTAAAAATTCTGTTATTTGATTGAAATCTTATATCTTTTAAATTTCAAAAATATTTTTATTTGCTATTTTATTCCAATTAAATCATTATCTCTATTTTAAAAAATAATATTATTCTTAAAAAGATTCATTTCCATCTCCTGCTTTTTTTTAAGCTTATAAAATATACAATTAATTTTGTTTTTATAATATTAATGTTATGTTTTATTTATGGATTAATTCAAAAAAATATCTTTCATTTAGACTATTAATATTTAATGAAAATAGTATTATTAATTTTTAATTTTATTTTCTTTAATAGGCAATTTCATTTTTTTTTCAATGTTAAATTGTGAAAATTCAAATCTCGAGCTTCTTAGAAGTTTAAAAGATAGCTATAACAAAGCTGAAAATTTGCTTGATTAAAAAATTAGGAATGATAAGCATATTTTTTACTTAAATTTCATCAATAGTGATTAAATTTGGATTTCTTAAGAAAATTTATTTAAAATGGAATTAATAGGGAGTAATAGTATTTTAGGAGAATATAATATATATAAAAATTAAAAAGAAAAAGAACAAATTAGTCTTTATTATTTTTAAAATATTATCGAGAATAACAATATTTAAGAAATAGATCTGCATGAATTAACAAAAATAAAGTTAATTTTTAATAAATTGGCATAATTGAAATAGCAATTAAAAATAAAAATCTTTCTTCATTATCATGAAAATAAAATTGATAATTTAAAAGTTACTATTCAAAATCACATATATTAATTATTTGATGGCTTATTTGATGAATAATAGAATGTGATATTGATTTTGAGTAAATCTGAATATAAATATCTTGAATGTAATCTTGCATCAATGATAGATTTATAAATTGATTAAATTTTTTTTGAGTGCTAAGAATTTAATAACTAATTAATAGATAAGTTGAATTCTTCATTCAATTATTCTACTTTTAAATTTAATGATTTTCTCTCAATAGGCTATTAATGTTATAAGTACTTAACTCTTTTAATGGAAGTAATCACAAAGCAACTGATAAATTAACTTTTGCTAATTTAAAACAATATAAATAAATTACTTGAATTACCTTTTAATATAGATGAAGAAATAAGCTCTGATGCCAATTCAAAGCGCTTTTCATAATTATTACTTTAATTTATTATTAGGTTTAATCAAATTATTCAATAAGAAAATGTATAAATTGAAATCATTATCCCGGAAATAAAATAAGCAATAAATCGTTGGGAAACTCCCATTTCTGATAATTTAAAATTATTGGCTGAAAAACATGAAAAAATAAACATATTTTGTAAAAATAAATAAACGAACTTTATTTTTAAGTTTGAATCTTATACATAATAAGATTTAGAAGTATTAAAGCTTTTTTAAAATAATTATTTTAATAATACAGACCTTATAAAATAGGAATTGAAAATTATAGCATAATAAAATGATTTATGGCTAAAGTATTTTGATGTTCATTTGCCTTAAAGTCTAAAATTGTTATAGGACATACCTAAAATATCAGAACATTATGAAAAGACTGATAAACTTGTTGTTTCTATATTAGGCTTAACCAAAGTGGGTAAAAGTACTTTGTTAAATATTTTGACCGATTGTAAAAATTTAAATGTCACTTAAATTCATAGTCACAATAAATATTGTTTTACATAAAAAACATAGGTAGAAGATATAAAAATATCTAATCGCTGCTATAGTGAAACTTAATTTACATTTGATATAGAGATTGAGAATATCATTTTTATTGACACTCCAGGATTTTATGATACAAGTAGTTAAAAAAGATTGAGTAACTAAATAAATATCTTTACATAATTACAAAGATCACCATAAATTGTACTATTAATTTTAATTGATGGAGAAAAATTATGCGAAAATAAAAATGATTTATTTCAAACACTTGAACATATCAATATATTTTTTGGCAATAAGTTAATTGAATCTAAATTAGATTATTTTATTTTACCTATTTTTAATAAATTAGAACAAAATACCATGAATTAAATAAAATAGATATGGGATGAAGAAATATACAAAGACTGTGAATAATACTAAAGTTTCTTCTTAAAAACAATTAAAAATCAAATTGATCAAAATAGATATATTGAAATTTACAAAGCCTAATATTATATAGATAACAAAGAAATCTTAGATTTAAAGAATAGATTAAAAGCTATTAAAACTTAAATTAAAGAATTGATAAATGATAAAAAATAAGGTGAATTATTATATTTATCTGAAAAAAAGTAAGAACTTAAAAATAAAAAAATTTAATAAGAATTACAACCTAAAGAACTACTTTATAATTAATTAAATGAAATTAAAAATAAAATTGTGTTATAATGCAATATTTTAAAATAAGAATAAATTTAACACTAAGCTAAATTAATATTTAGTTGCAACTTAAATCCTGAATTGTAAAAGCATTATAATAAAGTAATACTTTATTCAGAAAAGCTTTGCCATAATTTAGTAAATGTGATTACTGATTTAGTTATTAATGATTTTTTATCTAATCAATCTATAAAAGTAGGAGATATAATTAATTACATTAATCTAATAGAAACGTTAGTAATGAAATATGAATCACAACAATAATAATCAGTACTTTCACTTTTCAATTCTTTGATAAAATTATTCCCTGAAAAATTCAAGCACCAAAATGTTATTAGAGATATTATAACCAAATTGAAAGCTGTTTCTAATCTCACTTCTTTTATATCTCATGATAAACAAGAGAAAATTAGTTTAGGCTACTTAAAATAAGAAATAAAATTATTGAAAACAGTTTGTATTGAAAATAANGATCACCATAAATTGTACTATTAATTTTAATTGATGGAGAAAAATTATGCGAAAATAAAAATGATTTATTTCAAACACTTGAACATATCAATATATTTTTTGGCAATAAGTTAATTGAATCTAAATTAGATTATTTTATTTTACCTATTTTTAATAAATTAGAACAAAATACCATGAATTAAATAAAATAGATATGGGATGAAGAAATATACAAAGACTGTGAATAATACTAAAGTTTCTTCTTAAAAACAATTAAAAATCAAATTGATCAAAATAGATATATTGAAATTTACAAAGCCTAATATTATATAGATAACAAAGAAATCTTAGATTTAAAGAATAGATTAAAAGCTATTAAAACTTAAATTAAAGAATTGATAAATGATAAAAAATAAGGTGAATTATTATATTTATCTGAAAAAAAGTAAGAACTTAAAAATAAAAAAATTTAATAAGAATTACAACCTAAAGAACTACTTTATAATTAATTAAATGAAATTAAAAATAAAATTGTGTTATAATGCAATATTTTAAAATAAGAATAAATTTAACACTAAGCTAAATTAATATTTAGTTGCAACTTAAATCCTGAATTGTAAAAGCATTATAATAAAGTAATACTTTATTCAGAAAAGCTTTGCCATAATTTAGTAAATGTGATTACTGATTTAGTTATTAATGATTTTTTATCTAATCAATCTATAAAAGTAGGAGATATAATTAATTACATTAATCTAATAGAAACGTTAGTAATGAAATATGAATCACAACAATAATAATCAGTACTTTCACTTTTCAATTCTTTGATAAAATTATTCCCTGAAAAATTCAAGCACCAAAATGTTATTAGAGATATTATAACCAAATTGAAAGCTGTTTCTAATCTCACTTCTTTTATATCTCATGATAAACAAGAGAAAATTAGTTTAGGCTACTTAAAATAAGAAATAAAATTATTGAAAACAGTTTGTATTGAAAATAACAAGGTTTAAAAGAGTCCTAAAATAAAAGAAATGGCAAAGATGCTAAAAAATTCTCTAATAATTTCTATAAGTATTTTGGCATCTCAGAGTTATACGATTTATTAAAAATAATAGTAAGATGAATAGTAAGAACGATTAAAAATGGTAATAGTAAAATTTAAATACCTAAAATCCAAACAGAAGTAGTATAATAATAATTAATAATGATTTATTTTAATATCATAATTATTTTTAAATAAACGAAAAATATTAGACATTTCAATTTTTTTATAATATAAATTATTTATAAAATTGTCTTAATAATCATTTTCTTTTTTATTTTTGGAGAAAAAATAAAACTAATAGAATAATAAAATTATTATTAACAAAAGAATAAAAGTTTGTTTCTCATAATCAAAAATAAAATTTCGTTTAAAATATATATACTAAAAGTAATTAAAACAATTTATTCTCATGTTCTCCTTTTTTCGATAAAGCAACTATGAGTTATAACTAAAGAAATATCTAAATATTACTATGATATTACATTGTTAATTTAGATATAGATTATTAAAATAATCTTCTAATTTTTCTAATCTTTATCTTAATAGTTTTTTGGCTTTTTCATTGTAAATTCCGAAAATTAACATTTCAAAATGGTTTTAATCCTAAGTATCAGTATTTATTTGAATATAGACTTAATTAGATATATTACATTCGAAAATTTCTATTAAAATGAGAAAAATGGCTTCTTTGTACCCCAAGAAAGTAAAATCTTAAAGATCTTTTGCCAAAATAATTGATTTTTATGAATAGAGCAATTTTAAATTAGAAAATACTTTACTTAGATTAATTTGTTTCAGTTATTTTTGTTCTAATTTATCTGATAAGTAATGATAAATAATAAGTTTAAACAATCCTTTTAAATTTGAAGTTTTATGTATAAGTATCATTTTAAATTATTAATAAATACTTTTAAGCAAGACTCTGTATTTAAATTAGAATTGTTTTTCTATGACTAAATTTTATTATTCCCCTATAATTTTGCCGCATTAATATTTATCTATTTTAATCATAATGATAGGATTTGTTCCTGAAAATATTGAATATGTAATTTCTTAAGCTTTTTAATTCAATTCAATTAAAAGAGATTGATTAATAATATTGCCATCTTATTTTTAAAATTTATCAATTTATTTATATAGAAAGTTTTCTAAATTAATTTTTTCATGTAAAGTTAATTTCGATTTTCTTAAGAAGTTCTTTAATTCGTTATTCGTTTCACATTAAACAATAAACGAAAAAGATCCGTTTAAAATAAAGGTATGTCTTAATTAATCAAAATTAAATATTAAACATGGCTCTGTAACCATACTTAATAAAATCTTATCCCATTATTAATTAATGAGAGTAAGTTAAAATTTTGATCTTTCTGCAGCAACATTTTAATAAAAGGAAAATAAAAGCAAAAAGCAAATCAAAAATGTTGACAAAACAAATGCTTAAGAATAGTTAGTCTAATAACTTATAAAATAACCTAAATAAATTGAAAAAAAAGAAATAACTTAAATTAAAGCATCTATAAATTCTCCCGAGGCAATAATTACAAATTAAAATGCAATTATCAAAGCAGATGCTAATTAANATTTATTCTCATGTTCTCCTTTTTTCGATAAAGCAACTATGAGTTATAACTAAAGAAATATCTAAATATTACTATGATATTACATTGTTAATTTAGATATAGATTATTAAAATAATCTTCTAATTTTTCTAATCTTTATCTTAATAGTTTTTTGGCTTTTTCATTGTAAATTCCGAAAATTAACATTTCAAAATGGTTTTAATCCTAAGTATCAGTATTTATTTGAATATAGACTTAATTAGATATATTACATTCGAAAATTTCTATTAAAATGAGAAAAATGGCTTCTTTGTACCCCAAGAAAGTAAAATCTTAAAGATCTTTTGCCAAAATAATTGATTTTTATGAATAGAGCAATTTTAAATTAGAAAATACTTTACTTAGATTAATTTGTTTCAGTTATTTTTGTTCTAATTTATCTGATAAGTAATGATAAATAATAAGTTTAAACAATCCTTTTAAATTTGAAGTTTTATGTATAAGTATCATTTTAAATTATTAATAAATACTTTTAAGCAAGACTCTGTATTTAAATTAGAATTGTTTTTCTATGACTAAATTTTATTATTCCCCTATAATTTTGCCGCATTAATATTTATCTATTTTAATCATAATGATAGGATTTGTTCCTGAAAATATTGAATATGTAATTTCTTAAGCTTTTTAATTCAATTCAATTAAAAGAGATTGATTAATAATATTGCCATCTTATTTTTAAAATTTATCAATTTATTTATATAGAAAGTTTTCTAAATTAATTTTTTCATGTAAAGTTAATTTCGATTTTCTTAAGAAGTTCTTTAATTCGTTATTCGTTTCACATTAAACAATAAACGAAAAAGATCCGTTTAAAATAAAGGTATGTCTTAATTAATCAAAATTAAATATTAAACATGGCTCTGTAACCATACTTAATAAAATCTTATCCCATTATTAATTAATGAGAGTAAGTTAAAATTTTGATCTTTCTGCAGCAACATTTTAATAAAAGGAAAATAAAAGCAAAAAGCAAATCAAAAATGTTGACAAAACAAATGCTTAAGAATAGTTAGTCTAATAACTTATAAAATAACCTAAATAAATTGAAAAAAAAGAAATAACTTAAATTAAAGCATCTATAAATTCTCCCGAGGCAATAATTACAAATTAAAATGCAATTATCAAAGCAGATGCTAATTAATAATGAAATTAATTCTTGCTGTCATCAATTCTCAAATAAGGAATCATCATTAAATAATTTACAAATATTAATGCAAATCGACAGTATTGAGGTTTCATTGATAGAATTGCAATTAGACATAAATCACTAATAAAATATCCTATTGTTCCATAAATCTCATCAAGGCTTTCAGTAATTATGGAGAATGTCCCCTTAACTAACACAACAAGGAAAGTTAAATAAATTATTTTTTTAACTAAAGGCTTTCTTTTTTCTTCAAGTTAAATTTCCTAATACTTTTCTTCAAGTTTTTAATCCTTAAATGATAAGGTATATCTATTAATCATAAAATGTGTAAATATATTAATATTTAATTGGTTTCTCAAGATAAAAATATATGATGTAATAAATAATGTCAATAATTGCAAAAATACTAATTGTTAAAGTTAAAGTAAAGATTAAGTTTATGAAATAACAGAAATTTGATTAAAAATAAATGAGAAATCTAAAATTAGAACAATTAAACGTGATTCTAGTATTTTTAAATTTATTAAATGAAAAAAGGCAATTTTATTATTATCAGAAATATGTTGATTGTATTTATAATCTATATTTTGGATATAGAAATGCTAGAATGTGAAGTCAAAATGATATGCTTAAATTAATGAATAATATAATGATAGAACAAAAAGATTCTTGATAAATTCTTAGTAAATTTAATAAATTACATATAATTATGTAATTACATAATTATATAATTATTATATAATTCAAATTACAAATGCAGCCTTAAAAATAATAATAATAGTTATCAGTTTAAGCATAAAAAGAAAGGGGTAATAAATGAGATGATAATTAGATCGCTTAAAAGCTTAGCGAGAAGGATAGTTAAATAAAAAGGAATAGGCTCTAAATAAATTAAGTGATGAGGAAATAATAGTGTAATTAAAGGCAAAAGGATTAGGTGTATATGGAACAAAATAAGAGAAATTAGATAGATTAAAGAAAGCTAATGGTATATTTGTAAAGAGTATAAAGGAATTGAAATAAATATTAAACCAGAGCAAGTTCCTTAATAATAATAATAATAAGCATAGCAATAATAATAACAATAATAATAATAAATAGTTGGATAATAATAAGGATAATAACAAAAAGGATCAGTAGTTGATAATATAAAAAAGATGGAATAGTAAAGAGAGGAACGTCGTAAGAATATGTAAGAAATGAAAAGAGAGAAAGCAGAAAGAGAAGAATAAAATTAAATATTAGGTAAAAATGTAGATGTAGAATTTGAAATAATGATTGATAAGAGTAGACTTAAGGGTGGATTAATATAAGAACATTAAACAACATAAAATATAAAATTATGTGTATGTGTTAGAAAGAGACCAATATTTAAAAAGGAAGAGGTAGGAGGAGAAATAGATGCAATAAGTTGTTCAAATCCAATGATAAGAGTACATGAACCTAAATTAAAAGTAGATGGAATAACTAAATATGTAGAAAATCATGATTTTTAATTTGATAATACATTTAGTGAAGTTGAATAAGGAAAAGACATTTATGATGTAAGTTTGGCACCATTAATGGATTTATTGGTTAATTAAGGAGTTGTAACATGTTTTGCTTATGGTTAAACAGGTTCTGGTAAAACTTATACAATGAAAAGTATTTAAGAATTATTAGCAATTGATATATATAAATAAATTAGTGCAACTCCATCTTATAAGATATTTGTATCCTTTTTTGAGATATATGGTGGAAAATGTTATGATTTATTGAATAGTAAAGCACCATTATAAATATTGGAAGATAAAAATAATAATATATAAATATAAGGATTAGTAGAGAAACCAAGTGAATCAGAACATGAACTATTTTAATTAATGGAATTGGCTAATTCAGTTAGAACTACTCATGCAACTGTTGCAAATGATACATCATCAAGATCTCATTCAATATGTTAAATTGCAATAAGATAAGGGTATTCCGATATTGGTAAATTAATATTGGTGGATTTGGCAGGTTCAGAAAGGGCATAAGATACTTAATCAAATAATAGATAAAGAAGATTGGAAGGAGCAGAAATTAATAAAAGTTTATTAGCTTTAAAAGAATGTATTAGAGCTATGGATTCAGGATAAGGTCATGTACCTTTTAGAGCATCTAAACTTACTTTAGTATTAAGAGATTCATTTACTGCTAAATCCAATAAATCAAGAATAATTATGATTGCTTGTATTAGTCCTGGAAGTTCATCTGCTGATCATTCTTTAAATACTTTAAGATATGCTGATAGATTAAAAGATAAATCTAACTAAGCTAAACTTTAATTAGAAGAAAGAGAAGTTACAAATGAAGAATTATTATATAGACAATAATAAGTTTAAGATAAGTAATCAGATAAAAATTTAGATAATAAATAATAATTATAAGATAAATAAAATCCTCCTTTATAATTACCAAAAATTAATGATGCTAGAAATTAAAATAATTAAAATGCTGCTAATATTAAAAAGCATTAATCATCAATCCCAGAAAAAGAAAAACCAAAATCATAACCTGTACCTCCAAAATAATAGAAAAAAGTTAGTACAATATAAGAAGATTCTGATGATGAAGTTACAGCTGAAGAATTAGTTGTTAAAAATAATGCTTAAGTTAAAGAAGATGTTAGATGCATGAAAGAAACTATGATGAAAAATCCATAAAATAATGCTAATGGAAATGGAAATGAATTCTTTGAATTTCATGAAAAAGTTAATACAATTCTTGAAGAATAAGATGAAATACTTAATATTCATATGGCTGCCATTAAAGTATTTATTATTCTATCTATTCTCTATAGGAAGATGCTAAATTATTACAATAAGAAAGTGAATTAATTTAGTCAATATAAGGAGTTGGAATTGTAGATTATGATGTAGATACTTATGTCTCTAATTTAGAAGCATTCATTAAAAAAAAACTTAAAATCTATAATCTTTTGAATAAAAAACTTTTAGTTTTTAAGTATTATTATTCATTTTAATAATAGGACACATTTGAAAGAAGAAGAAGAGATTAGTTCTAAAATGAAGAATACATTTTATTTTTGAAAATGTATTAATTAATTATAATATTATTATAAATCTCCAATTTAAATTTAAATAAGAAATCTTTAGAAGCAGCTTTGAATTAACTTAATGTAATAAAAGGCATTATAGATAAAGTTCTTATATTCTTAATTAATAAATAAACAGACTTATTATAAGAAGAGAGAGAATAATACTAAAAAGAAGAATATTAAATCAATTTGCATAATACAACAATTTTTCTCCTAAATGATAAAGTACTATTAATTATTTTACTTTAAGAACAGATTCTTGAGATTTTTTCATTAACAAACTTGGTTATTTTTTTGGCTGAATAATAAAATCTAAATAATTAGTTGGTTAATTTATATGAAAAGTTTTTATCATTAGTTAATAGAAAAAATAACAATTCTTGGAGCAATAATTAAAGTTTATTATTCTTAATTCTTAATATTACCACTTGAACAATCTCCATTAAATATTTAATGACCATGAATATGATGATTCCTTATTTTGCTTTTATGATAAATACTTATATTTTTATCATTTAATGATATGTTATTCGCTATAACTCATAATATATCATCTTAAAAAAATAATTGAGTAACTCATGGTTAATTAATTTTTAAGAGAATTTTATTAAACTCTATCTAAATCATAAATTGTTAATTATAATTGTTTTTTTCTTCACACATATAGAAAGTGGAATTTCTAGTATCATAGGTTATTAATTAATTTTAATATCTATATTAGTTGAAAATAAAAAATAGAGCAAGACAAATAATTAAAAATTGAATATTAATATTTCTTGTTAAAAAAATAAAATTTTTCTAAGCCTGGTAATTTTAAAATATATATAAATTATGAGTAAATTAAATAAACTATTAGATATTATATCAGGTTCTTGATTATCTTTATAATTTTTAACTTCCATTTACTTAAAAAATAATAAGATAATCATTATAAATGAGAGCATCGTTTATTTTCTTCTTTGTTAATACTAAAACTAATATATCATAATCATTACCAATAATAAAAGAAGCATTCAATTTTGAAAGTTTAACATACTTGAATAGAATACCATTTATAGAAATATGAATTAATTCAGAATGCATTCTTTTAACTTTAAACGTTAAATAATATTAATAACTTAAAATTCATGACACAAGAACGTCCTCTCCAGACATTGGTTCTAATGGTATATCTTCAACTTTGACAGGAATTTCATTCATTTTAGTATAATTTTCTAATTTCTAATGTAATTTTTTTCTACACCATAATAAAACGATCAAAAGCAATAATATTAAACAACTAATAATAAAATTTTCAATATTTACACTAATACACTACCAATAGTGATAACTAAAGTTTCGTCTTCTTCAAAAAAAAGAATTTCTTTACCAGATACAGTGAAATTGTGGTAAATCACACATTATGAAAATGGAGAATAGTCATTTTCTGATTCTTTTGCAGTACATTAAGTTGAATTCATTATTAATGAATAATGCTTATTAAATTAAAAGGAATAAATTACAGTGATGTCAGTTGATAGTGGCCTGCATTATAACCATGGAAATATACTCTTTAAGGTAAATATATTAATATCATTATCAGAGATACCAACCATAAATGCTTAATTGTAATAAATCGTAGCCTTTTAAAATGGTTCAAAATCAAATGCATTTTAATTGTATACTTTTTTATTTGTGACTCTGAATTCCTCCACATTTTCTAAATCAAAATCTTCAAAATATAATGGAACATCAATTTTATTTATATATTTATTGTATATTGAATGATAAATAACTCTGTGAATTTCTTATCCTATAAGAATAGCATAATGCTCTCCCATATAAACATCAAAGATATCCATATCTTTTGAATATATTCTATTAAAGTAATAATCATCATTATCTTCTAAGAATACTTCAATAGCATATGGATCACCTGAATCAGTGTTGGCTACAAATATAAATGTCTTTTTATAAAAATCAAAAGAAACAATATTTTTTAGTCTGACAATGATACCAGTATCTTCATATTGATTAATTGTAAATATATCATAAATTAACAATCCCACATCGGCATTTAACAAATAGAGTTGAGTACTTTCTTCATTTGTCAATACTTCCAAAAAGTTTCCCTCCAAATTCAAACTAATTAGATATTATATGGTTTCATTATTATCAAATAAATAGACATCTATACCTTCTCTACCATAAACGGCATAGAGAGTTTATAGTTTCTAGCAATAATGAATATATTTTGGAGATTATTTTTTATTCAAATTCAATTGGGTAAATTAATCACTTTTTAGATTGACTTATAATGCATCATATAAAGTAAAGATTAAACAATAATTAGAATTACATACAATTTAATGTGTATCACTTTCTGGTTTAATAGATGGTATTTTAATCATTTTAACTTTTTTGAAATTTTTAATAGTATCTCCATCAAAATCAATTTCCATAACAATTAAATGATTATCATTTCGAGTAGCATATACATAGTTATTCTCAATAAATAAGGCTGTAAAAAATGTGTTAGTAGAATTAGTTGTAAATGTTTCAATGAAGAGATCTTAATAAACTAATCTCCTTGAATATGGATAACAATCAGGTAAAGTGAATGGATCAAGAGTTGTATTTGAAATCATTTCAATAGATTCATCATCTATAACTTGACTAAGTTTCATTTCATAAACTCCAGGATAACTAAAATATTTATATCTATGTACATATTACCTATTGTATTGTAATAATAAAGTTTATCCTACATTAGGATTGTATTCTGTGTATTAAATATATTCATTTATTCTTGTTAATTAAGGTTAGATGACCCTCTGAAATTTGGCTATAGTAAATAAATAAAAAATAAACATTAATTTAAAATGAAAACAAAATAAATTATTATTACGAGATCTATTCACTAGATTTCATTGTTTAATTATTAAATCATTTTTTATTTTGATTTTTGATTCTTAATTTTTTAGATTACTCCCATGATGCTTCCGATTTTTAATTGTTGAATTTTTAATGGCTCATCAGGAATAATAAGTTTTTCCTTTTTCAACATCATCTCTAATTTAGTAGTTATTATATTAACATTTTTCTTCTTTACAAATTTGATTGCTGATGTGGTAATCTTTCGATTGCTTTCAATAGATTATTATGATACACTTCTTAATTTTGCAATTTTAGTCATAAAATCATCAATTGCTTATTTATTGCAATTACTATCCTTTAATCTTTATCTAATTCCTGTTATTATTGTTGAATTTCTGTCTGGTATATTTTTACGTAATGATTCATTTAATAATTCCATCGTACTAGCTTCTATTGAAGCCTGTTATTTAGAATACAAATCCGCAACACTTTAATTATTGGAAATTATCAATTCTATCCATAATGCACAACTTTACTCTTGTGTATGTTTCTTTCTGGACTTTATGGAATGAAAGTATTTTGATCTTTAGGTGGCGATGGATGTTATACTAAAGTTCTCTCTGTTATTGATTTTATCTGATGATGATTCAATTTTATTATTCTTTATTTCTTTTCATCTCTCTCTTGAGTTTTCTCTCGATATGAAATTATACGAGGTTAACTGTTGCATATTGTTTTCTTTTTCATTCTTTAATCCAATAATGCTATTATCTCATCTATATTTTCTGGTTCTGTACAATCAATTGATTTATCCTTAAAATTCATTTTTGCTATTTCTTACTGCAATTTTTTTATATTCATTACAATTGAATGTAAATATGAAAAATAATCTTACTAACTATTATTGGTTGTTGTCATATATTCTAAGTAACTAACCTTCTAAAAGTCACTTGGACTTAAACCCAATTTATTCATTGCTGTTTAAGTTGCTTAACAATTAAAATCAATCCTTTATTCTAAAATTTATTTCATTTCATGAATTGGCAATTTATTCATATATTAATATATTTATTTTATCTTTTAATTTTTATACAGCTTAAAATACATAAGGAGGTCAAACTTAAACCATTTACTACAAAATTCATTCTTGAGTACCAACCAATGGTTAGTCAAAAATCTTTTTGGGTTTCTTTAAGGTTTTTTATGATGCCCTAGTTGATTTATGTGATCCGAATGTCTTTGAAGAAAGATCAAGGATACCTTAAAGATACTCAAGAAGTATTATCTATCTCAAATGGGACTGATTATTTGGAGGGAGGGACTGATTACTTGATCACTCAACTAGCTTTAGACTTGGCTTGAGTAATGCTAAACAATCTTACAGTTACTAGGTCTATTAAAGAAAAAGAGTTGGCATACAATAAATTAGATAGATTTAATCTAAAAGTATTGAAGAAATAAAGAGAAAAGTTTAATTTAAGCTCAGAACTAAAGACGGCAAAGACTTATTTTAACAATTATATTGAGTCTTTTGTATAAGTAGTTAGAACTTCAGTTTCAGTATCCACTCATTTAATAATGCTAATACTAAATAATTAGAGAATAAGTCGATTTTGTTTGGAATGAGTACACATGTCTAGATCCAAAATCTTATAAGAGCACTTAAAAATATAAGTCAAAAGGATAAAAGATAAATTATATGATTTTATACTTATGCATGATGTCCTACAAGTAATATGTATTAATTAACTGCTTCCATTGATATTGAACGAATTAAAGGAGTCTAAGGATATTTTAATTGATATAATTAAGTTTCAAAACTTATTTAGGTATTCATACCAATCATTCCTAAAGATTGTTTCTAATTTGACATTGAAATGTATTAAATGTACTTTAATTATGATAGAGAAATAGAATCTAACTTGTTATGCAACTCAAAATTTTAATTTAATCTATTTTTAAATGAATAGTCTCTTCTGTTACATCATTTATAGTCAATTCAATAAACACATTATCAGATTCATTCATATCCTAATACTCGGTCTTTTGAGTTTTTACGAAGTTTTAAAACACTGTTTTTGCATCATTCTATGCGAAATCAACCATATAAATTTTTTTTAATTGAGGCTTGCTATCTAATATCAGAATCATTCAAACAATAATGAAATTAGATTGCCTGCACATATCAATCTATTGTTTCAATAATAATCTTTTCCATAACCAATATCAATCTTCTTACCATTTATCCTCATTATATTCAATAGTAAAATATCGTAAAAATCTAATTTATATTATTATTACCTTAAGGATCATAAGGAAACTCTTTATATTAATAAATTTCAGCTTTTTTTTGCCTGACAATTATATTTCTTTGATCTAGACATTAGTGCCATCCTCCAATTAGAATGTACTTTTTTAATATAGTTTCTCTTGTTCATATGAATACGAATATTCAAACTATTTTAATTGGTAATATATTTCAGTCATAAGTCTAATCGATCAATCTACATTCATGAGGGTAAAATAAACTTTTCAAAGAGTATTTATCCAAACTTCATGTAAAAGTAGGATTTACAAACTCTGATTGAAAATATCTTTATTTTTATGATGATGATTTTCAACTCCAGAAGGAAAGATTAATAATCATTTATATAAGTAATCCTCAGATTAAACTATCTAATCTAAAAGTGAATCAAAAATGCTATTGAAAGTATGTTAATGTTATTTAAGTAATTCTGTAAAAGATAAATATGAAGTAATTAGTTTATCGTTCTCTCAGAAATCATTAATTTTATAAATTATGGGTGATAATAATTAAGATGGTATACAATTATTGAAAACTCTTCTTACAGCTGATGTACCCGCTGAAGGATCTGTAATACAATCTATTAGAAATGTAATGTTCTTTTCTATTCTTAGAAAGTGAATTCATTACTCAATAACAAATAACAGATTTCCATTTTGTAAGAATTACAATAAGCGTATAAATCATTGCAATTTAAATTTAGCAATCTTGATAATGAATTTAAAGAAATGACTGACAACACACTTATGGGACTCAATGCCATTTATTTTTCATCTGTTGTACTTACATAATTTATGTTTACTCGAAAAGTCAGTAAGGTTGTTTTCCTTCTCAGTTGTGCTTATTTTAACTTCTATATCATTCAACCTATTGAAGTCGAGTACAAATTACGTAAACTATCCTTACAAAATACTCTTGCAGGATAAGAAGTCAGAAATCTATATAGATTTTACTTCAAAGATCATGATTTTACTAAAGAGATGACAGAAAAATGCAAATTGTATACATAAGCTGATGAAATTAAAAAATAAATTTATTCCCGAAAATTGTGATGTTGACTATTCTCGTGCCTTTATATTTTGACTTCAATTATAAAGATGGTAGAATTAGCCAATTTATTTACGACCACTCAAAAGGCGTTCCATATCGATTTATCGACATGAAATTCCTCGAATCGATCTACATTCATTCATTATTGTTCTATATTTATATATTTTATAATGTGACATCATTCTATTATGGTTTATATTTATAATGTCTAACAAAGTCTTACTTGCAGATTACAATAATCATGGGCAATAACAATTCGATTATCCTGAATAAGATGTTTATTACACAGGTATGTCACTTAATCCATTCTTAAAGGCCGTAAATTGGATCAAGAATTGAAGCGAGGACCCATTGAATCAAGAGGATGTCGAGATTTCTTATGTGTTATACTTTATTTAGGATTATGGGCGTTAATGATATTTTGTGCAATAAATTCATGGGATGAAGGCGATACTTCTAAAATTTACTTACCTTATGACAGTGTAAACAAAAGGATCTATTTGTTAGGAATAGCGCTAATGTGGAAAGGGAGATCTTAAAAGCTACTCCAATATATATATATTAAGTTAATCAGAATCCTATTGTGTATCAGATTGTCCTGGAGAAAGTGGAGTAGGAAAAGAACTTCCTTGTTATTAATGTAAAGCTTAGACTGCACCTTATGCAAGTGTATAAGTGCTTACTTTGTGCTTTCCAAGTTTGAAAGTTGATGAGTAATATTAAAAATTGATAAATGATTTGGTGGAGATTGGTGGATTTTAAAAACATTATGCAGATTTGGAAGAAACATGGCCAATAATATTGGCTAGTGCAGGAATTGCATTTTTTATGGCGATATTGTTAACATTCTTGATAAGAATAGCAGCAGGATGTATAGTATGGGGAATGATTCTCATCTATTTATTGATTGTAGGAGCTATCGGAACAGTTGCTTATTTGCAATCAAAGGGACATTACTAAGAATATCGTGTAGTGGATGATACAAAACAATTAGAAATAATAGCTTATTTATTTTGGAGTATTGGAGGATTATCCCTTTTGATAATTCTATGTTTAGCTAAGAAGATTTCATAAGCAATATAGGTATTGAAAACAGCAGCAGATTTTACAAGAGAAGAATGGTAAACACTTTTTGTTCCAGTGATAATTCTTATTTTGGGATTAGGATTCTTTATATATTGGATAATATTTTCAGCATTAATATATTCTACATCAAGTGATTTGAATAAGAGTTAATACAGTCCATATGTTGAATTATAATGGGATGCAAAGACTGGTTGGTAATTGGCTATATATTTTTTTGGATTAATATGGAATATATGTTTTGCATTGTCATTATGTTAATTTGTGATAAGCAGTTGTTGTTGTATGTGGTATTACAGTCATATTGGTTATCCATTGAAAAGTAGTATACTAAAAAGTTTTTGTCGTGGATTCACAACTAATTTTGGCAGTTTATTATTTGGTTCTTTAATTTTGGCTATAGTTTGGACAATTAAATTTATTTTAGATGCTTTTCATGTAATTAAATTAATTTAATAAATAGAAATAATTAAAATAATCAGTCTCAGGTGATAATAATGCATTAGGATACGCATTAAGATGTGCAAAATATTATGTTTCGTGTTTTGAAAAGTTTATAAGATTTTTGAATTAAAATGCATATACAATGATGGCATTAACAGGATAGAGTTTTTGTAATGCTGCCTATGATGCTTTCTATCTCATCTTGAGAAATGCTACTCGCGTTGCAATCACACATGGATGTAATTAATTAAATATATATATAAATAGTGGGAGAACTCTTTGAATTTCTGGGTGCTATTTTTATATCGGCTACTACTTCTTTTATTTGTTATTTGATCATTACTAAAAGTGAATCTTATAAAAATAATATTTTTAGTCCAATCGCTCCTACCTTTGTAATTCTTAACATTACTTTTAGGCCTTTGTTGTTGTATCCTATATGATTGGTAAAATGTTCATGAATCTTTATGGAATGGGAGTTGATACTCTATTGATTTGCTACATTGTTGATACTGAAATGAACAAAAATGAAGGAGGTGCCAAATCAGTACCTAATTCACTGAAATAATATGCTTCAGAATTAAATTGAAATGATATTATTCATCAATATATTATTAACATCATCAAATTTCTTTGAAACTTACAGGATCTACTGAAAATTCGATCTCAAAAGCAGTAGGCTTAAATCTCTCCTTATAAATTAATTAGAATCGAGGTTGTCTTATTGGAAACATCTTATAAGCATATAGTGAATGCACTCTATAACCTCTCTCTTTTGTCTACTCTGTTATTACTTTCAATGTATTCAGATAATGTCTATAACAATTATTTGCGCATTTATTCTACAATCTCTAACCATCATAGCAAATCTCAAAACATTATGCAACTAAATCCAAATTTATTCACTTTTACCTTACTTTCTAAATGTCATCAATCAATTCTTTTCTCTCTTCATTATTCATTTTTCTTTTTTTTCTTATGTATATTTATAGATATTTATATATATAACAACAATTTTAATCATTCTCTTTCTAATCTTCAAACTTCTCATTTAATTCCAATATCACAATATCTCTTAACCCAACTTCATCTTATACATTACTAAATTATGCTTCTTTTGCTGCTATTCGTTCTCTCAACTATAAATAATTTTACATTGACATTCTCATCAATGCAAATCTTCAATATCTACTCAATTTTAATTAATTAATTAATTAGTATTTATTTATTAATGTTCTCAAATTATACTTCTTATAATGAATTTTTATCATTATTGATTACTGCATTTGGTTGGAAAACCTGTTTCTCAATATTGTCATTCTACTCTACCTTCTCCTCTAATAATTGTGATAGTTGATCTCCTTTATTCTATTGAAAAACATTAGAACAGAGAATTTTTGCTGTAACTATTTTTATAATATTAATTATTTATTAGTTATTTAACCCGTGTTTTCTAGTAAAAAGTGTTCTACTTATTCTCATTATAAATCTAGATAATTATTCATTCGCTTTTAAGAAAAATTACAATAATCAAATACAAGAATAAATAAAGCAAAAAAAAATCATTATTTAGGCAGTTAGTCTATCTCTTCTTAAAGAATATTTTAGACACATTTTGGATATTCATAATTCTTAAATCCACGGAATAATGGAGTATATTCTTTCTATTTGAATTAAAAAGTAAATTACTAAATAAGCAAGTATATTTTTAGCCATCTAATCCTTCTTTATTGTAAATGAAGGAATAATTAAATCTGGCATAGTTGGAACATTCTCTCTATTAAACACTCTCAACTTATGTTCTTCAGGATCTAATTTACCATTCCCTTTTGTTATTTTATTTTTTGATGTTATATTTAAAATAGGAGGTTTCTTCTTGAATTTCTCTTAATAAATGATTCTTTCTTACTGCAAATAATAATGGATTCTATCTTTTCTCATACATTCTTTGAAGTGTATGATCATAAATTTCTTCTCTCTTTTTTACTGCTTCTTAGTAGGATATTTTTTCACTCTTAATTTTTGCTCTTGGTTTTTCTTCTTATAATCTAGATTCCTCATCAAAAAATTGTTAATCTTCTTCTACTTCTAATTATTATGCCTCTTCCTCTTCTTTTTAATCAACTATCTAAGGATTTGTCATAAAATCTAAGGTTCTTTTCATCTCCTCTTCATTCTCATTCTATTTTTACTATTCCTATAATTCCCTTTATAATTTCTCTTATCTTTCTCTCTCCATCACTCTACGATAGGCCTTTATTTTTTTATCTATCTATTTTATTGCCTCAGGTATAGGAGTCGGTTTTGGAACATACTAAATTAATCTTTATTTTATTTTATTACTGGTTATCCATATTAAATAGTTGGCTAAGGAAGAACGATCATCTCTTATGTTGCTTTTGGTTTTCGACTTTCTTGATATCAAAATGTAATTACAAAAATCGTTATGCATTTCTCATCTAAGGTGGATGCTCACTCTCTTCCTTATCATTGAGAAATCTTGTTTTTTGATTCGAGGATTTAGCTTTGCTTTCAAAATTAAGTTTTTTTGTAATCAACTTTTCTGACATTACTTTTTTATTTTTAATATATATTATAAGTTCCTTATTATCAATTTTATAATAACAATTATAAAAATTTTGATTCCAATATATATATTAATATCTACTCAATAATATAATTAACATCATCTACAATCTATTAGTAATCTATTTTCTAATATTAATCAGGTATTAAAAATTTTTTTACTTTTTCAAATATTTAACTTTCTTCTTCTTATATTGAGTATTTATAATATTAATTTCATTTATTAATATTATTTACTCCTTTTACGGTTTATAAAATTTAATTTGATTCTTAATTCTATTTTCTCTTTTTATAAATTGAAGCTTCTTAATTTTAATATTAGTTGTATCAATCAATCAATCTATCCACATCTTATAATAAAACAAAACCTTATTAATCTTCATGGTTTAATTAAATTAGTTTGTTAAAAAAAAAAAGATTTATAAATAGTATAATTTTGAAAGAATTTGTAAATCCTTAATTATATTGTTATTATATAGGATTTCATTATTTAAACACTTATTGAAATATATCCTAGATAATGTTATATAAATAGTCATATAAATTGGATTGATCAATAATCTGTAAATATAAGATTAATTATTAAAAAGTGTGTTGGTTTTCTATAAATAATATTTTATGACATAATTTAAAATCATAAATTCAAATTAATGAGCACCATCCTTATTTTAAGTTTTGTGGATCTTCTTCAACCTTTTTAAATTATTATTTTCTTGCATTTTCTTTTTATTGAATGATATCATTAATAAGTCCAATAAACATCTAATTGACATTGGATCCATTTTTGGCTGATGTCTCATAAAAAAGTGCTTTAAATTATGAAGCCAACTATTTTCCTTCATCATAACTAATAACTCTTTCAGAACCTAAATCAATTTTATTTCCAACAATAACAATTGATGGTACATATTCTTATTTCTCAAACAACTATTAAAATAATAATAAAGTATTTTTAATATCTTCAAAACTTTCTTAAGAGTTCACTGCATAAGTAAATATTAATCCTTCCTTATCCTTCATCCATTAAGTTCTTAAAGATGTATATGCTTCTTGACCACATGTATCAGAAATCTTAGCAAATTTATTTACTATATACTTCAATCTAACATTATTAATCGCCCACAATAACTCTTTTTGTATATTTATCCAAAAGCGTAAGACTATAATCTTCAAAAAATTCGTTATTGACCCATCTTGTTGTCAAATTAGATTTTCCAACTGAACCCATTCCCAATAAAGAAATCCTATATTAAACTAATTATTTTGATTCGGCAAAAGAATTTTTTAAATTAGAATTATAATTATTGAACTCCTCTCCCTAAATTCATAACACATTTCTAATATACACTCGATATGAAATAACTCCCTCCCATTTATATACTATCAATATCTATTATCTCTTTTCCTGTCTGATCAAATATCCTTTAAGCTCTTAGTTCTAATTATGAATATTTCCAAAACCTAAAACAGCTGAGCACATTTGTAGAAATTTCCTTCGATCAGTTTCTTTTCTTAAATAATGCACTTTCATTGATTTACGTGCATTAGCATTATTGTATATCTGTATTGTAACATTATTTGTATTTATCATATAATTATTATATTTTCTTTTTATAATTTTTCATTACTCTAAAATATTACAATGTAGAGTGAAACAACGCATTATTTGGTATGTATAATTTCATCACATGATAAAAGTAATATTAATTCATCTTAATTAAATACAATAAACTTATATACAGAATAATAAAAGTAAATTAATTCATTATTGTTTTCTCAAACTAAAATAGTTGAAGTAATTTTCAAGTATAGTCTTGTTAAATGGTTTTATTCGATTAAAACAACTCTTTAACTAATCATCTGATATCTATGCATGTTTCGATATGATGACTAATTTTATACCTCCATACTATCGATAAATTATGTCAGAAGTTAATTTAATTGCTAAAGCATTTTGTATTTGTTTTGGTAATTTGTTTACTAATTTTATGATTGTATTCAACATAATCTAACAAGCTTTTGTAGCTCGATTATCCATTTTAAGCCTCTTACATAAATTAACTAAGTTGTTTTTGAGTTGAGTCTCTATTACAGAAGACAAATATTGAATCTTTTAGTTACAGATAAATGGTTCAAGATTCAATTATTTCATTGCACAATGAATTACTGCTTATGCATACTAAGATGAGTTAGGTATTTTTAAGGATTAAAGTATTTAAATGCATTGCTTTTCAATCTCAATGCTCAAATTCATTTTGCCAATTTAATGGCTAATTTCTTCAAATAATGATATGCATTTTGTGGGAGTTTATTCGAAATCTGTAAATTTTGGAATAGGCGGCCGTTTTGACATTCTTTTTGATTATTTATTAATTAAAACACAAATTATTATCAACTCATCAATCACACCATGATAAAACATACTAATTTAAAATAATTATTATAATATTCCATAAACGGCCTAAAATTTATTCATTCAATCATTTTATCAAGTATATAATGATTAGAATTGTACAAAAACTATTTATTGTTTTTCTTTTTCCTATATAAATAAGAAAAATTATAATAATACATATTAATTAGGTTATTTCATTTATTCACATCATTTTAATATAATTACATTTAACAATGTTAATAACAATCAAATATTCTTCGTAATAAAACTTGTAGAATTGTATATATTATTATAAATAGGAATCTTGAGGCAATATATTTACCAATATTTATATGATCAATAGAAGTAAATTAAAATATAAATTATATAAAGATTTTAATTTTAATTATATTCAACTATAATAAGTTGAATGTAATAAATGATTAGATTTTAAATATAAATAGTTAAGATGCTTCAAAAAATTTAAATTTATTTAATACTATTAATGTTATTTTAATATAAGATTATTATATTTTAATTATTTCAATATTTAGGTTAAAAAATATATTAAAAAATGAGAAAACTAGATTCTTAATATTTTGATTCCAAAATTACTCAGGTTTTGATTATATTTAATCATTTTACAGGATTATAATATTTATGAATTATATGAATTATATGAATTACACATTTATTAATTTTGAAATGATTTATTTTCAGTAATCGCACTTAGAAGAAACACAATATGATATAAAGAAGTAGAATGTATCTCTCTAAAGTCCTGGTTAGTTAGAAGAATCTTAAAAAAGCATAAAAAAGGTAAATAAGTAGATAATTTTAAGTCTCGAGAAGAATTCATGATTTTTCTACAAGACTTCATTATATTTAGACTATAAAATGAGGATTTTGATCTAGAGGAGGTAGTAAAACCCAAGTAATTATAAATAGGTAATTTAAATCATAAAAAATCAATGTATTAAACTTGTAGATAAACCATTGTGGATGTTTAAGGAATTATTTGCTGAGCTTGAATTGCAGCTAGAAAGACACATAGGTATTTGTTGATTTTAACAATGAATTTTTTTAGACGATTATACCGTGTTTAATTAAGTGTAATAATTGATTTCCAGTTTCAATGCTCAATACTCAAACAAGTTTAATTAAATATGTTCATTTTATTTAAAGTGTATATCAAACCAAAATTCAATCCCTTAGTAATAAATAAAAAGAATTTGCCATTCTATTGAAGGTACATATAAACTTGATATGATAAGTTTAAGAATTGATACCAAATAAACAGGATAGAGTAGAAGAAATAAACTAACATCTTTAATCATTTATCCAGTATAAACTTATTCTTTCATATTATTAGTCAAGAGAACCAGATACATTTGGATTCATAATCATCTTAATTCTAATTATCTTATGGTGTATTTTTAACAGATTTAGATATTTCATACAAGACTAAAAAATTGAATGTTGATATAATTTTGATTGATACTTTTGGAATGAATTAAAGCATCTCACAAAAGCTATTTCTATTGTTACCAAACTATGAAGTAATTTTACCTTAGTTGAAATCATCCATCAATATAAACAAGGGGAATTTATAGCAAGTAATGTTGAATTTATTTTCAATAGGCTTTGTTTAACATATATGATGTAACCCCTGAAATGTCTGATTGGCCTAATATACTCACTTTAAAAGGAAAAGGTTTAGTATGTTGTAATTTTGATGGGTTTTAAGCTAATGAATTTATAAACTTCTATTATGGAGAAGTATACACCCCTTAAAGATGGTTTGAAAAATAGACAGTTTTCAATAAGAGAATGCAAGATGGAAATAAAAAATCAAGTTTTTAGAGTCCTTATGCAGAATTTTACATTAATGATGATCTTTTAGTAAAAAATTTAAATATGACAAAAAGTTTATTGATCCCTCTAGGTATGGAAATATTGCATTATACATATCATATTCTTGTGATCCAAATTGTTTATTGGTTACAGTCTCTATAAATTCATAATATAAACTTGCTATTGTTACTTCGAAGAAAATTAATTATCTAGAAGAATTAACTCTTCCATTTCCATTAACTTCTAATGACTTATGTTAGTGTGGTTCCATATATTGTAAACGAATCTCTTAATTAGATAAACTCAATAACAGATTAATATTAAATTACCCTAATTATATACAAAGAAATGCAATATTATTATAATCAACAATTCTTGGGAAAAATAATAATTAAAAAAAAATTCCTTATTGGTTGAATAATTGGCAAAAACTTTGTGCTTGTTAAGATCAAATCAATATTTTATCATGTGTTGATAAAGTTAAATTTGCTTTAAATGTTCTAAATGTTACTGCCTCTCCAATATTTTTGATTTTTGACATTTATGAAATCTTTTGGAAGAATTATGATAATTCAAACCCTAAAAATGAATTAAAATAATCAATTCTTAATGAAATTAAAACATTATTGATAAGACACTCCAATCTCAAAGAATGTTAAACTGCATTAGAAATTATTACATTAATGAAATCTATTATAGATAACTTAAATAAATATAAAATCTAATTAACTAGAATGTTATTACTAATTTTAAGTGAAATATTCTTAGATATGGAAACATCTCATTTTCATAATCAAGGTTTATCTACTATATTATACTTTATGTCTTTCACTCATACCTATTTTTCATCAACATAATATGAGGGATTCTTTGGAAAACCTTTTGAAGAAAATGAATTTGAATATATACCTTAGCCAAAAAATAAATAAAAATTAGCTTTAGCTAAAATGTATACTCCATAATACATATGGGGATAATTGATAAATTGGAACAAACAAACTCTTCAAAATCCTTAATCTTCCATGGCTTAAGAAAGAAGAGGAGTTTTATGTTATCCTTCATTAATATTATCTTTTGACAATAAACATAAACTCTTTCCATATCAATCCAAAACAAGAGAAAAATTTTTAGAATACTTTTAAATCAAATAAGATATCTAACCAGATTTATCAACATGGTCATACAAAAACTAGTATAAGTATTAATGATTTTTTAAACTTTAGTATATATGGAACCATCTTTTTTGAATAATATTTCTCATAATAAATTGTTGGAGACAATTACATAGCTTAAATATCTAAATATGGAACTTAAACATTTGAAGAAAAATATCATTTTTGGTTACATATTGAAAACAGATTCAATTAGGATAATTAAATGATTGAAGATTTAAATCAAAGTTTTTAAAAGTAATTCTACTTCTATAATTTAGATATTTTTAAAAATTTTTCAATAAATCAAATAGATTTAGTTCTAATTCAGAATGCGCTGAATAAATAATCAAAAAAATTAAATTAAAAAATCCTCCCATGACTATTGATGACACCTAAATTGGGTAATTTTGATTTTGTTTTGATAATTTTTTTATAATTATCAAAAAAATTTTTTTAATTAAAATTTATTGTTATCAAATAAATTTAAATTAATAATCTGAAATTAAATTAAATTTATATATTTAAATTTCATAAATTTGTTACTAATCGACATTCTTTGATTAATTTTGTAGATTTCTAATTTTCATAGCAACACACATCATTTGTACCATTCTTCGAAATTAAATATTATCATTCTTTCTTATCTTATTTATTTCATCTATAATGATAAAAGTCTTTCCCTTTTTTTCTACTAGCAAATATAATTGCAACACCTTTTAAAAACAATTATTAGACTGTCTCTCTGCCTATAATTTCAATTGTAAAGCAATTTTTTATATCAATCTAGATAATAAATTTTATCTATTTTCCCTTATAAATATAATGTGCAAATCCAGTCTAAATTATTGCTAAAATTCCAAATATTATATAAAAATTTATTAATTATAAAATAAATGGAGAACATAATTTTTAAATACTTCGTTTTAGTAAAATGATTGAATAATTTGTTTTTTAAGCTTAATTTATCTATTTATTAATGAATTGGCTATTTTATTTAATAATATAATTAGAAAATCTTTTTTCTCAAATTTTTATATAGTAAATATCAAAATGATTATAGAATTATGAAGCCAAATATTTAAGCAGAAATATTATTACTATAATTTAATTATTTGAATATTTTAGACTTGATTTGTTATATAAAGTGAAGTAAATAATATTTTTAATATTATTGAAAATATGATATATATTTAGAAGTAGAAAATATTATAAAATTATGTTATCATCCTTTTTTACTGTTATTGCATTTGAGCAAGATATCTTCCCAAGCATCAATTGACTTTTTGGGTCTTCGTCTGAAATTGTTTTCGATCATTCTTTTTAATTCCTTTGATTTATTACTAGATGGAGTATGTGAACTATAATCTGGATATTCTATCTAAATTTTATAGAGAGTAGGTTTAGTTTATTGAGGTTAAATAAGATTCTTGGTTTGATTTTCTTTGTCTTCATCTTCTAATTGCCATCTAGAGACTGTAAGTTCTTTTTCTTGAAAGTATTCAATTTCCGTTGATTAATTAATCATTATTTAATTTATAGAGAAATAATAATCAAAATTGGTTATATAATTGTGTTCTTTCATACTAATAAAAATTATGATTGTCTTTTAAATCATCTTTCTCCATTCTTTCTTTGGATTCACATATTTTATATTTTTATCTACAAAAATTATGATTTTTTTTAAATAATTTGAACTTGGATTAGTCTAAATGGAATCTATTTAAATTAGAGTAATATTTTAATTATTTGCTAGCTAAATAAATTTATAAATAAATTTCTTAGATCTGATTGAAGTCATGAGTAGTAATTAATTTAGTTAACAGATCAATAGTCTAATTCTGATAGGAAATAAGATCTTTGATAATTAAATCAAAACAAAAACGAAGTTTTTAATTTCTTTATCCTTCAATAATTCTTAATCCTAAACATTAGATATTTAAAATGATGAAACAATCTATAATTGGAATTTCACAAAGTTATTACATACAGACTTTTTTAAGGTATATATAATAGACTTGTAAAATCTAATGATAAGTAAGAGGTTCTCTCAATTCTTAAAATTAGACTTTCTTATCAGTCACACTTTTCCTATATTCAGGTTCATTCTTAAAGTAATTTTAATCTAAAGTTTATTTAGGAGTATTGTCCCAACTTGGAGCTACATTGGCACTTTTAGAAATTGTCAAGTTTAATTCAGTAGGCAATCTTTCTAAAACAAAACTAGAGTTAAGTGTATTAGTTATCATGCAAATATTGCTATCAGCAAATAATTCTTTAGGAAGAGAACATTATTGTATCATTTTATGAAAGACACTTAGAAGTTTAATTATTTATTCAGGTTGCAGAGAACAATCAAATGGTTTAGATAATTCTTAAAAAACTTTCTATAGGCCTATAAAAATGCTACAAAAACTATACCAATTTTGAGAATCTATTCACTAAAACTTCCAATCTCATCATTTTTATGATTCATCATACGAATTAGAGTTGATTTAATCATTTTTAATAAATAATATTATCAGGAAATGAATCTACCCGTAATAGGATCTCTACTACCAATTCTATATTATGGTATTTCAGAAGTATTGAATGATTGATGTTTCTTATCTGAAGTAGGATTCCAATAATCAAAAGCTGATGCTTTTTTAATTCTATATTAATTTGCCTAAAATCATTATATATTATGGCATACATCATAATTACTAATGATATCATATTTCTCTGGTTTTGGATGATAAACTAATTATCTTTAAGGTGGTTTAGGTTCTTATGCAATCAGTTAAGCAGTTTTATATATTGGTTTATCATCTCCCATCACTATCTATGTAGCCATCAATGTGAGTTTATCTTTAATTGGTTTGGCTCTTGGAGGATTTTAATAATCCTTGTAATTCTTATATTCAGAATTAAAATGAGTTTCTTTTTTATATGGTACATTAATATGATCGATATGTATTGTTGGTGGATGCAAATTTGCACACTAAATAACTATTGTAATTTCTCTACATTTTCCCTTTTCACAATTTCTTTGTTTTATTTGTAATCAACTTCATAAACAGTTTCATTAGATTGTTGCCAAGGTTTCCATCCTATGTTATAATGATGTTCTCTCTATTCCAAAGCTATAGGAGGAGCGTATTTCCCTACTCCTACATCAAGATTTTCAGAAATCCCCTTAAATACACCTTTATACCCTTCAGTTTAAGGTCCTGGATCACGATGGATTTTACGAACACTCATATTATATTATATTAATCATAGTATTTTAAATATTTTCTTATTCACATACTTTCAAAATCTACCTGTATTTTTAATCTTGCTTTCTTATACTTAAATATTCTTATTCTAATCTAAAAAAAACAAAGATTAATTTCAAAATTACAACATAATCAATTCATATTGAAACAAAAATAATATTCTTAAAAATCAATTTGTTATAAAATTAGATGATTATTATTATCCTAATTCCATTCTTACTTTATCCATTATAGAGTCTATAATGTCTTCATTATTTTCATCTTCTTATTGAAAATATTTTATTCTCTCTTTATTTTATATATCCTTTAATTTTTCCAATTATTTCTTTTCCTTTAATTTTTAGAGCTATTTCTCTTTTTTATGTTTTTCATATAGAAAATCACTAAAACTCTTAATATTACATGAAAAATTACAATAATTGAATAGCTTTAATATGGTGAAAAGGCTTGAACAATTTTAGGATTTACTTTTAGAGGAACCCTTCTAAATTATTAATGATATGATTATAATTGCTAAGTTTTAGGTAAAGATATTATTTCTTTAAGATTTGGTTCTATAATCATTCTAGCATGTATTCTTTTAGTAGAATTCAAATTAGAATTAGTAGCTATATGTAATGAAGGAAGAGAAGTTTATGCCTTTTCGTGCATAATTAATAAAATAAATATAATTAATTAATTAGATAAATCACTTAACCTTGTATGAGTCTTTGTCTTTCTTTTTCTTTTCTTCATCTTTATCTTCTAAAGGAATCATACATTTGAGTAAACGATTACATCCATTAGAATTATCTGTTAAATATAAAAATGTTGGTTTAATTACAGAAAAACACATACCAGTGATTTCTGGGCTTCCAGGAATAAGAATATTTTCTAACAGTTAGCCTTAAGGATTCAAAACAGATATCAAACCCATATCATGTTCATTACCAACTGAAAATTCAAAACGAGCAACATAAAGAAAATCTGATTAAGAAATAACAAGTGCAGTTGGACCAAATCTTCCTGAGAATTGGTGATAAACACTTGATAATAATATATATTATACCTAAAAGCATAGATTCCAGAACTAGTAAGTACAAATCTTATAATTCGATTTTCACATGTTTCACTAACAAATAAATTTTTTTCATCATGACTTAATGCTAAACCACTTGGATGAGCTAAACATCTATATGCTAAAGCAGTTGGTTTAATTTCTTGTCCATCTAAATCAACCATAAAAACTGATCCAATTGGATTTTCAACACTTGTTTCACCAAAAGGACCTGAGTCTGTAAAATAGATTGCATCTAATTATTAATTATTTATGATTACTTATATTTATATATGATATGATAACTTAATTAGGACCTAAGAATGGCATTCCCTCATATTCAGTAACAAAATCCTTTGCTGCTTCTTAATTTAAATTAGATTATTATTATAGCTAATTCAATTGCTTATAAGTAATAGCTTGATGTGCCATATCAGCAATATAAATAACTGTATGATCTCTTTCTATTGTAATTGAAGATGGTTATCCTCCCATTCTAGTGTCAATTTTTAGTTCATTTGTCATTATTAAAATATCCCCATTCTCAGATACCATGTATATAGATCCATTCACTTCATGTGGAGATGAAAGAGGATTCGAAAAAGAACAAATTTTTTCTGCAGTTACTTACATAAGCAAAATATTAATTGTAAAATATTTATTTAGTTAATTTATCAACTAAAATCTATTTTTATTTTTATCAATACAAGACATCATATTCAAAAACTAAGTAAATTCAATTTATAATTTCTTATAAATTATTTTAAGGATATTAGACACTTATTATTTAATTTTATGTAGTAGGTCTATCATTCTTTTCTAATTTAGATGATCTATTCTCTAACAAATTTAATTCCTCTGGATTCAATTACATTTCTATTTCTTTTTTATAATCAAGCACTTCCCAATTAATCTCAGGTTCACCTCTAAATATTTCCAATACTAAATAAACCAAATAGAGTAGAAATAACAATATCAACAACACTATTACAGCAATTAAGGATGATATTTCTTACTATTCGTTTGTGTAGCTATAAAACCAATAAGATAATCCACCTAAACCACCTAGAGTTATTATTAGTTTCGATACAAATAATATTATATTGGAAAGATGGATCTTAAATATAGAAAAGTAATCTTACAAAAGTTTTTGAAGTATATGTCTCTAATTTTTAAACTTTGTACTTGGTTCCGCACTGTAAACAAGTAAAATTCTCTTAGTTAAATAAACCTGGAATTTTAAGTAATTTCTATTTAAAACAAGAAGCATGATAATTGGTCTATTCATAAAAATATATTTTACATCGCATAAACATGGTTAGATAAGGTTTAAATCATCTAGATTATCACAACTTTAACATGAAATAATTAAATTATCTTCTCTAGCAATAGTATTTTGATTGATGGAAGTTTTCCTTAGAGTTCTTGTAAAGTTTAATTTAGTGGGAGACAAGTTGTTAATTGAATTGTTTACACTATTAGAAATCATAATTTATTGATTATTTTCAGAATCTAGATTTCTAGATGAATCATGTTTGAACTATTAAATCTAATTAGAGAAGTTGCTTTGTGGAGAGAAGATTTTGATTTGGGATTCAGATTTTATGTTGGAAGTCATTATTTTTATTTATTGTTAGGAATATTGAATATTTGACCTTTTTTCACTGAAAAAGTAGTAATAAATAATTATATATACGTTATTAATAAAAAGAAAATTAGAATAATATGGATTGTGATTCTTTAAAATTTTTTATCAATTTAAAGTGTTTTATTGATTAGGTAATAAAGAAAGTAGAATAAAATATATTAATAATGAATGTTATTTGAGATAATAAAAAGGGAATGATTAGACCACAATTAATATGAAAGAGTATATTGTTTAATAAGGATTATGATAAAGTAAGAAGAAGTAGTTAAGATGAATGTATTAATTTAATTATGTTTGAGTAGTGTGAACAAAATAAATAAAGAATAATATTAAATAATATTTTTCCACATGTTCTAGAATATTCAATATATATATATTTAAGAAAAGTTAAAAAGAATTTAATAATATTTATTTTTTTACACGTCATAAAATATGAAAACAATAATTCTGATAGTACTTGTACTCGGAGCATGGGCATAAGAAAAGACAAATAAAGTTGAATGCCCAGTCATTGGTATAGATTTAGGTACAACATATTCATGTGTTGGAATTTATAAAAATGGAAATGTGGAAATAATTCCAAACGAATAAGGAAACAGAATTACACCATCAGTTGTAGCATTTACTGATGAAGAACGTTTGATAGGAGAAGCAGCCAAAAACTAAGCAGCTATCAATCCTACTAGAACATTATATGATGTTAAGAGATTAATTGGAAGAAAGTAAGAATATTAATTTATATATGATAGATTCACAGATTCAACAGTTTAATATGATAGAAAGTTTATGCCTTATGAAATAGTAGATAAGGATACAAAACCATACATTAAGGTGACTAACATAAAGGGTCATTAATCAAAGATTTTTGCACCTGAAGAAATTTCTGCTATGGTATTGACAAAAATGAAAGAAATTTCAGAAACATATTTGGGAAAGAAAGTAATTAATGCAGTTGTCACAGTTCCTGCTTATTTCAATGATGCATAAAGATAAGCAACAAAAGATGCAGGAACAATTTCAGGTTTGAATGTTGTAAGAATTTTAAATGAGCCAACAGCAGCAGCTATAGCTTATGGTTTAGATAAGAAGGATGGAGAAAAAAATATTTTAGTTTTTGATTTAGGAGGTGGTACTTTTGATGTTTCTATTTTGACAATTGATAATGGTGTTTTTGAAGTTGTTGCTACATCTGGTGATACTCATTTAGGAGGAGAAGATTTTGATTAAAGAATTATCGATCACTTTATTAAAGTTATAAAGAAGAAACATAATAAAGATATTAGTGCAGATAAAAGAGCTATTTAAAAATTAAAGAGAGAAGTTGAAAAATCTAAGAGAGCACTTTCAGCTACTCATGAAACTAAAATTGAAATTGAAGATTTAGTTGATGGTTTAGATTTCAATGAAGTACTTACTAGAGCTAAATTTGAAGAATTAAATAATGATCTATTTAAAAAAACTACTGGACCTATGTAAACTGCTTTAGAAGATTCTAAATTTAAGAAAACTGAAATTCATGAAATTGTTTTGGTTGGAGGATCAAGTAGAATTCCTAAAATTAGATAAATCGTTAAAGATTTCTTTAATGGAAAAGAAGCTAATACTGGTATCAATCCAGATGAAGCTGTTTGTTATGGTGCTGCTATTTAAGGTGGTATTATTTGTGGAGAAGAATCTAATGAAACTAAAGGTTTAATAGTCATTGATGCAACACCTTTGAGTTTAGGTATTGAAACTGTTGGAGGAGTCATGACTAAAATCATTCCTAAAGGATCTTATATTCCTACCAAAAAATCTTAAGTCTTCACTACTTATTAAGATTAATAATAAACTGTCACTATCTCTGTTTTTGAAGGTGAAAGACCACTTGTTAAAGATAATCATAAATTAGGAACTTTTGATTTAACAGGTATTCCACCTGCTCCAAGAGGTACTCCTTAAATTGAAGTCACTTTTGAAATTGATGCCAATGGTATTTTACAAGTTGCTGCTTAAGATAAAGGAACTGGAAATAAAAATTAAATTGTTATCACTAATGATTCAGGAAGATTGTCAAAAGAAGAAATTGATAA